ACTTTGTCCTTCGCGACCTCCACTGCACGTGCAGGTTCTGGAGTTTGCTCGTTCTTGGGCCTACTCTACACTTTCGGGCTCTCCCTACACAATACCTGCAGCCCTCATCTCGCGGATAAATTGTATTTTAGTTACGATATCCTGACCAGGAGTATTACAGATAATGTTTTGGTCAATTTCTTTCTGATGATGAAGATGCGATACTGGTCGTTTCGAAGCCGAATATTCTCTTGGTCTGATCGTTGTCTCGCGGGAGTTGGGTATGACGGATAGTCCATTTGCAATCCAGTTGTTCTCCCAAGTGGTCTTTCCTTTCCATCTCTTGTAGCTTCATACGGCAGGTTCTCCGACTCATTTTAACGACGTGAACCTACGAAGACGTAACCAGGAGCGCGAGTACCATGTCCACAGACATCCACGTGCTCACCGATATTTCATGTCTGAGGATAATTTATTGATCGCTTAGATTAGTAAGCTGTAGATATCTATTGTTGCTAGGTACGGAGGTTACTGTGGGGGCACCCACTTGATACCCCTCGTTACCCATAATCTCGCGTCCATCGGACCCATACTGATATTTACCTCGGTCGCGTTGCCTACTGGGATTATCATATGTTAATCATTAGAAGTGATCATCTGGATCTTTGAGCAACATGGTGACCGTCTTCCTGAAAGGTGAAACCGGACCTTTTCTGGCAGACAAAGTGTTCCATCTAGAAGATCGACCTGAATTCCAGCCGGAACCAAAACAAACATACCCAGAACCGCTTCTTGGCCGTATTGTTTGTCAACCAAGCATCAAAATAATATACGAGCGATCCCGCTAACGTAACTTTGATCTTCGTGCGACCGATCGTCATATAGCTGTTTTTTTCGATCCTTACACCTTCTTGTCTCTGTGTTTCGGCGATGACACTTTAAACCCTACGAGCAAAGGTGGTGTCAATAATTGAAACTTCGTCGCCAGAATCAAAAGCATCGTGGCCTCTCATTGTTGATTTTGCCTACGGCCTTAGCCTACTCAAAGCTTATCCCAGGTGCGTATTACTTTCAATAACCACGAGATTTGCCCGGCGCCATATCTAATTCCACAACATATTCCGATCGTGAACATTCATCGATCTCTTGAATGTTGAATACGGAAGATGAGATCAATGAATATAAATTACATGTACGTTATCCATCTTCATCGGTTCGTTTGTCTCGTGACCTTTTCGCCTTTCGATGTATGCATAGATGCAGAGCCTAAAAGCTCGGCTCGTGCCAGATTCCAACCTGCCAAGCGTCCTAGTTTAACTTCTTTTCGGTTTCTTTCGGGAGCATTCCAGCATATCTTGTTGTTCGGAACATACCATTGACGGATCAGGTTATACAATTTCTTAATTGGGGCACTATCCCGCATCACGCAATCTTCCACAGGCAAGGCACACGAACAGACAGCTTTCCGACAAATGCCCTTTCCGACCACACTTCTGTCACGTCAGTCTTTTCCGACACCCCAGATTAATATGTTCAATCGATCCGCAGCGAGTGCAGGGCTCAAGCGGCACACTTTTGTCATGTCGACCAAAACGATCACTCGTGATTTGGCGGTTCGGATGATCAATTCGATTCTTCGGATGATCCAGTTTCGCGGTCGAACAAACTTGGCAATAATATCCATCGAGTTCACACTTACTGAAGTCCGTTCGGATTCGCTGCTTGAGGCTCCCATGCGAGCTGCTATAACTGCGCTATCTGGTTTCGACAGGGCTGGCGTTGGATGAATAGTAGCTTACCGCCATTTTTAATCGACCTTATGGTTTCTTTTCCTTTCAGGCTCGTCCGCTTGATACGCGCGCAACCTTTTTCTAAAGCATCAGCGTATTCCAAACGCAATAGCAACAACTGATCCGAAAGCTCACAATTGTCCAAAATCTCGATGAAATGCTCTAGATGTTTACGCCCTACTGGTGGGATTATCACTTAACGAATTCGCGTGTCAGCAATCTTGGATTTGACATATTTGCTAGAAAGGACTACGACGAAGATAAAACGATCATTTGGATCGGCAAGATTGAGTCAGTATTCCTTCTGGATCAAGCTCCCGACGGTGAAAAATGTTTGGTATTTGGCGATCTGCTTACTGGACCAGCACTCCATTGGCATCGCCAATAAAGCTGACCCACCAAAAGTTTGTAAAATTAGCTGGAAAGTTTCTTGGTGGAATATTGTTGACGTGGTGTTTCTGTGGGAAGACAGCATTTTTCCGCTTCGAAACGCTCGACTGAATCTATGTTGGAATATATCGACCGGATGAATGTAGCCGGTATGCGTGCTAAACTTCAATTATCGACGGATCGCCCGACACGCGGCGCTACTTCGGTTGCTAAGCTACTTCAGTTGCTGACACTATACGCAGTCTCGGTTCGTCGATTATTATATTGTCCAGTTCTATACGTTAGGTCGGCTATGCCGCAACTCCGCCAAATCCATTTCCACGTCTGGAATATCCCGAATTCTTGTCTTTGACCGTAGTTTTAGGGCTTGACAATTGCTCTGCACCTGGTTCTGCTGCTTCTTCGTAACTTCTCCATTACCATGTTTAAGAACATAAGAATCTGGCTGGGACCTCGCTATCAGTGATTGCAGGGGCGATTGTCGGCTGCGACTCAGTCGTGATCGAATTCGCACGTTCACGGAGAATATCTACGCCAGTTGGGCCCAACGACATTCGGTGCATCTTAATCGAGTCGACCGATTTGATGTCTGACTCCGCTGATGCACACCGAAGTGATTCAGTGACGTGCTCTTTAAAATAATTGATCGTCATGATTGTCTTTACAGGGTCGCGGATTCATACAAGCGGTAATAATTTCCCAATCAACTTATTCATCGCATTTGTGATACGACCCGATCCAAATCGAAAAGATCATCAGCATTAAAATTCAGGCGTAAACCCAGCCTATCTTAGCATTTTAGTCAATAATTTAACGGTGTCAATCAAGCTGAAATTGTTCCCAGGTGTGGCCACATGTACACTTAATGACCTGATCAGCGCTGGATGTAACATCTTATAAAACTAGGATCATCCACTAGCATCTTCAGCAAAGAATTTTCCGGATTCGTGATACCAGACGAATTATTAAGGATATGTTCATTCTTTCCTCAGTCTGGCATAGTTTCAGTGGAGATCGCTGGCGAAGGATCGATAGTGAGCGTAATTGAGGTATAGAACGTCAAATCCAATCGATCAGTTGCTCGAGCTGCATCAATTACTTCTTTGATAAAGTGGATCGTTGTAGGTAGCGCTGGTGCTCGTGGTTCTTTTCGTTATGAACCCAGCGTTTCCTTTGATCGATCTGAAACTTCACCCTCTACACCACTTTCATCCGATAGCGACGTGATACGTTACGATACCTTAAACTTTCTCTTTTGGATCGCTTCTTTAGCCACTTAAGATCTTCGTAAGGTTGGAAGACTGCGGCTTATCCATTAGCGGTCCAGTCGGGCCTTCTGCTATCAATTCTGTTCTGTCGATTGTTGTGATGAGCTTACAGTTGCCGATAGAGTGCAGCATCCCATCCAATGTCTCAAGGAGCCGTTGATCTTGCTGGGTCTGCGTTGTATTAAGCTAAATCTTCATCCGGCGAAGCTGTGCATGGTGTGTGAATAGCGCTTCTTGTACTAGGCTATCTGGAGCTGAGATTGTGCGATCTAAGCATCCTGATCAGCTTTCATCTTGCGGACTAGGGCAATTTAACTAAATACTTGACATATCAACACGGCCATATCGCGTCCGTGTTGTATCTCTTGATTGGCGTGGCGAGCAGCAGTAGCCTGGTAGTAATTTTTGCGAGTCTTGGAGTAATAGAAAGAAACGATCATATCTCATCTTCCTCTCTTCTTCATCTGCTGGCCTCTAGCATCGAAGTTGATAGCAGCGCGGCCCATCTTTCTAGTCTTCCATTGAAGCCGGAAGATTACACTAGCCACGCTAATGTTGAGTGCCGAGTAAATACCTTGAACTGACGTGAGACTAGCATAGTATAGCCGATATTCAATATACGGAGAAAAGCCAAGACCTCTTTTTCGCCTTCTATTTCATAGTAAACCTCATCAAACGTCAGTATACGGCTCGTTACTGTAACCGGCCAATATATGCCATCATCTTCCTGTAGCAACGCTGCTGATATTTCCCACTTGCTCGCATGTGTAACAATTGCCGGGGCTCGGTCCGGATCAAAATGTCTAAAGACTGGGGCAGCCGCGATTTTGACTTTCACCATAGTAAATGCATCATTGCTTTCTCCCAGCGACTTTTATCGTGTGGAATGCAAACGTAGCCAATCTTAGAAATTGGATCGCGATTGTACCACTTTGGGTGACCGCGATCTAGATCGTGCTTATCTTGAGGAATCGATGTCTTTTCACCATGAGAGCGTATGATCTCATGAAAGTCGGCTTTCCGCAGCTTATATAGCACGCATGCGTAGATTGCAAAGTCTTCAATAACCCTGCTGTAAGAGTTAAGACTTCCCAAAAATGACTGCATCGATCGCAGTGTTCGAGGTACGAGATAATAACATGCGATTCTAGATCCTTTCGGAGAACTTCCAGACCATCTAATGACACCTGAACGTACAGATACCAAATTCTTTGCAATGACTTAGGCTCTAGCACGTATGATATTCAGAGCAGGTTTGAAACTGATTTATGTTTATGTTCATCTTCTAACACTAATTATGGAAGCACCTACTTGTTAGTCACTATTTATCTGGCTCTGTAGCCAGCCTCCTAATATGCAGAGATTTGTATTCGTCATACCTAAACTAAGTATAGTGAACACATGGCTCTTTGCCACGATGCGGCCCTTCGTACCTTTGGCACGGTCACATCAACCTACCACTGTACCTAAAGTACAGCCACACCACAATGGTGTGGCAGGTGTGTATGTACAATACACACCTTTGTGTAACCGCCATGGGCAAAACAGGAGTCACTATACTGTGGAATGTGCTGGTTCCAACTAGGTACACAAATCCTGTTCACACCAGACTACTTGTTTTGGTTTACAGCAGCGTTTCTCTCATTTACAACCTACTATGCGTACGACGCCGAGGCGAACGTGGTGGTCTTCGCCGTCGAGGACTGACAGACCTGCGAGTGTCTATGTGAATCACGTGTCGATCGATTAAGTGTACGACCGACCACACGCACATGCCTAAAATCGAGAGTGCACGTTCATAGCGCCATATTTACGGGAGCTCTTCTACCGTCATTGGATATTGCGCAAGAATCAATTCCCACTCGTCGCGGGTTGGAGCTTGCTCACCGCGACGAAATTGACATCCCTTGCACCTTCGCAAGTAACAATACGGTCGTCCAGCGTTCCAACACATTGTACACACCTTCTCACGCAAGTCGGAAAGTCCATACTTCCGTCGCTGTTCCTTCCGATATGGTAATAATTCGCCGAAATGTGATTTCGAGTTCCAGCGTCGCACGAACGCAGTCCATGATTCATCGAGAGAGTATTGGGTCACGGCTAGGTTAGCCGTGACGGGTTTCCTACGCGTTGCTTTCCACCTTCGCCACATATCTGCCATGACCTCGTCCTCACGTGATTGTTGGATACCACTGCAGTCATACAAGGTCCAGACTCGCAAGGTATTTACGTACCTTCTCGGTGGATTGATGGTTGTCGAAGGCACCGCAGGGCTTTTGCGCGTTGCCAAAGCTAATTGGCGACTCGGTAAAGCCGTGCAAGCTACGCGGTGCGTGCCGGTTGTGATTTAGTCCCTTGCACTCATGGTATTTGTCGTTTGAGTGGGGGTGGTGTTGTAACGGGGTCGTATCGCTACACGCCACATCATGTACGATATGGCAATAATAACGGTCCCATTATTATGCATAATTGGGTAGACAACACTAAGAACATTACATAAAGTAGGAAAAGGAAAGGTTCGCATAGCGTATCTTTTAGTGGCATTATTTAATTTGTTGAAAGTGGGGTTGAGACTCATCTCACCCAAATAATATTAGGGAACACCTGTTGGGCTCAAAGCCGTTTGTTATTTATACCGATCATGCGTCGTTACGCACAGCGACACATTCGCCTCATCTCTCGCAGAGAATGGCTCGTTGGCTCTCCATTTTTTGAGGAGTATAACTGCGAGGTGAAGTATAAGCCGGGAAAACAGAATGTTTTGGCTGACGCGATATCGCGTAGAACCTGACTATAAGCTTGCTCATCTCACTGTTGTGAGTTCGTCAGTAACGAACTCATATCCGTGTGGCGTGTGCACGCGATGAGGCATGTGTTGCCATTATGAAGGCACTGGGTACCTCAGAAATTGAAAACTCTACGGTGAGAGTTGTCCATCACGTTATTGTGCAAGATTACATCGTTATGCACTGACCAATGGTCTGTTGTACGATATTACAGGGTCAGATGACCAACATTGTGTTGTGGTGTCTCATGATGAAGCCCTCAAGTATCAGATACTTTATGAGGCTCATGATACATCACCTGGTGGTCATTAAGGTCGTGAAAAGACCTACGGCTCCGTTGGCACCCATTAGTGGTGGAACAAGTTGTACACACAAATAAGTTGTTTGATATGCACGAACGTGTGAAACGTGTCAAAGGGTAAAGCCATCGCCTAGTATGGCTGCGCCTTTGGAGAGTTTGCCTGCACCCTCGAGGTTGTGACTTACTATTAGTATGGACTTAGTGTTTGGTCTACCGCGCGATGCGGCAGGCAAAACTAGGATTGTGGTCTTTGTTGACCGATTGGTCAAGATGGCTCACTTAGCGGCAGTACCGGACTCCACTGATGGCGGTAAAAAAGCTAAGTGGTTCATGGATCGACTGAATAGACAACAAGGATTGCCTGTGGCAATCGTCTCTGATAATAACCGTCGTTTTACGGGATAGTTTTGGCCGTCAGTATTGATGTGCTGGGTAAATTTATTTTTCATAAACTTTTTCTTAAAATCTACCTAACGTGTTAGATGGTGATGAGAAGTATAAACAGTCGAAATCTAAGTAGAATGACAGCAAAAACTAATTAGAAGGACTAAAGCTGGAGTACGGCTTGGCTGAGCAGCCGGGTTCAAGGAAGAAGTGGCACTTGCAGGGTGGGTAAGTGCGAAAGAGCTGTGATGTTCTAACTGAAAGTCCCTAGAAGCTTGGACGTGTGCGAGAAAAGCGAAGGAAGCGGGTGAGGAGAAGTCGTTTCAGTGATGCGAGGTTGTGAGCTCGAGGAAGACTGCGTAGAGTACTATGAGCATAAATGGGGGAAAAGAGATGTATCCAGATAGTGGAGCTTGAGGCGCCATCCTCAACCTAGAGTTGGGGGCGCACAAGTCTGGAACACCCTGTCGCCGCGTAATGGGGGAGCGCGGCATTGGCGAGATAACGGATAGCATCTACCACATGGGTAGGCGTCCGTGGGTCAAAGAGAAAGAGTCTACCCACATCCGTCCGAGCCAAATAGAGCAGAATGATATTGCTTCAAAGGGGGAACGGTGAGTGGCGGATACGCTTAGGGACAGCATGTCCGGGTAATAAGACGGCGACTTTGACAGGATCCACGTAAATTGCTGGTGCAAATATCATCAAAAATATAGCACAAGTTGCGCTCGAAAGAGCCGCGAGCTTGCGTTCATCGGTACAAAAGAGGCTGTCGAAGGTGCCTTCGACGTTCACAGGGTCAACTTCGAAACCCTGGGAAAGACGAGTGGCGGCGTTCCAAACCTCGCCCGGTGGAAGAGGCTCCGCACTCACAGAGCGATAGACAGCATGCCTCTTGAATAGGCGAGTCTGATGCGCCACAGGTAACTTGAATAGGCGGCGAAAGTACGCCAGATGGACTTGGACAGCGGCGAGGGCATCATCGTGAGAGGTGAACGACAAAGATTTACCCGCTAAGTACTTATCAATGTAGTGTTATAGTTCACGCACCAAGCCTTGCTCAACCCGTAAAGGCAACTTCCGTATGGATGGCCTTCGGAGCAGGCACAAGGTTGGAGTCCTCAGTAAAACCAAAACCTGTTCGGTTAAGTCAGTTAAATCGTCCAGTTCAGACGGGTGAATATCCGCATCAGGAGGCAGAGATGCGTCATAACCATCGTCGTGAAGTACGTCATACATTGTAGGCATGACGGGAATTGAACATAGTAGTAAATTGAGGGACCTTAACAAGGGCATATTTCATCGCAAGTAGCTCCTTATCATGAACTAAATAGTTCTTCTCTGCAGCTTTCAGCTGGCGAGACTCAAACGCGATGACGAGTTCTCTACCATAGTCGACTCGCAAAAATGCACTACCAATGGCAAATTCCGAAGTGTCACATACGACGCTAAACGGGAGATCAGGATTAGGTAGAGCTAGAATTGGCGCCTGAAGGAAACTCTCCTTAATGGCTACAAAAGCCTCGTGGTGCTCGGTGTTCCAACACCATTCCACATCCTTTTAAGGAGATTCGACAATGGCCTAGCCACTTCCGCATAGTTGTGGCTATACTTGAGCAAGTAATGTGCGAAAATCAATCACTTGCGGAGGTCCTTCTGGTCCCTCGGAACCGGCCAATCCACTATGGCTTTGACCTTAACAGGCCCGGATTTCTCGCTTCTCATTGAAGCATCCCAAAAAAGGAATCTCTTCCGCACCGAAAATGCATTTGTCACTATTGGCATATAACTTATGCATCCTCATGCAACCGAGCACAGCTCGCAGTTGTTTGATGTGATTCTCCATATCAGTCTTGCCAATTTCCGCTCGACTACGGACGAATATATCGTCGAAGTATGTTCCCTAAGCGGCCGAAGCAACTGTTCTACATGACTATTGAACGTTGCAGGTGCGTTAGATAGCCGTTGGGACATCACTAACGAAAGCAGAGCACGGACCATCCGCAGACCTATGGTTAGACTGAACGCGTCAACCGCGTTATTGGCGATATGCTTCGCAGCGTTTGTGCTTAAACACCCAAGCAATGGAGCACGATGCTCCCACTCATTGAGTTTGCGCTGAGTAACGCGGTGTATGCCTCGATAAAATCCACCCCATTCTTTGTGAACGTATTAATTCATCTTTGCGTTCCATTAACGCTACACCTGCCACATTAGGGCTTAGTGGGGGAGAGATAGCCGAAGACTTGACTGATATCAGCCCTGTTCCGATGCGCAAGAAGGTGGAAGCGTTTTTGTCAGCGCGTTTTTAACGTATTACGTCGCGTCCACGACACTTTGGCTGAAAGACAGGATCTTTAGCAGTAACAAGCACATGCTAAAGGCAAAAAGAATGAACACGTGTTCAAAGTAGGTGATTTGGTTATATTTAACGCTAGGAATTTGCCTACTCGTGCCGTTTCTGCGGTATATAAACCAAACTGCGTCCTCGCTTTATTGGACCCTTTTAAATGATAAGAAAGAAAGGCTTAGTCTATACGCTGAACCTTCCAAAGAAGATGCAAAACGCACCCTGCGTTCTACGTGAGCTTGCTAAAGCCACATCGCAACCCAACCTCGGTGGAACTCGAGAGGCTTTCCCCATACCCCAGCCGAAGGAGGCGTGTTGTACGACACCGGAGGTGCATATGGGCGCTGGAGCCGTACCAAGAGGTCAAGTTGGCATCGAAGTTTGGCTTGAGAACGCTCAATTACCGCTAAGTGATCATAGGTCTCAGAGCGATAACTCACGGTGTCGATCGACACGTTCATCGAGCGATGATAGGTGAAACGTCACCAACCCAAGAGCATCACGCTCCAGGATTGTCAGGCGACGCTTGATCTCAGAGAGATCATGGTTCCATGAGCATCGATACCCGCCAACGCAGATTGATGAACTGGGTCATCAACAGCTCCACGTTGAGCGCCTCTTGGCTCGGCGTCGTCACCAGGGTCATACCCAATATCTGGTGAAGCGGAGGGGTTATCCCAAAGTCTTATGACACGTGAGTATGAGATACCCCTCCGGCAAGACTGACCGGACGTCGTTGACGCTTTTGACCAGGGCGGACAGAAGCGACGACAGCTGTTGTCAGACGCTTCCTAGCACTAGGTTCTATGGAAGCAAGGTCGGTAGGCTGGCTTCACCTCTGACATTTTGAAAAATCTGATGTCGATACTTCACTTGCGTGAGAAGTACGGGCAACAGCTTCAGAAGCTTGGCCCCATAAGCCTTTGACTTGTACGTGGAGAAAAATTTGCGCTTAGCTTTGACCTTAGTAAAGTCAAAGCGTAGACATCCAAAAAAAAGTCTTTTTATTTAGCGCTTAAGGCGCAAGTCAGAAAGACTTGGGGTCTTACGCGCTCGTTCAACCCAACGGGTGAACTAGTTAGTTATCATCTTGCGCAGATATCTCACCTGGTGCAAGCACAACTGGTATGTTGTTAAGAAGCGCGGCACGGTCCGCAACCTCGCAAGCAGTGCAAGGATGAGACCCAATATCATAAGTACGCAATGATTGCAACGCAGCTCGTTAAACTTCCTCGTTGGGGTTTTGGGGCAAGAACGCATAATCACGCCGTGAAGTTTGTTGGGACCGTGCCAACGCAGCCGCCCGGGCCTCGTCATCGATTTGACGACCAGCGTCAAAAAGATTATACACCTCTTTGTCGGCGCCCTCACGATAGGGGAGCGGTGGTGCTTGACGCAACGCAGTTGTTCCACTTAGGGAAGCGAACACGGAGCGCTATCGACGTCCTTCGATCGGCGATCGTGGTGAACGCGAGGTCAGGCGACCTGGATGATACTCAGCACCACTGTCTTTAGAGTCAACGTCTCCGTCATCGCCCCCAAAGATGTCACGTTGCATTGCATCATCCATGATGGAGCAAGCGCAGTATCGACAACGCTTTATATGCAAGTGTAGGGACCACTGTAACGATTATGAGTAAGCGCTTTCCACTGAAATCTGTACAAGCAAGTGTTCTCAAATGCTTATGGGTAATAATATTGTGTTGAAGCAATTTTTAGAACTACAAAGCCAGAGGACCAGTGGCCCAAAGAGAAAGGGACTTGCCAAGAAGGAGCCACCGTTGGGTAAGGAAAAGAAAGAAGAAGCGTTAAAGGGGAAGGGGGACACCCGTTAGATGGAAAGAATTCACGGTCAAAGCGTGGTAGTTGGCCACTATTCAAAGGAGTTAACTGCGGTTAAGCCGATGGACCGCGGTTCCTTAAGGTGGACGCTGGTCCTTAAAGGTTGACCCTGGTCTATTATTGGTAGACCTCGGTCTTTCACAAAGGTAGATCTCGATCTCTGGTCGATAGGCACTCGACCCCCAAAGCCTAGGTGTCGACCTTGGGCATTCGACAATAGGCCTTGGTCCCTCGTCAATAGGCTTCGGTCCTTCGTCGATAGTCCTTGGTCCTTCGGTCGATGGCCTCTCGATCTCAGTCCCAGGAGTTCGACCTTGGTCCTTCGTCAATTGACCTCAATCCTTCGGTCAAAATGGACTCTCGGCCCTGGTTTCTAAGTTCGGCTTCGGTCCAGAGGTCCAGCTACCTTAGCCAATAAAAATCAATAATCAGGTCTCAGGATAAAGAGATAGTAAAGGAGTCAAAAGATAGGACTATATTACATACTACTCAATTTGCTATCTATGTAGCACGCCTTCGTCGTGCTTATAAGAAATTTACTTACGTGTATTCACCTGTTCCGAGAAGGGATATATTTTGGCCCCCCACCCCTCGAAGACAGCCGTGTGGTAAGACCCAAGTGTGAATAGAGCCCCAGGGTAGATTTGGCCTGTGAGTTTGTCTGAGTAGTCCCCCCCCAATCGACCCGCCATCGGAAGCGGTCTCCCTACCGTAGTGGTTTGGGGGCAAGTAAAGGCCAGGCGGTTAGCACCCCTAAGATATCAAGGAATAGGCCAGGGTTTGAGATTCTCCCCTGAGAAATTTGGTTATAAGCCGACCCTCAACCTAGTTGACCGAGTGAATACCGACCCGCCTACCGAGTGGAGTATATCCACTCGAGACACCCCAAAGTCGACGTCTCTCAATGCCGACATTGCATCTCCATTAAGTCCTCCAAAGCGTTCAACCCGCCAGCCGACGGGTAACAAGATGAGAGAAGGTTTATACGCGGCATCAGGGTACCCCCTCCAACAGTCGGCAGTCTGGCACAGTGAGTGGCTTGGGGTCTCATAACGCAGTTATAAGAGCCAACTCTATCACAATATTATTAACTAGGCACTTAACGCTTATAGACAAGCGTCGCAACACTAAATGCCTTAGCGTGATTGCAATGCACTGTAGCTTAAGGCGCAAGTTTCGTAACACTATGGTGCTTATATAGCGTAAGTGCAAAGCTCAGAGGCTCACTGATCGTGTACAGCAACGCAAAGCTTTGTACGCAGATGTGACAGTACTTAAGGTACGAAGGGTCACAACGTGGCAGAAAGCCACGTGGTCAGTATACTTAGTTCAAGTATCATGACAAAACATGTTTACATATAAATAAGCTACAGAGCCAGATAAATAGTGACTAGCACATAGTATAGAGTAGGCGCTTCCATATTTAGTACTATAAGTTAAACATCTAAATAAATCAATTTCAAACCTGCTCTGAATAGTATACGTGCTAGAGCGTTATCTTCCTTAAAAGAAAGGAATTGTATCTTTGATAGTGGTCTCTTGGAGACGCGATTGTTGCAACCAAAAGGCACAACCTTGTAAAGCTAGTCTTGGAGGGACAAGAACACTCAGACATACAGCTCTTGGAGCTAGTCTTCCTCTACTTAGTTTAAATGTAAATTTACTACGGTAGCCCTGCTACAAGAACTCTCCAGAGCCCGACCAAGAGCATTGCGCGCTGTTTCTAAGGGCTTTGACCGCAAATAACTAAGGCTCATGGTAATAAGATCATTCCATGCCTAAGGTGAGGTCATACCTCGCATTCAGGTCGAATATTAAACAGCCTTCTATCCTGTTCAGGGCCAAAAAATCAACATTTAAGTCCATAAGGACTTAGGACCGTCACACGCGTACCCGTTGCTAAGCGACCGTGACTGTATCACTTCCACGCGCTCTAAGCGCTCCATCATACTGTTGACTTACTTCCACAATGGTAAGGTGGGAATAATTGCCCAATGCCATCAAATCGATTACAATGATCCATGGCTTGTCAAAGCCCTTGACCATCCCTTAGACGACAAGTAAGCCTCACTTGCGTTCTTGTTCCTTTTTTGAGAGTTCGGGTCTCTTTAAAGCTGGACTCTGCTAACTTCTATCTCCTAGAGGCTCAACAGTTCTTCCTCAGTAGAGTGCCCCGCTTATCCTTGCGACCAGAGGTTTTCACCATGAGGCTTCGGACCTTTGAGGCCAAATATGCCTTTCTTGCAGGGCATTTTGCCATCAAATAGCCTGTGCAGTTGCTGATATAACATCTGCGCATAATATGCTGCTCTGCAGCATGAAGGTTAGATTCCTCTTCTTCCATTTGACTACAGTCCGTGGGAACCGGCCCATCAAACGAGTAGGTACAAGTGGCAGGCCTAGCGGCTTTAAGTTGGTCTCGGCGTTCAATGCCACTCCAACAGATTTTTAAATGAGAATGGGAATATATGGAGAACTTGCGTTCCGGAAACGCCAATTCGGAGGCTTTCCATGAAGACCGTGACGGTCACTACCTCTCGCAGAGGGTCTATAACCATGGCGTCGATAAGATTTCTCAACTCTTGCAAATATGCCGCAAGCTCTCGCTAACCTTACCGACACGCCAAAATTAGGGCGACGTCGGCGCGCTTGATTTAGCGGTGCATACTGCCGGGTCATCTGTGCCTTCAGATTGGCCCATGTTGGTAATGCATCTTGCAGTGATGCATTGCATGTGAATGTCCATTGCTTAGCTAATCCATCCAACTTACCCGTGGTCTAGCCAACACGGTACGTTTCATAGGTGATGTCGGCTATCAAGATGGCTGACTCGACCTGTCGGAACCACAGCATAGGGTTATCACCTTCTTTGCTGTCGAACTAATCGACTTCCATATGTACGGGTTTTGTTCTGCGGACCACTTTTTGCGCCGTAGTCGCCATAGGCGAAGCCGCAGAAGAAGACATCTGTGTCTTTACATGCTCGACTAAAGCAATTATTATACTCCTCAAGCATACGAATACGCTTGTTTACCGCTTCTTCGCCATAGGCGATGAGGTATTCTACATCTTTAGAGCCAAGGATAGGGAGCAGCTTTTGCGGCCCTCCTGTTGTGTCTGTGTCAGGCCAACCGCTGACATCTCACCTATGTCCATTCTCACAAAGAGAAGTTGCCGCAAACCCCGGTGCGGTATCGACTACAAGTGGTACCCGGGTTAAATAGGCAATGTAATAAAGCTACTTATGCAGTACAAACTAGCTCCAAGAGCTGCATGTCTGAGTGTTCTTGTCCCTCCAAGACTAGCTTTACAAGGTTGTGCCTTTTGGTTGCAACAATCGCGTCTCCAAGAGACCACTATCAAAGATACAATTCCTTTCTTTTAAGGAAGATAACGCTCTAGCACGTATACTATTCAGAGCAGGTTTGAAATTGATTTATTTAGATGTTTAACTTATAGTACTAAATATGGAAGCGCCTACTCTATACTATGTGCTAGTCACTATTTATCTGGCTCTGTAGCTTATTTATATGTAAACATGTTTTGTCATGATACTTGAACTAAGTATACTGACCGCGTGGCTTTCTGCCACGATGTGACCCTTCGTACCTTAGGTTCGGTCACATCAACCTACCACTGAACCTAAGGCACAGCAACACCACCATGGTATGGCAGGTGTGTGTACAATACACACCTTTTGTGATACCCTGTTACATCGTAACCAAAAATTGCTGTAAAGTCAACCTTTCTAGCATTTATTTACTACATACTTCAATAATAATTCGTTAGCAGTTGCTAACTAAAACGGGGACAAGCGCTGATTCCCGGTGCTATCTTTCAGTAGTGGAGAAGTGTCACGCTAGAATCGTACGCATGGCGCAGGGTCTTGCAAGCCCTGTACGGACTTTGAAACAGTCACTTGTAGAGCATTTGCAGGAGGTCGGTCGGCGGATGACCTTTGTTGACCACGATGTGAGTCAAGCGCGTGATCTAATCGAGGCTGTAGAGGCCTTTCTGAGAAGACTTAGTGTGCAATTGCTGGATTCGCACAGCGTCTTGAACGTCTGGAAGGATCGAATGCCGCTCTTCGTCGAGACTCCGCGGTGTTGCGTGGGATGTGCCAGCCTCCTCAGACGAGGTGACCACGCAATATATGAACGCGGTATACGCCCGTGGTGAGTCAACCGACGACGGAAGAATAGCCGGCCAGTAATGCTTGAGACGTCCAACATAGAAGGCTGAATGGAGACGCATCGAGAGAGGAATATGCAGTGTGTAGGCATCACCCTTAACTTGAGTGAACTTAAATGGACCAGTACATCGCGGTGTCAGCTTGTGGCACCGAGATTCGTAACCCACGCTTCTTGAATTTTATGTGTTGAGAGCAGTACGGAATCACTAACCTTGAACTTCTCGAGGTTCTTGCGTCCACGTTGGTCAAAGGACGCCTCATGCTTATCCACAGCAGAGACGATAGCGTCGCACACAAACCGCACGACGGACTGACGTTGTTGTACCAGCGCTTCAATCACTGTGGAATCGTACACGTGAACGTTCTGCATCGGTGTCACCTCGGGAGCAGCAACGTGGGATTTTACACCCGGTGACGGAGCTAGTTGAGCTGCACGGATTCCATAAAAATGGCATCCGAGTCGCTTCGTCTATGGTCGTCAGAGTAATCTCGCGCTGAGCAGTAGCGCGAGTCAGAGCAACGTTTGGCGAGTTGTCGAAGACTAACTGTGAAACGTCGCCGACAATAAGTCATCTGGTGTCCCTCCCCCAACAAGAGTAGGATAACCGGTCAATCCCCGAAGAACAGGAACGCGTGGAAGGCGTGTTGTTCAAGAAGAAGGGTGTTAACCCTGTATAAGCGTGGACTGTGTTTTTGAGTAAGAACTAGGCTATGGGAAGAAAAGAAATTTATGACGCTAACGATGTAGCGTAACTACGCAGCATATCCTCCAAGACGCGATTGATCCACTCAGTCTGACTATCCGTATCAAGTGGTCAGCGCTAGATATCATTAGGCGGGTGCTGAATACCTCGTACAGCCGAGACCAAATGCGGCGGTGAAGCGAGATTCCGATCCGAAAAAATTGTGGCAGGCATTCCATCATGCCGGAAGACCATGTCGACGAAGAGAAAAGCTGTCTCTTCTGCAGTGATGGACATAGTGATGGCCAAATGATGCGCCATCTTACTAAACCGGTCAACGATCACCAAAACGCCGGTGCACCTGTGAGCATTGGAGGGTAAACCAACTACAAAATTCATGTTTATGGAGCTTCAAACCTCCGTGGAGATCGGTAGCGGGAAAATGGCGCCTGTGACGACGTAGCTGGCTTTACGCGCTGACACACTTCACAAGAACGAGCCCACCTTTGCTCTTACTTGTACATATGAGGCCAATAAAAGCCCCTCGACAGCGCAAGATATGTCTTCTCGCGTCCCAAATGACCGCTTGACGCGCTGTCATGATACTCGTGGAGAACACACCCGCGAAGGTTGTCATCAAGGGTCACCGTCATCGCGACCACTAAGCACGATCAAACGCAGAACAAATGCTAGACATGGGCATATATCTTTGCATTGTGCACAGCGGGGCTAGGAAAACTTGTCGCCACTGCAGACACGTGTTCCCATATCCACCCAGACGCCCCGCGACTACTGGTTGCCGTCGTTTTGGCTGACCAGCGACGTTGACGGAGAGATTAGACGCAGCTACAGCGAAGAATGGTGCGGGCGCACATCATACAGACCAGAATCACGACAGCGGAAGCAAACCAGATGTTTCGGTTCGACAGGCTTTTCTTTATCAGGAACCCTGCGCACGCCGAGAGTGGGTTAGCGTGCTCGATCGCATCAAACTCCTTGGTATCAGGCTCTTGAGTAGCAGGAGGAGGCGAAAATATTCCATACGCGAAGCCATGACACTGAATTCTTCGAGTAACGTGATTGCAAAATGCCTCTTCAAAACGTAAAAAGCTTTTGCGTCAAATAAAAACGCTGATGTCCAGCGTCCATCACCGTGACTAACACGTGGAATCGTGTCATCGTATCGATCAAATTGGTGGCGACGCAGGACGCCAGGTGCCTTGCTTGCTGGATATATTCCAGCCTCGACTGGCGACACTAATTTAGCGCCAAGAAAGCCGAGCGGTGTTTGCTCATCATGCGGAGGCTCAAACGCCAGGCGCAGGTCGTATTTAAGAACCTTCATATCCGGCAACATCCCGGATGGGCCACAAGCTTGTCCACTGCCCACTCGTCTTGCCTGTCAGCTTGGACAAGACAAAGTCGGTGCGTGCCAACTTGGACTTGAGCTGGCGGGCTTTAACAGCGAGATCTACCTCACAGAGTCATTGGTTAAGCGCGAGTCGCTTCGGTTCCTCGCCGCTATAACACGAGATGTCGAGTTTGACAGCATCAGATCCTGTGGCATCCGCGGGAGCTAAAGCTCGCCGACGGAAATCGGCGAGTTTGCAATTGACGAAGTCTTGGAAGGCTACACGTTGTAGCCGCTCAGGCGTGTCCTTGAGCATAACTACTAGGGTAGTTATACCGGCCACGTCCGCTAGTCGACGGAAAGCTTCCCACTTGAAAGAGCCCAGATGCTGGAAGTCATCATGATCCAGCATCCCCCAAGTTAGCGCCTTAGATAGGCAGAGCGCTCATCTTCGTTAGAAAGGCCACGAATGCTACCAGGTTTAGCAGCGTAAGAGTCCGTTACGTTGCTTACACTCAATAATGTCTTACGAGGAAACGTTGAGGAACACGTCTTAATCGAACGCGTGTTCAATGTTAATTCAACTCTGTTTTATATGTATAACTTATTCTAAGTACGAGTAATTTCCAAACGTCTGAGAGCCACTCAATTTAAAGGTCGCATCCTATTGGCTGATAATGGACCTGGCTTTCACTTGTCAACAATAGGAATACGACACGCCGTACCCGCTGTATTGGGTGCAGCGTATGCCTTAATCTGTAATACCTGTACTTAGCTAAGTCAACTTGTAGATGGGCTGCTATATGGCACTAGCAGGATGTGTAGCCGAGCTACTGTAGCCACGCTACTTAAGCACTATGTGCAGTGGATGTAGCAAAGCTACTCATGCGTAATGTGCAGAGGAAGACAAGCTCAGAGAGCTTCTACGTCTTAGGGTGTTTAACCCTCCTAGGCTAGCTTGTAAGCTTGTGCCTATCGGTATTAACAACCGAGTCTCAGAGAGACTAGTATCAAAGATACAAATTCAACAGGGGGAATAGTACGCTCAAGCTGTAAGGCTTACAGAGCAGGTTTGAAACTGATTTATATTTATGTTTAGCTTCTAACACTAAATATAGAAGCACCTACTCTATACTTAGTGCTAGTCACTATTTACTGGCTCTTTAGCCTGTTATTATTATTGCAAACATGCATAGTCATGATACTTTAAATAAGTATAGTGACCACGTGGCTCTGCCACGATGCGACCTACTTTTGTACCCAAGGTACAGCCACACAACATTGGTGTGGCAGGTGTGTATGTAAAATACACACCTTCGTGTAACCCCGTGGTGTGACCTTATGTACTAAACCAAAATTGGAATGAATTTTGTACTGGGACAGAAATGGGTTACGTAGTAGAATATGCGCTCAACCTAACACCGAAACAAATGGTAAGATTTGCCGCAAGAGCAACCTTGGGGATATTACATCCTGTTGCTATTCAGCTCGACGCGGCAGCACGCATTGATAGGGCTTGCTTATAGAACACCACCAACTAGCTATTCTATGAGCAATAGTTGCAGACAAAATAGTTGATAGGGTATACTACAATCCCAGTAAAGTCAGCACCATGCCACTTTGGACTGACAACTACATACTTGTGAATACGCAAATCAACTTGTACTATATAGCAAAAAAAGCCGTCAAAGCTCCAAGTCACAGCTGACTCAGCCGAGGGCTCTTCACAACGTACACTTTGATGGGGATGGGAAAAAGATCGCGATCTTTTGAGCATCTGAAATACTTGTCTGCGTGGACGGAGAGCGTGATGCAAGAATCACAGGTTATAGCCTAATGACACATACAGTATAATCTAAAATGATGGCAGTCATGATTCGACCATGAGAGTTGTCGTATGTCCAAACGACCTTCGCTACACAATCTTTTTCGTGGCAAAGCGAATCATAAACTTCCACATACATGGCACATCCTTACGTTGTATCCTTGACAGCCGCTGGTAAACAAGACAGAAACCAAAGGCATGGCAATTGTATGATAATCGTGATTATCTGGCTATGTGGATTGTTTAGAATTAAATTACAAGAGGATTTCCATGCTGAACTTTGAGTAAGTACATGCACACACTAGACGTTCTTTACTTACTACTCTTGGCGCTAGCCCTGTCTAATAATTACAGAAAAGTCGAACAGGCGTAGTTTCCTCCCGACGGCACGAGGTATTGCGGCGTCGGATGCATGAGTGCGCTAGCACTCACGTTCACGGTGTTTCCTGCAAACACTGGCTCGTCCTGTCGAGTAAACCCATCAAGCGATGGCAGGAAGCTATCGATCCACTCAAGCGAGTCTACGTCCTGTTCACTCAGAGGCGGCGTGGCAAAACTACTGATTGACTGTAAATACCTCTGCGGCTCGATATCGTTTTCCATCAGCATCATGTCCATGTCGGTGGGTGACGGAATCGGCTGTCCCATGCCGCCCGGACCACCAGTGAGCACGGCACTAGGCACTTGAGGGACGCGGATCATAATATCTCGCTTCCATGAGTTCTTGCTCGGGAACCGCTGGGATCGTTGAGACTCTAGCTTTATGGGCTCCAACTCGACGCTGCGTTTTGGCACACCAGACACGGCAGGTCGTGGCTTCCGCGGCATGAAATTGCCGCTCATGTGTGCCGACCTCTTGCGCGTGATGTGCCAAGAGAGATCAGGGCGGTCGCGCAGGAAACAGTCGTTTGAGAAGGTGCAGACAACGGCCTTGGACTTAGTCCACTTTCTGAAGCTGAAGTAGTTGAGCTGGCGCTGGAAGCTTGCGTACTTGCGGTGCTTGAAATATTTGGGCAGTACCTCCTCCATCATACGATCCATGTCAAGGATCTCAAAAGCTCGGCCGTTGGGCGTCCAGCGCAAAATCTCGGCGCTTTCATTCTCAAGCATGCTGCGGAGGCTGCGCAGGAAAGGCGCCACCTCTTTAGGCTTGACTGACGTATTCATGCTGATGGGCGGTAGCTCATCGTGACTGAGGTTTGAGAGTACACGCATCGAGGTGGTTTTAGCAGCTTGTGATGGCTTTACTCGAGACGGGAAGATTGCAGAATGACAGTCAGCTAGCAAGCGATAGCAAGCGCGGGTCAAAAAAGACCGAGCAGCAACAGACAGGACTCGGTGCGGCTGCCGGTCACGAGTGGTACTGCTAAAAAGAGATCGTGCGGCATCATCCTGGGACCAGTGACGCCTGCCTGCCCAATAAGCTACGAGTTGCGTCGACCTAACGCGTCTTCGTAGCCGTTGTAGCAACGTCTTGCTTCATCACTTACCGCTATATGTATTCTAAGTGCTGCTTTCCACCGCACACTTGAAGCGCAGTCAGAGCTCGGCTGCTCAAGCGTAAAATAAGGTGGCGCTCGAGTGGGACAGCGGGTATCATGACCACGAGCCACCGATCGCCCGCCGTTGCCTCGTATCGTTTGCAGATTTGCCCGCGCAGATCTTAGACAGGCTCACGGCAGCCAGCGGTGGTGCCACTCCAGCAGGTCTTGTTGACAATACCAGCTGACATTACGGCCAGAGCGGGGCGCAGAACGAGTGGCGGAGCGCCATCGTACTAGACGGCTTGGGCACGATTGATGTACGTACGACACGCACGACAGCATGGGGCCAGGTGTGTTGATTCCCACCCATAGTAGCTGTGAAGTGCTATGACAATCTATGCACCATAGTCGTGAACAAAAAGACCCTTAAGAATGATACCATGGTAAAAATAACCAGCAGCTGTCGCAGTCACGGTGTGTTCCCCATGAAGACTGCCACGATGGCTACACGACAAGTACGCCAGGAAGCCAAACAGCCAGCTTGATCCTGCAGCTACTTTTTGTGAGTCCTTTCACGACATTGCTGCTGAAAGAGCCGAAACGAAGTGGTAGAGGAGCAAATCAGGGCAGTGGCGCAGTGGCGGGCAACCAATTTTTCTGAATTAGGCCTAATGAACTCATGATTCGCCTATTATGCATTTGCATTGCCATTGCTCATTCGACAACAAGACTAGCGAAAGTTCCAATGAGATGGGCATACTCAATGGTGGGAAACGACGGTAGTGATCGCTGAGGTTCTGAGCAATGCCAGGGGTTGCTTCTGTCACATCTTTTTCACTAATAATCGTAAAGCATTGTCATTACTCTTAGGTTGAGCAAAAGATCTGCGCGACGTGTATGAGCGAGAGGGCATGCTTTTCTTAGACGGGTTCAATCATGTGCGTGACATGGATTTAAGACTGTGCGCATGTGAGCTACCTTATTGTTTACGTCCGTCTGAGACAGTACTACATAAACGACAATGCCAAAATGAAACAGCACACTGTACTGTTATGAATGACGCTTCTGAGTTTGGCTCGCTCTCCAAGTCAAGCAGCTCGTGCTACCATCATTAGTCATATACTGGAAACTGCTATCTTCTCCCACAATACAGTCATTAGTCAACGTCACCGTGTTTGAGGTGCTACGAACCAGGTTTACTCTTGACCTAAGCAACTACCGTCATCGATGCTAACAGAGCAAACAAAAGAATCACAATAGCAGCAGTATTGCTTGACCGTGACGACTGCTCTAGTCGATGTGAGTATTCTGAATGACAGTACAGCATCATATTTGTTTACTCGACATGTGACAGTACACGCAGCTTGTAAACTGATAACAAATTGAAATAGGTAAGGATTTATACAACGCTTCGTACGTTCGTGAGGAGCACGAAAGCTGTATACCTCAAGTAACTAGCGGTAACACCATAAGTCGACGCACTTGTATCCTGCTTACTCCAGTTCGCCAAGCACGTAACCGTCTGTCACAAAATCTCCCTTTTCACAAAACAGTTCCTGCACCTTGCCATCATTTGGTGCCCGGATCAAGTGCTCCATCTTCATGGCCTCCATGATCACCAGCGGCTGGTTGGCAGTAATCTTTTCACCATTCTTTACCAGCACCTTAATGATCTTACCTGGCATTGGCGCTACGATCTTGCTGTGTGCAGCGGCACCTGAGCTCCCCTCTGCTGGCTCAAAAGACGGTAAAGGGATGTAAAACTTGTATTCATATCGCTGGCTGTTGTCATCGCAGAAAAGATGTAGCTCGTTATTATGAACCACGGCAGTTCCCTTGAATATTCGATTGTCCACTCGGAGCTTGAAGTCGCCGTGCTCGTCGATCGTACCACTAACCGAGAGGCTGTCCAGAGAACTATTGTCACCAATCAAAACTTCGTAGTTGGTTTTTGATAAACATTTGACAGTCATCGAAGCTTTCTCGTCGTCGTAGCTTAGGCAAAGCTTTTTCTCCAACGTTTCCAATGAACGGAAATGTGAAAGGGAATCGTCCAGCCATGGAGAGTGGAGCTCACCATTACGGCTCTCACCTGGTAGGCATTTGCCCTGTTCCAGTATAAGTAAACTTACAGCTCCAAGTGCCTTTGCATAAGGAGGATACGTTCCCAACGACCCAAGGACCTCGTTGCCAAACTTGTTAAGAAAACTCGTATCAACCTCACCCTCTCGGAACGCAGCGTGGTCTACTGTGCGAGCCACAAATTCGATGTTTGTGGGAAGGCCCACGATCTGGTACTCGTGCAATGCTCGAACCATCTTGTCCAGCGCTTCCTGGCGGTTCTCACCGTGTACAATTAGCTTGGCGATCATTGGGTCGTAAAAAATTGACACTTCGTCACCTTCAACAATGCCAGTGTCCACACGAACCGATTTTGATGTAAGGGGTAAGCGAAGGTGCTGCAACGTTCCGCTCACAGGAAGGAAGTCACTGTGACACAAGACGTACACGATTAGAACAGTATCCCTAACTAGATAGCAAGTAAGCTTTAACAAAACGTACTTGTATGGGTTTTCGGCATAGATACGAGCCTCAACAGCATGTCCGTGAATTTTCAGATCCTCCTGACGGATTGGAAGCTTGAAGCCTGCGGCAACCTTCAGTTGCAGCTCAACTAAATCTTGCTTTGTGATCATTTCAGTAACTGGATGTTCTACTTGAAGACGGGTATTCATCTCCATAAAATAGAACGACTCGTCTTCATCTAGCAGAAATTCAACCGTGCCAGCACCAACGTAGCCGACCGCTTTTGCTGCGGCTACAGCTGCATCTCCCATTTTTTGACGCAGCGCTTCGGACATGTTGGGCTACCAAGAAAATCACAACAAATCGTGTCAGTCTGCACCACTTTGCAACATATTCCACAACAGCTGCACTTACAGCTGGCGCTTCCTCCAAGACTTTCTGATGCCGACGTTGTACACTGCAGTCTCTCTCAAATAAGTGAATGACAGTTCCATATTTATCTCCAAAGATCTGAAGCTCTACGTGTCTTGGTTTCTTCAAATACTTCTCAATCAGCACTCGCCCGTCTCCGAAAGATGCCTGTGCCTCTCTCACACAGGCATCCAGAGCTTCTTGTAGATCTTTGTCTTCATCAACAATTCTCATGCCTTTGCCTCCACCTCCCAAAACCGCCTTAATGAGTACCGGGTATCCAATCTTCCTCGCTTCTTTTTCTAATGTATCAAAGCTCTGGTCTTGTCCGTGATACCCAGGGGTCACCGGTACACCGGCCTTAATCATAATATCTTTGGACGCACTCTTGGATCCCATGTCTTCAATAGATTTGATTGGAGGTCCAATAAACTCGACACCAGCTTCTTGACAAGCACGAGCAAATGCCGCATTCTCCGATAGAAAGCCGTAGCCTGGATGCACAGCTTCAGCCCCCGACAGACGACAAATCTCCAGGATCTTGGGAAAATTCAAGTAGCTCTCACTGGCGGCTGCAGGGCCCAATCGATAGGCTTCTGTAGCCAATTTTACATGCTGCGAGTTGGTATCGGCATCGCTATAGACAGCAACAGTCTCAATGTTTAGCTTTTGGGCCGAACGTAAGACGCGCAAAGCGATTTCTCCGCGATTGGCTACGAGAATCTTGCGAAAATTGCGAGATAATGTGGAGAACGAGCACCTGGATGTAGAGTTGCGGAGAATAGATGGCTGAAGATGGTAGAAGCGCAGCATGGCGACGTTGAGAGCGCAGTAAGCTACGGAATGACACACGTTGACCAGTTGGGGAGCTCGTAGTTGAAGTAGGGAAGACTTTAATGTGAATATCCTGTTAGGGTTCATGTCTTGGCAACCTGAATTTTGAGCATTCGGATAATTTGATTGGTGTGGAAACATCAATATTCGATTTCATAAACGAATAACCTTTCTAGTTTTGATAAAAAGCTCACCACTTAGCGGTATATGTTGTCAGTAAGTGCTGATTGATCATGGGGCAAGAAATGTTTCCAGCTTGTAGCAATGCAGTAGAGACAATTGCATCAAAGATCTTGTCGCTCTGGAGATAAACCTCAAAGGAATCAATACCTGCTGCCAGTTTCTGGAGCTCCAATGATGCATCTTCCTTGGTAGCACTTTGTTGTAGTCTGGTCTTCCATTCTGAATACTCCACTACTGCCAACTTTTTGCGAGCTGTTGCAGCCGTAAAGAGCAAAAAAAACGCATCGCTCTTCATAGGTGGTGAAGGGTTCTGGATGTGCAGCGTCTGGCCAAGTGCCTCTACTGGTCGACAAGCAGCAAAGTGCACGATGGCACGCGCTGCATAATCCACTGGAGTCATGTCAAAGTACCAGTCGGAGCGGTCGGGCACAGCGCCGAGACTCACGCAACCCTTGAGCAACAAGTAGATAAAATCGCTAGTGTTCCACTCGCCCGCGACCGAGGACGGAACCATGTTGCCGGGACGCAAAATCGAGACTGGGAGGCCACGCTGGGCAGCCTTGTGGCACATTTGCTCGGACACCCACTTACTTTGTGCATAACCGTTGTCAAGTTGATCGGACAGCTCGCTCAAGTCAGCGTTTTCCAAAAACCTAGGCGCGGCCAGTGCAGATGGGAAAACTCCATTTGTTGAAATGTAGTGAACAGGCTTCACGCGTGTCTTCGCCAACCCGTTCGTCACCGCTAGACGCAACACTTCTTGCGTGCCCAGCACGTTAACGCTCTTCAAGGCGGAATAAGGCTTCACTAAGTTAACATCCGCGCCGTTGTGCAGAATCGCATCAATCTCAGTTGCCAGCATTTTGAACGTGTCAGCGTCAAGACCTAGAAGCGGTTGCGCGAGGGTGCCTGGGATAGGAACCACTCGGTCCTCCAGATGAAACTTTTGCGCTTCATCAAAAAGCGCAAATTGCTTCAACGCTGTTCTAATACGATGCATTGCCGCGTCCTCATCAGCGGCACGGACCAAGCAGAAGATGATGCATGTCGAATGCTTCAGCAAAGCGTGCAGCAGATGAATACCTACAAACCCAGTCGCTCCTGTCAGGAAAAGGTTACGTGGAGGCAAGCCCACCATTTCTACGCGGTAACGACTGTAACCAGCCTTGCGTGTGGCTGCAGGGTATATCGATGCATCCAAGACCGCTTCCAGTGGCAGAACTACTTTTTTCTCCGCCATTTTGATGTCTGCAAAAGTATTGCGTTCGCTGGGACCGCCAAGGGCCTTGTCGATTCGCAATGCGATACTACACAGCATAGGCGAAGACAATATGTCTGCCAATGTCAAGTGAACGCCATATGTGTCGCGAATGCTTGAAACCAATCGTGTAGAAAGCAGACTATGGCCACCTACATCGAAAAAGCTTGCTTCACGATGCAACACGCTGTCGTTTTCAAGACGGAGAAGCTCTGACCAAATGGATGCAAGCTTCTTCTCAGTATCCGTCTGCGGCAGGTTCTTCGGGTCCACCGACAAATCAATTGATTCGTTGCGCAGCTTCTTAGCCTCCTCAACCGACGGCATCTTCTTGCGATCCAGCTTACCACTTGCACTGTTAATTGGAAGCGCATCCAGCTGCACAAATATAGACGGAATTGCATAGTGCGGAAGCTTCTGCTTGAGAAACTCGCGAAGATTTGATGCGCTCGGCACTTTCTCCCAGTCTTCTGGTACAATATAGGCGACCAAGCGCTTGTCTTCACCCTCGTCTCCTTCCGTCAGCACCACCGATGTCGACACAAGAGAGTGCTGAGCTAGAGCTGACTCGACAGCACCCAGCACCACACTGTACCCGCGAATCTTCACCATAAAATCGCAGCGTCCGATCAGTTCAAGGTGGCCATTTGGCAAAAAGCGTGCACGATCACCCGTTCTGTATACAGTCTCTCCTGGAATGACGTGATTGAGGAAACGTTCTGCTGTCTGCTTGGGGCGATTAAGGTATCCAATGGCCAAACAGGGTCCACCAATATACAGTTCTCCAGGTACTCCAATAGAAACAGACTTGTATTCGTCATCTAGCACATAGGCTTTCACATTAGGCATGACTTCGCCACAAGAGGCATACTTTGTAGATAGCGAGTTGTCGAATGTCGTCATTGCAGCAAGATCCACCGCGCTCACGTCATGACACTCCGATACGCTGTAGAGGTTCTGCAGCTTGCACTTCGGAAAAAGACGAACAAAGCGATCACGCAGCTCTAATGTCACAACTTCGCCGCAAAGCCACACCACTCGCAGCTTCGAAAGCTTTAGCAACAGTTCACTCTTCAAACAGGTGTCAAGAATCAATTGTAAAAGTGACGGCGTAAAGAGAATGCGAGTAATATCGTGAGTGTAAAGATAATCTACCAGCTTGACGGGATCGTAGATTACATTGTCCGGAATGACGTAAAGCGGTCGATTTCCAAGCATCGGTCGTAGCAGTTCCCAGACAAAAAAGACATGGCATGCCACACGGTCATCTTCTTCATACGGACAGCGGGTGAGACGCCAGTCATAAGAGTGCACAGCACCACGATGAGGACAGCATATACCTTTAGGTACGCCTGTGGTTCCTGAAGACATGACCACGTAAGCCAGATCATCCGGGTGGGTGCGCGTGCGACCAGGAGGCATCACAGGAATGTTTTTCTGAGCCAAGATATCAAGCCAACCATTGTCCAGCTCAAGTGCTTGCTGCCAGGACGGTAGGCGGCTGCGAAACTTCTTTTTGGTCAGCACAATCGTTGGCTTGGATTCTTCCATGACGCGTTCTAGAAGATCAGGAGGATACACAATCTCCAGCGGCATGTACGCCCCACCAGCCTTCAGTGCAGCAATATATGCTACCACGAACTCAATGCAGTGCTCCATGAAGATGCCTGAGATGCAGTTAGGACGCACGCCAGCGTGAAACAGGTAATCAGCAAGTCGTTCACTCTGCTCGTCTAATTCGTGAAACGTCAAAGTTCTGCCTTCGTAATGCAAAGCAACTGCGTCAGGAGTTCGCTTGACCGCCTCCGTAAACATGTCGTGCAAACATTTCTCCGACGGATACGACCCAACTTTCGAGTTTAACCCGTCGATAAAAACGCGCGACTCCGTCACAACAATTGCAATCACGGCCTCCAGTTTGGCAATAAAAGCTTTGGTAAAATCTTCATGACTCTCACCGCTTGTCAAGTAAAAGTGTCCACCAGGAAACACCTTTACATTGAATTCCCTATCCTCATCGCAGATTTCCTTCCACTTCGATAAAGAGTCCACCGGAACTGCTGAATCTTCCGATCCTCCAAACACCGTCACATCAGAAGGAATCTTCACCACTTGCTGCTGCTTGAGCCAGTGCACGACATCATTATGCAGCTTCAGATCGGCACGCAGCTTACTCAGCAACTTTTGTTTTTGCTCTGGAATCTTCAGCAGCTGCTTGTCCGTGTCCCCCCATTGATCCAGCAGCTCCAGCAGTTGCACATCTTGCTCTAATATATCCACGTTGTACAAATCCCACATATAGGGCCCCGCAGCCCCCGAGAAGAACATGTGGCGAGGAGTCGACAATTTGTGCTGCTTCAGAAAGCACGTCAATGCTAGTGCCACCAACGCACCAAGACTGTGGCCTACCAGCACAAACGGCTTGCCAAAAAAACCGCTGCCCAGCTGCTTACAGATGGCAGTTACGAGATCTAGTGAAACAGCAGCAGCGTCCTCGACAGTGTCGTCTGCCAATGACCATATCCAGTCCACGCCCCAAACCTCTACGGCAAGATTTGCAGCACCAAAACTCTTGCTCCACTCAAGCGCAAGGCCACGTGATAAGCCACCTGCATGTGGAAGCACTAGCATGCGTAAAGGATCTAGCTCCGTCTCTTTAAAACATGTTGCGGTCACTTGCAGCGCCATTATCTTTTACTCTGTCTCCTCTGTCTCCGGTCAAGCCTTGGGGGTGACAAAATGCAAGAGGAATCAGTGCTGACGAAGTCGATAAAATCAATTATCCGGTTAGACGGGTTATTAGCTAACACAAATCTGCGTGAACAGACGCTAAGATAGCAAACGATATGTTCATCTTATCGTGTGTACAAAGTATGCTGGTGGGTGGGTGAATATATTCGTATCATTTGCATGGCGTTGAGCTCTAAATGATGCAGAAGATACGTGGTATTTGTATTTCCTTATAAACGATCTAATGGCTGTACATAAGTAGTGTCTCGATACCAGACGTCATTTATAGACAGGAAGAACTTGGTAGAACGCTGGCTAGTACATTTTTGATGTTTATCGATATCATTCATCTCGGAGATGTGCACCGTCAGTGCTGGCAAGAACATGGACGACAACATGTGTCTTTTCGTGTAATCCATGGGAGCTCTTTATGTCTACAGGCGGTTGAAGAGCTTTCTAGTTTACAACCAAATGATCAGCGGTAGAATAGAGAGCGAAATGAAATGGCAACAACGCCAAGCGCTCACTGTTCTGCCGTACGACTTCATCGTGAGAGGAACAGTCATTGCATCATACGGACAATATATTGTGGACATTTTCTATTTGCAGGCCACCACGCTGTCTTCAATCGACTCACAAGTGCATTTGTTTCGAAAGGCTTTTTTATACGTTCATTCATGGACTAAACTTCCGGAATCGTGTCAGCGTTTGACTGGTTGAAGTGAAAACCTAATCAGTCTTGATCACTTGAGTATACAATTATACGTAACATTTAGCCATGGATATTTCATCTAAATGCTCGGTACAAGGTCAGATTTATTTTAATTCTCTAGTATTTTAGCGTAAAAATGCATCTCGCTCTGTTGCTTTACAGCCAGCACCCCGGTAGCACACCGAAAGAGCCAGCTTGGTAGTAATACTCTGTTACTTGATTGGCTCGAGGGTGTTCCCATATGAATTGCGTCAATTGAATTGCTTTAACAAATGCTGACACACTCTAAAAGACTTCATTACGCGCACCTCGTTCTTGGAGCATATGGACCAGCGTAATACCCCGTATGGTATGCCTGTTGGTCGTGGAGGAATGGCAGGTAGTATCTCCCAGCAGCATCAGCATCAACATATGCTGCAACCAGGAATGCAGCAGCATTACAATTTGCAGGATATGATGTTTGATCCTTTGCCCATGAGCAATAGCATGTACCACCAGCCATCAATTATGAGCGGCCTTATGATGCACCAGCAACACCCCGGGACACGTGAGGGAGGTATGCAGATCCAAGGTGGACTGATGTCTCATCATGGGATGGTGGCGCCCGTGGACGACCTGGATGACCTCATGAGCGCGCTGGGGGATTCTGTCGGCATGAGTGCACAGCAGCAACAACACCTCGGTCCAATGCCTAGCCACGTCTACGATCAGCAGCATATTATGCCATCACATTCGCAAGCAGCACCCAATATATTGCCAGGAAGGACACAAGGACTGTCCATGACGAATCAAGGGCCGCCCATGCAGCAAGGTGGTATGTCTGGCTCTATGCACCTGAATCAGATGCCACCCAATGGGATCAGAGTTGGTGGCCGCCTCGGTCCAGGTATTCACCAGCAACCTAATATGGGTGTGCCGACGGTGCCATCTAACCTCGGTGGTCTCGGTATTACTATTCCAGCACCCATTTCTGCTGCACCTCGACAGAATGCTGTTGCACCAAGTGCTATTGTTCCCACTTCGACGACTTCCAAGTCATCTAGCAGCTCGCGTGCGATGGCGACATTGAGCAATAATGGTGGTAGTAGCGAAGAGGACGATTTGGGCGAAGATGATGCTCAGAAAAAGAAAGAGCGTCGTCGACAGCAGGTTCGTTATGCTTCGCGTCGCCGTCGCAAAAAACAGAAGGACGAGGAGAGTTTCTTGCGCGATCGTATTGCCGAGTTAAAGGAACAGATCCGTATCATCGGTGGTGATCTGACGGAGCAGTGCTCTCAGATGGCTGGCATGAGCGAGCAGGCATTGGCGGAGGCGTACGAGAAGCAGATGGCGACAGTGCAGACTTTGCGCAAGGACAACAACAAGCTGAAAGAGCAGCTTTTACAACACGAGAACTTTGCTCGCATGATTCAGTACGGTCTGAACGCGCTACCAAGTGATTGTCGTGACGTGGATCGCAAGAAGATTGCTGGTGTCCCTATGTGGATCAGCGACCAGATGAATCCTCTGAAGGGTTCGACGTTGGTGGTGGATCTGAATTTGTGTCACGAGGCTGTGCGTCACGCGTACAATGAGCTCAAGACATTTGGTCCGTCTGTGAACTCGAAGACAAATGTGTGCTATGCGATGGGGTGGAAGACGGAGTTGTGGGCCGCAAGCACGTGCCTGAATTTCCGGGCAGTTCGTTCGATCAGCGACAAGAATATTCGTGAAGTAGCCAATGCGTCATGGGATATCATCACGTCTCCGGACAAATGCAAGCGCATTTACCCGGACGTGAAACAGTTTCGTATTTTGCAGAAGGTGACTGATGATATCGTGGTAGTGCATCGTATCGCCTCAGTTGCATCTGACATGTCCGATCGAGAGTTCATTTCTGTGGCGTTCCGATTACGTGATGGTGATGACTATTACATTGGACTGAAATCCATTACAGTCCAGACCGAGGCTGCTGAGAACTGTACTCGTGGTGAAGAATGCCAAGGATGGATGTTTATTGGTGCGGAGAACGAGACGTCGCCCTGGAAAGCACACTTTTTGGGTTACTATGATGTGAAGGGTGAGAAGGATGACAAGGTGCTGAACCAGTTGGCGAATGAAGCGATGTTTGGTATGCTGCGATGGGAAAGTGAGGCGATGCATCCGTTAGATGTGTAAAGCAGTAGATTGTCTACGTCTTGTTGACCTCTCTCAGGCGCGTAATGAATGGTTTGTGACAGTCTACTGATAGGTATCTTTGCCCAGCGAAGATACACAGCTGTTGACAATACTTCGTATACTGCAAATGAGGGTCTTTAGGCTTGTATTGTGTTGAATCAAATAGTTGCGTTTATACTGCTAAAGAGAGTGTATTACCCTGTGCTTGCATGAGAAGTAAGCATCGACACTACCAGTGGTTATTTGCCACGTGTCTACGTTAAACACCTAGTTACAAGCGAAGTGCTGAACAGGTGGAGTACTTACGTCGGAGAGGACGTAATAATTTTGCAACCATACTCTCAAAAGGAGTCGGCGGTAGCACTGCACAGCCTTACTGTACAGTCTTACTGAACTCAATGAGTGCTATGAGTACGCTACATTAAGGTACGCGAAATAAATCTGACTCATCCGATATAATGACAAAACGAAAGGCGACAAGATTTGTCTTGACAATTTGAGTGGTCGACTTGTTTACTTGCTTGCTTCTTCTCATGAACGACAACTCCGTACTACTACGCTTTCACCAGTAGTAAAATAGGCAGTGTAGCTTTGTATAAAGTAAGAATAAAAGTAACAGTCTTGCAATGACATCTTTATATCTACGTTACTACTTAGGGCCTGTTTGTCACCACCATATGGACTTGCACATGTATCGATCAAATGACATACATCAAAGCAATTGACGAAATATAAAGCAGTTTCATTCAAAGCCTTCTTTCGATTCCATGGATCCTCTCATCAAGAGAAAACTTGATACAAAAAGTAAGTGTAATTGTATTCGTACAACATTGTCTTTTTTTCGGTGAGATGCGCACTTCACTTGACGGCTGCATATTGCCGTTTCTGTTCACTGACTTAAAGGATACATGTGGGTTCCATATTTTATAGCAACTGTTCGTAGGATGATGTATGTATGATCAACAAAGTACTACCCTCTTTTACCAAAGCCAAATAAATACATAGCAGCTCAATGTATACAATCAGTATACAATGCTTTGCAGATACGTAGTCAAAAAAATGAGCCAAAATTGCCCATCTCTATTCAGTCAATTGTCATTGGTGGAAATGAATTGCAAATGAATTGCAGCCGCCCAGATGTGCGCAGATAAAAAAAGCAGCACATACCAATCTGCGAGCAAAGAGGAAGGACGAGACGATTGCTATTTATCTATCTATAAGATGGATCAGAATACTAATCCATACGGTATACCTGCTGGTCGTGTAGGAATGCCAAATGGGATACCACATCAGCAACAACGTGGACCCCAGCAGCCATCAATGCAGCATTACGGAATGCAGGATATGATATTTGATCCGCTGCCTATGAACAACGGACTGTACCATCCTCCGCCTCAAATGCATCAACAACATACGGGCATGGGGCTTATGCAACAGAACGGAATGGTGGCTCCTGAAGATGATCCACGCTTTGTGGATGACCTGTTGGGTGCACTCGGTAGCGACCCTGTGGGACTCCAACAGCAACAACACCTCGGTCCAATGCCTAGCCACGTCTACGATCAGCAGCATATTATGCCATCACATTCGCAAGCAGCACCCAATATATTGCCAGGAAGGACACAAGGACTGTCCATGACGAATCAAGGGCCGCCCATGCAGCAAGGTGGTATGTCTGGCTCTATGCACCTGAATCAGATGCCACCCAATGGGATCGGAGTTGGTGGCCGCCTCGGTCCAGGTATTCACCAGCAACCTAATATGGGTGTGCCGACGGTGCCATCTAACCTCGGAGGTCTCGGTATTACTATTCCAGCACCCGTTTCTGCTGCACCTCGACAGAATGCTGTTGCACCAAGTGCTATTGTTCCCGCTTCGACGACTTCCAAGTCATCTAGCAGCTCGCGTGCGATGGCGACATTGAGCAATAATGGTGGTAGTAGCGAAGAGGACGATTTGGGCGAAGATGATGCTCAGAAAAAGAAAGAGCGTCGTCGACAGCAGGTTCGTTATGCTTCGCGTCGCCGTCGCAAAAAACAGAAGGACGAGGAGAGTTTCTTGCGCGATCGTATTGCCGAGTTAAAGGAACAGATCCGTATCATCGGTGGTGATCTGACGGAGCAGTGCTCTCAGATGGCTGGCATGAGCGAGCAGGCATTGGCGGAGGCGTACGAGAAGCAGATGGCGACAGTGCAGACTTTGCGCAAGGACAACAACAAGCTGAAAGAGCAGCTTTTACAACACGAGAACTTTGCTCGCATGATTCAGTACGGTCTGAACGCGCTACCAAGTGATTGTCGTGACGTGGATCGCAAGAAGATTGCTGGTGTCCCTATGTGGATCAGCGACCAGATGAATCCTCTGAAGGGTCCGACGTTGGTGGTGGATCTGAATTTGTGTCACGAGGCTGTGCGTCACGCGTACAATGAGCTCAAGACATTTGGTCCGTCTGTGAACTCGAAGACAAATGTGTGCTATGCGATGGGGTGGAAGACGGAGTTGTGGGCCGCAAGCACGTGCCTGAATTTCCGGGCAGTTCGTTCGATCAGCGACAAGAATATTCGTGAAGTAGCCAATGCGTCATGGGATATCATCACGTCTCCGGACAAATGCAAGCGCATTTACCCGGACGTGAAACAGTTTCGTATTTTGCAGAAGGTGACTGATGATATCGTGGTAGTGCATCGTATCGCCTCAGTTGCATCTGACATGTCCGATCGAGAGTTCATTTCTGTGGCGTTCCGATTACGTGATGGTGATGACTATTACATTGGACTGAAATCCATTACAGTCCAGACCGAGGCTGCTGAGAACTGTACTCGTGGTGAAGAATGCCAAGGATGGATGTTTATTGGTGCGGAGAACGAGACGTCGCCCTGGAAAGCACACTTTTTGGGTTACTATGATGTGAAGGGTGAGAAGGATGACAAGGTGCTGAACCAGTTGGCGAATGAAGCGATGTTTGGTATGCTGCGATGGGAAAGTGAGGCGATGCATCCGTTGAGTGTCTAGGGCGCGCGTGTTTATTTGCTCGGTGCAGATTTTAATTTGAACCTTATATTCGAGTTGCAAGCCATGGCTATCAACTTCAGTCGTCTAGAACGTCAGACCGAGATCGCGTCTGTGTGTGTCGATGTACAGATCCATAGCTTTACAAACTATAAGCAGTCTTGAAACGATGCCTCGTTAATCAGCTACTGACTGATCGAAGTAGAAACAACGTTGCAACGACGCAGTCCCATCAAGTCTGCTTTCAATACAGCAAAGTACCTATAAATGCTGTATCCATTTCCAATCTGTAAAGTCACTTCTTAACTCCAATCCTCACGACTCTGAGGCTTGTGCTTACGTTATAACGACAAGTACGTATCATGTGTGAGTAGTAATACAACTCTTCTTCTACCAGCAAACATCAGAAACACGTCAGATGGAGCAAGCAGATAGATAAATGGCTATAGGATATCTCAAATAAAGCAGTAATCAAGCCATATTTAACAATAAATAGCTCACACCTTGTTCTTTTTAGCCAATCCCATCACTCCATCAGATCATTTCTTTCAAATTATTATTCATCTTAAAGGACAAAAGCATCAGATTTATGATGCCAAACAAATCGGACACTTCAAGCAGCTCTGGAGCCAAGAAGATGACACCATGTTCGTTCTTTGCAGCTGGAAAATGTTGCAATGGTAGTAGATGCAAGTTCTTTCATGCTCCACGAGAGGATCTGGCCGTGAGTCCACTGCCCTGTAAGTTTTTCTTGCAAGGTGCGTGCAATGCGGGACGTAAGTGCAAGTTCTTGCATTCAGTTGAAGCGCAAGTGACATCAACGCGTGTAAGCTCTAGTACTGGTGATAAGATGATAATTCCAGGAGCTTATGGAATTCAATGCAAGTTTTTCAAGAATGGTGGCTGCTCCAATGGGGAGAAATGTCCGTACTTGCACGTCGAGAAAAAGAAGACAGAAGAGAGTCAATACAAGGATAATAAAGAGGATAAGGTCGAGGATACTTGTACACCTGAAATTAGATCTGATGAAGAAGAAAAAGTGATGAGTTTAATGGCCGAAGCGTCGCATAAGAAGGAGCAGGAAAGAATCGAAAAGAATGAAATGACGGACTTTATTTCAAAGGAGGAAGGTTAGTAGCAGGATTTTTTCAATCTCTTACATTTTGTAATGCTGAACTTTTGGTTTGGTGTGGATGGCGATAGAATTGTATTACTATGGTGCACCTGGAGAATTTGAAGACGCCATGGCTGATTCTGTAGTACCCATGCTGAAAGAGTCGTACGTGGAAGTTGCGAAGAAGAACGTGACAAATACACCGCATGCATTTGATGAGGAGCGTCCCGCACCACCGTATGTTTTTATTTTTGTCACCGGACTACCTGTTGATACGATCTAGTAACTGATCGACTTGCTGTTGTTTTCACAGCAAAATCTGTACCTTCTTTTTGCAAGGAATGTGCCGATACGGCAACACGTGCTTTTACACGCATTCCCTGCCGGAGCGTGCTGCTAGCGAGGAAGACTTGCTTGCGATGGAAGAGGAGATCGGGTTTTCACAAGATCTGGAATGCGGCATTTGCTATGAGAACGTGATTGGCAAGGGTGAGCGTTTTGGATTGCTATCGGGATGCAACCATTCGTTTTGTCTCACATGCTTGCGAAATTGGAGAGGTACTGCTGATCAGCCAAAGCAAACAGTACGCCAATGTCCAGTGTGTCGTGTGGAGACGAGTTTTATAATTCCGTCTAGTCGGATGGTTACCAAGTCGGAGCGTAAGAAAGTTCTCATCGACGAGTACCTAGTACGTGCCAGTTATTTGTATTGGGTTCTTCTTCAACACAACGTATGCTTATGAGAGATCTTGCGCGTTAACAGAGAAACCTGTCGGCTATTCCGTGCCGTCACTTCGATGAAGGAAGGTATGGCAACCGTTTGTTGGTGTTTCTTGCCATGCATCTAATAAGTCTGTTGCATTTGTGATGGGTTACGTGCAGAGGAACCTGTTCATTTGGCACTAGCTGCTTCTACGCACATCGTTTTCTGGACGGCACTTTGGAATCACGCCAAGTGCGAGTTACGGTCGACGCTGATGGCGAGTATGATGTCCTCCGTCAAGTTCGTCTCGAGCACTATTTCCAACAAAGCCATAGCAATGAACAATTGCTCTAAGCTTGTACAGTGCACCCGTTTTGTGGAAAAAGGCATTTTTTTCCGTTTATATTGCTGCATGTTTAGAGCTTTGCATTGATTCCTCATGCGTTGTATGCGTTTCTAACCAGCAATGCCAAAGGAACGTCACTTGCGTCATGCAGGATGATGATCTACGTACTTATCGGTAATACAAGACGCCAATGAAATAGTGCTGCATATGTGACGTTGCTATTACCGACCTTAGAAGCTACACTGAGAGGAAGCAGACATGTCAAGCAGACGTCTCCGCTACGCGTGTCGTGATCGAGCCATCTGTCTGTCCAAAGTAGGCTTTCTGAGCCATACCACAGAAGAGACCGACCTCGACTACACCAGGAAGAAGCTTGAGATGATTGCAGAGCGTCTTTGGATCGCTGATCTCTCCGAAATTCACATCAAGCACAAAATTTCCGTTGTCTGTCACCACAGGACCAGCCTTGCATTTGGCCATGCGCAGCACTGGCTTGCCACTAAAGTCCTGTTCTATCTTGTACATGAGTGGCACATATGCCATCGGGACGACCTCAACAGGCACACCCTGGACCCACTGCTCACCAAGCTTCTTCGACTCTTTGCGGTAGTCAGCAATGACTATAAATTTTTTGGCTGCAAAGGCTACAATCTTTTCCTGCAGCTGACATCCACCGCCTCCCTTGATACAGTTGAGGTGCAAGTCCACCTCATCAGCACCATCGATAGTCACATCGATGACAGGATTTTCGTCCAGACTAGTCAGCATGAGCTTGTGCTGGGCAATGAGCTGCAGGCAAGAGACAAAGTATGAATCAAAACAACAACAAGAGAGCACGAAATGCATTGAGGTCTAGAACACCTGCTTAGCTTGAAAGGATGTGGGGATACATGTAATGTTCGTAATCTTTTGCTCCTGCACGAGCTCTCCAAGATGTTCAGCAGCATATACGACCGTGGAGCCACTGCCAATACCTACAACAAATCCACTCTGGACGTGCTCGTCCACTGCTTGACGTGCTGCCTGCAGCAATAAATCAAAATATCGAGCATCAGCCTAAACATTGATGACCATAAGGCGGTAAGTTTGCAGACCGCGCGTTTCGACTGTTCGATGGAGCTCAACATGTTGGAATCGGTCGATTCTAACGATACCTGGAGTGACCGATGACCGACCGATGGAGTCTAAAATACCGGTAATATCTTTCTTGAAAATCGATTCGATATACTTGCCATATCTGCCTATTCAATCACTGACTGACAAATGAACAGGTTTTGAATGATGAAGAATGTGCATGTATCTTTGCTTTATTATTCATTCGTACGGTTTGTTCTCTCTTCGTAGTTTATTCACTTTCTCTACTTCTTTCACTTTGCTTATTCTTGCACGATGATACATTTAGATAGTGTTGACTGGTACAGATTGCAAGCAGCTCCGTATGTGTAACTATCAATTGTTTGTTAGGCATGATGCCGCTTCTTTTTCTTCATACGTGAGACAAAAACGATCGCCTTGCTCCGTCACAGGTAGCACCAGGTACTTCAGATGAATGACATGTCACTTAACAACCATGCCTTCACCAACCATCGCGTCGAATGTGGCGTGTGCCGTGCTTCAATGGTTTGAGAGCTCTTCGCAGTGTCAGAAGAAGATTCCTGCTTCAACATGGACTGTACTAGCCGGTATTGTGTTGCACACGCGTTCTCCTCCCTCATCTACGCCAGACGCAGTGTCCACCGACACATTCCGAGTGTTGACAGCTGCTACAGGTAACAAATGCCTTGGGCGATGTGATCTGAACGTTGATGGTCTCGTAGTCAACGACTGCCACGCTGAAGTGCTGGCAAGACGTGCATTGCTTCGCTATTTGTACGTTGAAGCACTTCATTGGAAAGAAAACGAACTAGAATCAAACAAGCAGTCGATCTTCGAGTGCCATTTGACGTCGCATCGACTGGTGCTCAAGCCACAGCATTCGCTGCATCTCTTCATCAGTGAAGCGCCTTGTGGAGATGCAGCCATCTACGAATTGCGTGAAGAAACTGTCGACCAGCTGGTGCAACAACGAGCAGCAAAGAGCAACATCACGAACAACGAGGCTAGAATCCAGGTAGAGCATCGTAGTGAATTGCGAATAACAGGGGCCAAGAGACCGAGCGACCGAGACACTTTACTGCCGGATAAACGTTTTGCACAGACAGCTGGTGTTGCTCGTGTAAAATCAGGCCGATCAGATCTACCTCTAGATAAGCAGACACTGTCCATGAGCTGCTCCGACAAACTAGCCAAATGGAACGCACTAGGGTTGCAAGGCTCCCTCTTACTGCAATGGTTTGAGCCAGTCTTTTTGAACTCTATCGTTGTAAGCAGAGATGATAAAGCGATGTCAGTGGCGAAGCAGGAACAGGCCCTCCGACGCGCTGTGTACACACGACTGGAACAACGTGGTGTACTGATAATGGGAGTGCCGCTATCCTCTTGTAAAGCCTGCGTTGTCTCCAATATTCCTCAATTCAGTCGCCGACGAATACCCTTCCGAGCCCCATCCAGTCTAGCGCTTGTTTGGACCATCCAGGAATCCTATTGGACCCTGAAGCAGAAACTGACGTCCGAAAAACTGACGTCCAAATCATTGGATGAAGTTAAATTTGCAGGGAAGTTCTTTCACACCTTTGAGATAGAGTTTCTCATGGCCGCGACTGGGCTCAAGCAGGGCGCCAAGAAAGCGTCAAAAATGAATCAGGCTGCCATGGAAAGAGTTGCTTCACGCTTGTCAAAGCGATACTTGCTTCGTGCATTTCATCACGTTCTTGGACAGCATTTGCTTTCAGACACAGAGTATATTCAGCTCAAGCAGAAAGTTCCTTTGCACGTATGGTCGACGGCAGCACCTTCTACGCTTTCAGCACCAACACCTGTCGTTGCCTACAATGATCGGCGCAAGCATTTTTTTGCAGCATTTAGTGATTGGATTGGGGTCCCTACAAAGTTCAAGCAGTTCAAACTGTAAGATGTACTACATGTTGCCACTTCTCTTCGGGCTACCTCTGTCAGCTTTGACGCATTGGTCGATGCTTTTCTGGCATTTTTTGCGATCCTCCTCCAGTCGGTCTTCATAAATAATGGATCCGATATTGCCCGTGGAGCTCAAAATGTCAAATGCCATTGCAAATGTCTCCACACAGTCATCGATGCGGAAAACACCACCAAAACTCATGTGGCCGCCATATCCAAAAGGAAGCGGCAGCTGTGTGTTCTCATGCAGGAATTTGGGTTGCTTCTTGTTGCCAAACAGCTCGAAAAATGTCAGCAGGAGGGACGATACTGGCGGGCGTGCTTTATTTTTGCGCTTTGAGACACAGCGTCGAAAAATAAATGCCACCATCATGTACAGCCGAAAGCTACCGAGTCCTCCTGTGAAAGGTTTATCAAGTTCATACTGGTGCAGAAATTCTTTCAGGAACATAATTATGGTTGTAAACGGTGCACCTAGCGTGCTTTGCAGTTTTTTTGCAAGAATCGTTGACCGCCCATGCTCACTGACCTCAAACAACTCACGGTTGACGCCAATATCAATCGCCAACTTGGTCTTTGTGTCCAACACCATAAGAATGGGAATCTTGGCTTTATGCAGACACTTCACTTGGAAATGGGGTCTTTGTGATTTCAACAAAATTTGCAGTGCTCGCAAGACGCGGATTTTACGCCTGCGAAGCGTCGGGTTCCAGTGCGAAGCTGCTGTGGGCTGCCCACGACGAGTAATATGGGCATTGTCGACCGAGGCAGTTATCCCAACAGGCAGTGCCAAATTCAGTGAGAATGAGGTTTCCTCTTCTTGAGCCTGTCCAGAACCGGAAACGTTCAGATGTGCATCAGCCGCTCCTTTCTGCTGCTGTAACTTTCCATAACCCTCCTCCTCTTCATCAACCAGCACCACTGTTGGCAAGTGCTGCGACAAAGATCCCAGCGTAATGTTGCCCACCGTAATATCAAGATCACTCCGAAACGTATCAAGTCCCGTGCTAGACGATCCGTAGAGCTGCACTGTGGCATCCTGAAAACTTGACAAGATGAGATCACGCACATCTTCAAACACTTTGGTGCGTAGCTCCCTCTCTTGTGCTGAAAGGGCTATTTGATCGGCAAACAGTTTCAGCTCAGCATCCATTGCCGTCTCACGACTTGATATGAATGTTTTGTCAGGATTGTTTGGCTCTACAATGTTAAGTTTGCGACGTTTGTTGTTGCGGATGCTGTTGACTGTTTTAGAGTTCACAACAACATGCTTTTTGTCATACAAAGAAGCACCATTATCGATTTCCACATTCTTCCAATGGGTCATGGAAACTCCTGGATGAATAGTAGATCCATGTAGAAACTTGATCGATCTCTTCTTGTGACGACGCATAGCCATTGATTGAGTTCAGCCCACTCGTGTATTAATTATAACAAGCACCTTTGCATTTTATATTTATACTGGGGGCTAGTGCTACAAGTTGAGACCGGGTAATAGACAAAAACTGGGTAGCGTTTGTTAAGCACATCACAAGATAAGAGTAAAAGGGTTGAGAACGACAAGTTTGTGGCACACGAACGCCTACGGTCTCATTCAGTCCCTCTTTTATTGTCCGACATGACACAAAAGGTTCAATTTACAACAACTTACTGTCTTTCATTTGTGGAAGAAAGGACATTTAATATGCGATGAACGAAGCTGAACTATGAGGTGAGACGCACAAGCGTTTTTGAATCAAATGCGACACAGTATACTGATGAAGTTAATAGCACTACTTGTAAGTAGTTATGCGGTTGCTACACAAGGTAAAATAAGAAGTATATTGATCAGGCTTAGGTGCTGGTAATTTCTTCTGTTTCCTTCAGTTCATTTAACCACAACTTATGTCGTTTTTGGTGGTATTGTATTGTATGTGTGATACAGCAGCAACAGAAACGACAGAAGAAATGGCCTTTGTGAGTCTGAATGTAAACGATGGTGGTCGTAAACTTGTTGAAGGACCGGTAAATACGATGCTTTTGGCACAGGCTTACAATCCGGGTGGGGTGATCCCAGCAGCGGAGGAAGAGCGTGGAATGATGAGTGTTTGGCCGACGTCAAGAGGGGTAGTGTTGCTCACTAGGCCCAGAATTGTGAGTCACACAGCCCCATTCAACGGTGGTATGAAAACCTACAAGCGCAGCAATGTAGCGTTCATGTCGGGCGCTATAATGACTAGAACGACCGCCGTGTTTGTCATCCAGGCCGGTGGTACACTTAGCAATGTGATTATTGCAGGTGGTGGTGGCGTTTTCTGTGAGACGAATAATTGTGCACTCGAGAACGTGTGGTTCAAAGACTCAATTCAGGGAGCTCTCCACATTAATTCGGGTACAGGTATCACAACTGTTACGGGTGGAGGTGCAAGGAATGTAGCACGTCGTGTCATCTTTGGTCAGGCTTCAGGTACTGTTGTTATCAGTGGTGGTTTTTACATGGAAAACTCGGGTAGACTGTTTGAGTCGTGCGGTACATGTGGCCCTGTCAAGCGTGGTGTTATCGTGGATGGAGTGGTTAGCGTGAACCCGACTGCTGAGCTTATTCGTATGAACAGCAACTACAACGACCGAGGAACTGTTTCCAAGGCTACCATTGTCACTTCAAGCACCAACTACCCTGTGTGTTCACGCTTTGTTGGAGGTGCTGTTCCCAGACGAATTGGCTTTGGGGCCTTTGCATCCACGTGTTATTACAAAAAAGCCGATGTGACGATTCGATCGCCATAAAATCTCACAGTCGAGAGAAGACAGTGATGAATTTGAATGAAGTATTTGGGATCAAATGCGGCATGATATTGCCTTTTATTGATGTTGCAGAGGGTGATGGAAACTTTTTTTGCCAGCTAGAATAGCGTGAAGTAAAATGGAAAGACAAACCATGATCTTCATAGAGTAAAGTGGTCGAGTTTCTTTGCTTATTATCTTCCTAGACGCTAAGTTGTATATATGATAGAAAGAGAGGTTCTGAGTCAATATACAAAGGGCCTCACATACTTTGTACGTGCTGTACGTGCTTTTTGTAGCATTTCAGAAATGTCGTTAACAAATGCGTACGACGACATCGAACTTAGTACTACTTTACAATGTCATTCTCTTTGTTACTTCTTTTCTTAATTATACGTCAGCTCTTGTTAAAGTTTCATACTGCAAAACGTGTGTGAGTACACAACTTCGGTAGCATAAATGACGGTCGACAATATAAATAACGGTTTTTTATAACCATATAGCGGGTAAGGGTGCACACTTTGTTAATGCCTTTCTTTCATCATATGATTATGTAATGTACACATTATATACATTATAACAGGCTTCTTGGCAAAATAAGTCATTGTCCATCATTGGCCAACGTAGCTCTTCACTTCATCTTTTCGTCTCATGCGTGGGCTGCATTCCACTCGCTTGTCATTGCAGCGTCTCCACGTCCGTCCTGCACCACAAGATCGTCTTTATCTACTGATCCGTGCATTTAGTGATGCTTTGGATCCTGCTAAGCGTTCTCTAGGCAGCAACGTGTCTCGTGTCAATGGTGTCTCCTCTTCTCTATCGCTCGTTAATGGCTCTATTAATGGCTATAAGGACCGATACGATATGAACAAGATGGATACAGAGACAACACAGTTCTTAGCTTCATACCGTGATGATGACCAGCACGTACAGGACATTGAGTTCACTGCACAGCGCATTGGCTTTCCCATTAGTGAGACAGAGCTCAAAGAATGCACCGAGCATCAGATGCGACAGAAGGAGGAAGAAATTGATTGCATTCGAGAAGAATCTAGAAAAGAAGCTACGGAGAAAGCTGAGAAAATCATGGCGATACTACGCCATTCCATGTCAGAATTGGAGATTGGCAAAGTCATTCATCGCATTGCTCAATATGCCACTCTCCCTCGAGTCACGGGACTCTCAAGGAAGCAGTTTTTGAGATCTTTGGAAACGAGGTTTGGAGATAAAAACAGAAAAGAGCTTGGTTACATGCTGGCATTTCTGCAAGGTCGAGACGATGTCATTGACCAGCTAGAGATTAAGTCACGAATGGGAGAAGACCAGAAGCAACAGGTTAAAAGCATGGAAGAGCAAAAACCACCTGCACAAATGGCGGAGGAATTTGTGGTACCCAAGATTATGGGACTGCATCCGGACTTGGTGGCAGACCCACAGTTTGTAAGCATCGTCTTTTGCTACTGCCGATTGGCTTGTCTGAATTCCCTGAAGCTCATGAAACGACCAGCATCAGGTTTCGGTCGTGGATCCAAGTCGAGTTTGTGGCAAGTCAAGGCAGATTTCCGGAAGGTGCTGGACATGGAGGGATTCTCGCACTTTGCAGACATGCTTGGGCTGGAGAAAGTAACCATCAAGGACGAGGATGAGAACGGTGACGCCATGGATGCCGAATGGGAGGAGTTTAATTTGGAAAATGACCGTATTGACTTCCGCATGCTTTTGTCACAGACACAGAGCATCGTTACTTTTATGAAGAGAGAGCTTTCCAATGAGACCATCTCGAAAATGCTCGTGGCGATTTTGGCGTCCGTCAAGACGTCGAAATTGCACCGCAAGATCTTCCAGGAAATGGTGTGTAATATTCAAACAGCATTTCCCGAGGTACATCATGAGCAGCTACTATCAGAGCTCGTACCGTTCTTTTCAGGTGATAACGCCACATACGGGGACTTTGACTCGGAAGTGGCGACGACTGCTCTACAGCACCACCAGATGCGAAACGAAGCGATCATTCGTGCTTTGCTGGAAACCCGTATGCGTGTCGGTCACATTCTTATTCGCGACATTGACGACGTAGAGCCTACTCATTCGATTTCAAAGAAGCTGACCCCAGAGCAACACGAGAAAGTGATTACAACGGCGTGGAATATCGTGTCAGTATTGGATGACCGCAAGTACCACATGTTCTTCACTCGTTTTCTCAAGTACAAGCTTGCATGGCGACCGAATCGTGCCACATTTGGCGAGACATTCCTGTCAGATGTTCGTAAGACTCTTGGACCTCTCGATGCGAACGCGATTATGCCTATGTTTGAGGAAGTGTACCAGCAGTTGTCAGTGGAGACGCTTACGATTTGCCGTGTCAAACTTCGTCATTCTGGGAAGCTGCTGCGTGGTCGAGGTGCACTTGAACCGCTGAATGACGCTGGTCGTGAGCGCCTCGAGACCGCATGGCAACCCTCGCATTGTGCTTTTTACCGCAACTTACCACATGGCGTAACGAAGAAGCACTTGGAGAACGCACTTGCTCACGTCGGAGGCGTCAAGCGCTTTTTCCTGTTTTCCAACCCCATTAACGGTCCGCCAGAGGCATCATTTGATGATACTGACGATGATGAAGACGACGAGATCGAAGGTGAAGATGAGCAAGAAAACGAATTTGACGCTGTAGATGACAATGATGACAAGCCAAAGAAGAAGAAGAAGAAAAAGAAGAAAGCAACAAAGGCCGAGTTAGAGGACTTGAGAGGATTGAAGATGCCCAAGCACAAGAGAAAAATTGTTGCGAGCGACAAGAAGACGCCGCATCAAGCCGTGGTGGAATTTGAGTCCGAAAGCGCGTGCCGCGTGGCGACGATGCGTGCATTACAGATCTTTGGCGTGATGATGTCAGGATGGAATGAGTACCGACCAGTGTTCTCATCACCGGTAGATAATCGCTCGGGTATCACTCTAATGAACGTCCCTTATGGGACTAAGGTTGGTGATCTTGTGGATGAGGTAAACAGGATCCTGTTCAAAGCTGGTCTGAAGATGAAGGTGTCGGGTTTAGTTCCCCGAGGTGTAATGCTGACAAACGGTCGTCTGGATCTGCGCTTTCCATCGTTCGTGGAGGCCGCACAAGTCGTCGAGCAGCTGAATGAACATGTGAGCAAGATGAAGAGATGTCGAGCACTTTCCAAGAAAGACGCTTTTCGCTTTCACGAATATGTAAAGCTTAAGACGAGAATGAAAACGAAGGAAAGAACCGCAGAGAAGGAACGAAAGAAGGAGGAAGAAGAGGAATTAGCACGAGAAGAGGAACGCGATGCTCAAGATGATGAGGATCTCATGTGTTTTGGCGTTGGTGAGGACGAGGAGGAGGACGACGGTGAGGATGAGGACGACGATGACGATGATAATGAGGAAAAGGCCGTTGACAAGCTGAAAAAGAAGTACATCCTTACGGTGTCAGAAACAGTTGAGGAATACTTTGACGAGTGGCTAGAGGCAGAGTCGAATATGACTGATGAGGATTTGGCACGCAGTGAAGTGCCTCGCCCTTTTGATGTCACCTGGACACCCTTGCCGAAGCCCACGAACAAACACTTGTACCTTTAGACCTTGCCGATACGCGCATAGATACACAGACGGATATGGCAAGTTAGCCGACCTTCAGTACTACTGCAAGTAGCCAAGCGTACTGGCTGACACCTCGCCGCCGACCTTAATTTTGAGAATAGATTGATTCTTAGACGCACAAACGCATCATTTCCTTTCCTCATTCCATTGCTACACACGCGACAAGAAGTTGTGCATTTAAATAGTACAAGGCGTTGGCGCTGGAACGTGTTGTGTTCGTTCCAACAACCCTGCAAGCTCCTGCTCATTACCCTACATTATTCCTACCAGCAGTCTGCCACCAACAAGTTAAAAAAGCAGCAGGTCCTTGATCATGCGGTCGGACACCGTAGCGGACTCAGCCTCGACGCCCGAACGTACGCTAGCATCGAATGCATGCGTGAACCGCTTATCACGTGCCATCATGCCCTCCAGCAGCGTGTTTGACTCGGCGTAGCGCCGGATCAAGTGCTCGCAAAAACTGTCGTACGTTTTGTTTTCCTTGTAAATGAGCCGCCCAGTTGCGTAGCTGGCGGTGCGATATGCCTCCACAATGGTGCCTTTAATACCATCTTGGACTTTAGGCCGGAATACTACCCACCGCTTAAAGAGCCACGGTAACGTGTTTTCGTCCTGAAAGTCACGCTCTTCTAGCACGCTTTGCTGACAGATTATCGCTCGGTCTTCGCCTGGAATGAATCGTCGACATACAATGCTATTATAGCTGACATTTGGCACGCCATGTACATACAGTGACCATTTTCCTGTCGTCTTCGAGTACACGTGCGCAACATCCTTGTCCAGAGGAGTTACGACCACGTAGTGCTTCTTGGCGTGTTTGATCGAGATTTTCTGAGCCACGTTTGTCTCCCAGCAGAAATCAAACATGTCCTCTACATTGCATGGAAAGAATTTCTGGTTGTGAATGGTGTAGTTTTTCTCCGTGATGGCGAGACGTAGTTGCCAGCCATCCATCTCAATCGGGAGACACGAGATTACTTCCGGTGCAAAACTGCTGCTCTCCAGACTCATATTGACGCGTACAAAAGACGAAATATTGAGCAATACCTTCTTACGCTCGTCACTAAGCGAGTAACCTGTACATGGGTCGATAATGTGCACGCTATTAGCATCGTCTGTCTCAATGTGATTTACGGAATCGTTACTGTGCGTTCCATCCGTGTCTTCTCCGCTATGGTCTTCCATTTTGAACGGTAGCAAGTCCGAGCTGAACGACACGAGTGGAGTAGCCGGCATCACGGTCGGATGAAGTCGTACACCAGAGCTCATTTCTTCAACCTTTTGAATACTATCTTCGACAAAATTTGCGAGTCGTGCAGCTCGCTGTTGCTGCGATAATTGGCCTTGCAGGTATTTCACCTGATCCTTCAGTGCCGCTTGTAGCTCTACCACATGTGTCCGAAGAAATTGCAGCTCCATTTTCTGCTTCTTACGACATCGTCGTGACGCCGCATTTATCTTTAATTGACGTTCACGCGATACTTTCGTCTTCTTTGGACCTCGATGTAATGTCGTTGTATTGGTCGTTTCCTGCTCTTTCTTGATTACTGTCTGTGCAATTGGATTTCTACGAGTACTAGTAGTAACTGTAGTGCCACTAGTTCGTACATGCTTGATTGGATTCTTGGGCTTTGTGCGCATGGATAACATAGATGTCGCTATGGCTGTTGTAGATGACGTCTTCTTATCTCCTGTCATCATCCGATCGAGACTGCGCTTTACGCCATTTGTTGTTGTTGATGGTAGTAATTGCCCATTTCTCTTTACGACAGAGGAAGGAAGAGTTACTCGCGTGTGAGCTGAAGGTGTTCCGTAGCACAAATCAAGCTCTAAAGTGTCTGAAGTTGCGCCAGAAGGTTCAAGAAAAGCGTGAAGAAGCTCATCAGTCGTATTATTATTATCAAGGGTCGAAACTTTTAATGTTTCTGGACTTTCTGAAGGAAGCGCAAGTGATGTGTTACGATTACTGCTGCTACTGGATGATGTACTAGAGACATGACACTGCATAAGATGAAGAAAAAAGAAGAGAGAGAAATGCGTCAAGTGTCTCGCTATCGGAGACTGCAAGAGATTAATTAAATGAATTAGAGAGAATAACACCGAAATATAGATTGTATGGGTTCATAATTACTCCGTTTTATATCACGATTTGATTCTTGTGGAGCAAGAATTAGTTAGACTTGAGATTTCTAGGTCCTCCACGGTCCAGACTTAGAATATTGAACCCTCTATTCGGGATACAAAGTGGTGGCTACGACGAAGCGTTTTGTCAAACGTGAGAATAAAAATGCTATGTTTTATACTAAACCTTGGTATTTAATACGTTAATTGCAGCTGCTAACACTTAAATCGGAGTAAAACAAACGCTTACCTTCTTATCGCTTGAAGCGATAAGTACCGCACACCACCTCATGCAACATTCATTCAACACATGTATCCTATTTCATTACCCTTGTTTATTGACACTAATAACAATTTAATATTCCTTATAGTCTTAATTGATAGTAGACCATGCAGTGACTTCATCAATTGCCCCAGGAGCTCATAAACAACTCATGACGATTTCCAGTCGAAGTCGACCAACTCTGACTGTCTCTCTTGTCTTACCGCAAGCCCCTTTACGCCACCGTCAGTAATAAGCCATTAATAAAGCTGAGGGCAAAAGGCAGTTATAACGGACGACTCAATTGTTATCTGACGCTCTCACGCATTAATACCACAATTTCAAGTAGATCTATTTGATTGCAACGGTTGGACGCCAAACATGATAGAGATGATTATAAAACGAGGCTGAACCTACAATAGGTGCCTTAGCCATCAACGCAGCTGGATGTAGCCACCAATCCACACCGTACGCAAGTGAATCGTGACGATCGTAGCTCGCCACTTTGCGTAGCGTCGAATTGCCCGTCATGAAATCCAGCACTTGGAATCCGTTATGCATGCACGCAGCCAGCAGGAGCTCCTGTGTAATCGACATAAAAGACAAGTGAGCTTGTCATTTTGGTACTGGATCGCATCGGTCTTTGGCTGCAGCGTGAACAAAGACGTAGTCTTTACCTTGCGGCTCTCAGCCGGGTGCCATTTCAGGCGCCAAACGCCACCGCCAGCACCGTGTACAGCCATTGGGCGTGTCATGTTGCGGTTGTCCCATACTACAACCTGCTCGTCGTAGCTGCCTGCAGCAACCAATCGCTCATCGTGCGGATGAAACTGAATGCTACACACGCCCATGGAGTACTGACGCGAGTTTTTGAAGGTTGGTGCTGCAGTTCCAGCACGCAAGTCCCATCCTTTTAAGACCGCATCGTCTGCGCCTGAAAACAGTACATTCGGGTCGTGACAGTTGAAAGCTGAGATCCACGCCTCGATGGGTGATCCATACAAGTCATGCGCCTGCCACTGGGAGTCGAAAAAGACGAACAAGCACCTGTTAGTGCGCTGTCATTCCATCTCGTACAGTGTCATAATTTCCTGTAAGCGCCGCACACTATTTTGATGTTGTAACACGCAGATTAACCACTTACGTGCATACCTTGGAACGCTGAATGATGCAGTGTGGTGCAACTTCCCAGACCGATAGAATGCTACAGCGATAAGAATCCATAGACACGAAAGAGATAAGGAGAAAAGAAAACTTGCACACTAAACAAGATATTTACCCGTCCGAGTGGCTTGAGCAGATGGACGGCTGAGCATTGGCATGCACACGATTGTTCCAGTCCAACGATAAGCACATGGAGGCTGCATCAGCATCTGTGGTATGTTCCGAGTGATGCAGCGTCTGCTTCTTTCCTTCCTGAACCAACTCGTACAACTCCAGTGAACCTGCAGCTGTGGCAGCGCCCAGCACGGCCTTGCCATTCATCACTTGCGTGTTCCATTTGATATCAAAGATACCACTGGAAGTCACTGTTTCCTCCAGCTTGCACACTACCACATCTACGTCGTCGGTGTTAATTGCCCCATTGCATTCCAGCTGAAAATGCAGGAGAGTGCCACTGCGACGATCCTGCGCTTCACCAATCTCCGCTGCCTTATGCAGCTGATATGTTGCTACTATCATGGAGGATTCAAAGCCAGCTACAGGGCAGGATTCGACACAATCTGCTGTCTCTACAGTGTCGAATGCCGCCAACGTCTCCATAAGATAATGAATGAATGCTACTTGTTCGGTTCAGATGGTAACTGCCGTTCTCTTGAGTTTTGTAAGGATGGGCTATATTTGTAATTCTTTGTTTTCGTCTGTCAAAGACCTTGAATCCAGTCAATCAATCACAAGTATGAGCAGCAGCAATTTATCTGATACAAATAACACCAGCACCAATAGCATCAGCTCCAATGAAGAGAACGATTTCTTTGGCTGTATGGAATGCGACGACCTGTTTCAAGAGACCGATGAGCAGCAGGCAAAACGTTGTCAAGCACAGCGTTATGTAGAACAGTATGCAGAACGGGATTGGGGATTGGCTGCCCGACAGCGGCGTGTTCAGGGCACCGACAAGGACGTAGTGACGGAAAACGTCCTGACGCTTCGCACCAACAGAAAACTTGTCTTTCTGGAAAAACAGGGACAGCAAGCCAAGGTCTGGGACTGTGCTCTGGTACTAGCCAAGTTCTTGGCGAATGACACGTACTTCCCTCCTGACTTTTTCGTGAACAAGCGCGTGATTGAATTGGGCTGCGGCATTGGCGTGCCCGGATTGGCTACTGCTGCATTAGGTGCAAAGGAGGTCATTTTAACCGACATGGTACGGACATTGGTCGTAACAATGAGCGGTTGCTTGTATAGTAACTTCGTTTTTATTGCAGCCAATGGCGGTTCCCTGGATCCAAGTTAACATTAAGCGGAATCAGACGCTTGGTTTCATTGCCGGCAATGTATGTGCCAATGGATTAATGTGGGGTGAGCAAGAAACACTGAAATTGCAGCAGCATTTTGATGTCATTCTGTGCTCGGATCTGGTTTACGGCCATCGCGATATCTCGCTCAAGCTAGTGAAGACCATGGTGCAGTTATCATACCCCAATACCCTCGTGATTTCTGCGCATGAAGCGAGATTTGCTGGAGACCGTGGGGATTCCTTCTTTACTTTGCTACGCGAGCATCATTTTCAAGTAAACGAAGTGCCACGTGAACATCTTCATGCTGTCTATAATGCCGTCAATGTGCATCTGCATCTGATTCGACCGCCGTCGACTTTGACTCAGATAGCCATGTGTAATTAACATCAATATTGAATACATTGACGGTAATATCTTATTCTAACTTTTATCCAATTACCTGTCAAGATGCTTGGTCTTCGGGCGCCATTCCGACACCTACGAAGTTCTTCCTCTGCTCTATCTCGTCTTACTGCCGCTTCTTCGCAGTCATTGTGGCAAGATGTATACAATCTGGACGCTACACAATGTCATGACTCTTTGGTAAATGAAGAAGATTTGCAGATTATGCTGGACGTCATTACGGAGGACGAAGAGCTGGTGGTAGCTGACGAATGCTCGCGCTTCTTAAAGCGTCGCCGCTACGAGAAGAACCATTGGGACAATGTTATTGTCAAGTTTAAGGAAATGGAATGCTCACGCTGGTCTAATGAGACGTTACGCATTTTGCAGAAGATCCGCGAGGCTGTCATCCTGCCCAAAGAACTCAAGTACTTTCCAGCTGTACATGTGATTGAATTGGCAGAAGATGGATACATTAAACCACACATTGATTCTATCAAGTTTTCTGGTCGTGTGGTGGCTGGTGTAAATCTTCTATCTCCTTGTGTCATGAGGCTCAAAGAAGAGCATGGACATTCGGTCATTGATGCCTATCTCCAACGGCGCTCCATGTACATGATGACTGGGAGGATTCGGTATCACTACACTCATGAGATCATACCGGGTATCCAGATGTTCAAAGGTCAAGTGCCCGTGAACCGCACACATCGCATTTCTATCATGCTACGTGATGAGTATTTGGAAGAACACGTCGCCAAGTATCACAAACTATACGCAAAACCAGACACTAAGATGCAGTGAGTGAAACAAGGGACAGTAATGTTTCATGCAGTTAATATTAGGTTTGTGATTGACGTAGCTACATTGGAGCATCCGGTCCGCTACAGGCATTCTGCAGCAATGCGATTCAATGCTCGTCTCGACGTGAGAACACGTTTATTGAGTCCTTGTATTGTGCGGATACATGATGAACACTTCTTCCAGTTCACTCAACATTGGCAACAAAATGACGCTCTATATCCAACACACGACAGGATTACCAGACCAGCAGTCCAGCAAAATTAGCGAGATCGCTCAGACAACAACGCGTACGTTGCTCTTGAATTTGGAAGGCCCCTTCAATCGCGAGCGCGGTTTGTCTGCAAAACGGTAGTCGGCGCGGTTGCTGTTCACAATGCGCGTCTCCTTCTTCGCTGATTGTGCAATTGCGTCGGCCTTGCTAATGCTTTCAAGCGACGATACAATTTCAGCGGCGCTTGGTCTCCGTGAAGGATTATGGGACCAGCATCTAGCCATGAGCTCTGCCCACTTAATATTGCACTGACCTGGCTTCATAATAGGTCGGCATCCCGACAGCACGTACTCGCTAATTTCAGAGTTTGAGTGCATGTCTGCGTATGGTAACTCACCAGTTGTCAGCTCCCACATGATCAGTCCAAAGCTAAAAATGTCCACGGTCTGAGGACTGACGCTGTCGCTCGGAAACGCTCCCTTTAAGACGCGTTCCTCGCCTAGCTTTAGCAGCTCCGGTGCCGTCCACCGTAGCAGCGCAGAGCGTTCATCAATACTGTTCATTCTACTTCTATCAAAACCGACTGCCTCGGCTACGCGTCTCGTCCCAAAGTCCGCAAGCTTGGCGTTCCATGAGTCGTCCACCAAAATGTTGGAGCTCTTCAGCTGTCCGTGGACAAGGGGCGGATCTGCACTGTGCAGATAGAGAAGTCCTCTTGCTGCACCCAGTGCGAGTCGTATCCGTAAACTCCATTTGAGATTCACCTTCTTTTTGGCCATAGGATCATTGAAGTTGCCGGGTGCACTGCCAGAATCTACTCGTGAACGCGGCTCTGAGCCTTTACGTTTGTGTCTCCTATTCGAAGGCGATGCCTTGGGGGCATGTAGTACGTTGAAAAGTGAACCACGAGTGCAGTACTCACTAACAATGCAAAAGAAGTCTTCCTGCAGACATGCACCCATAAAGAGCACCGTATTTGGATGTCGTAAACTGCCCATGCGCGTAGCTTCCACCTCAAGTTCCATCTCCACATTCTCTCTCGCTGATGGTTTTGACGGTAGCGATACCATTTTCATTTTCTTGACGGCCACTACACTTCCACGATACGATCCCTTGTAGATTACACCGGAAGGCCCCTCTCCAATCACATTCAGACACACCACTTCATCGGCCTATATATACAATACAATTATAACCAATGTGAGAAAGTTAGACCACTCACTACAAGTCGATCATAAACGATAGACAAAAATGCATATAGTCATATACACTCCATACCGCTAAGAGTGACGTCGTACCAAAGGTAGACTGCTCTGTAGACTGCTGCATATAACTATGATGAGACTCATCTAATTCAGCCTCAAGCTCAGCTGCCATATCACTATCAGGTAAGCATTTGGACAGACAGAAGCCCATGGTCTTCCTCCACTATATGCTACTTCCTTCTCAATCCAAATGCCCAGCGTTAAGCGTTGATCAAGTGACTAATGAAGCGCTTCTGCCTTACGAATGACGAGATCGGCGATTGTAAATGTGAAAGACGCCCAATCTACGATATGACGGCGCAAAGCCCAAAACAAGCCGAATCGTCTCGGCGCCAATACTTTGATCCAATCAATTTGACAGCACAATCATAACCCAATAGAGCACACAGAATCGACCCAAAATAAGAAGCAATGACCAGAAAAGAGCTATTAGGGTTATTCTGCATCATGCTGACTTCACTTTCAACCGGCATCTTGGTATTTTTGTATCAAGGTTCAACACATAGGATATGTTGTTAGTAGTCATGTGTGGGTGTAAAAACGGTAGAAAAGGCACAGCAAACCCCTTTTTAACAAAGATTTCCGCAAAATGTCGTCACCCACTTTACAGGCTCGTCTCTGGCATGACATATAACAGACGGTTGCACCGTATCTACGACGTTCATCTGTCACGTTGCAGCCAAAGCCGGAACATTCTCATGGATTAAAGACGACTGACTGATGATTGACTGACTGACTGACTATCCATTCGGTGTGTAGTCACAGCAAGTTTAACATATTGTAAGCTATAGCATTAGCTGAATCAGCAGCTTTTAGAGTGGTTGGAAAATCTGTTGATTGTCAATTGTTGTCTCGTTCGCGCGGTCAGAAGACCAAATGAGTGATCATGCCGGAGTATCTCGTCTCCGATCTGTGCGCATTGCCGTGGCGTTTTTACAGCACAGTTTCAAGTGTGGATTTATACAAAATAGTACAGCTTAGCAGTCTTTGTTGCCTAGAAATCTAATGGTACTGACGTCCTGGGCAAAATTCTTGCTAGGAATGTCTGTGTGGCAGTTCAGCGGAAGCGGCGGCTATTGCTGCGACAATGAACAGTAATTTGTGGGTTTGACAGACAAGACTGGTCTCCACAGACTCACTACATTACACATTTGTTTCTCCATAGTTTCCTCGACAGGAAATGAATGATACAATGTCGTCGAGAATGTTTTCAGTAAGAACGACGTGTCTTTCAACCTCTATAGCAGTTTGCACACTTGTGTTAATTGATTGCTGCTAATACTATGAACGCCAGTTGATGGTGTGTGTTGTACGATATATGTATCCAAGAACAGGTTCATTCACTTAATCTAATCGACCTTGTAGATTTTAACAATGTACTTTTGCTTCTTCGCTGCAGCTTCTCAGTGCGAAGGCTTCCGACGCCAAATTTGCCATATCCTGCGTGCAAGTGCAAAGCAAAGGACCCGCGCAATGTTGCGGCGAACGTCTTGTGCACGTGCTGATCATTCGCAACTTGCTTGTGTTACCGCGAGGTCCAGGTAAACCGGCATCTGTCGTATGGATTCAAACAGTGTCTTAATGTACCGCCAGTCCGCTGTCCACCTTGACCTCGATCCATAACAAACATTAGGGAAGTAACTGCAGGTCCAGCTCTACGACCGCTTCGGCATGTCACGACAAGACAGTGGTGTTAAAAGATGTCAAGCAGCTTGGCATGGGTCCGAGTGTCGCACTTCACTTAGGGGCGTCAGTAGCACTGCAATCAATTGCAGTGCTTCTGACTGACGCGTTAGTCGATAGTACCACTAGGTCGACCGAGCAAAATGCACTCGAACAGGCAACACAGACTCAGCGTAGGTGGCGCCAACACAGCTTCGTTCGAGCTGCATGGTTTCGTCGTCGTTGCCAGAGTGTTGACACAACTTGGAGGACAGTCTTGCCTTTGCAACATTTCGAGTGTATAGCGCAAAAAACTTGGGAGCTCTATAGCTTTACAGAGGAGACTACTGCGTCTGTCGAATCCACGAGAGGACAAAGTGGACAGAATATTGCCTTTAGACGCGACCTTAGCAGCGGAACCCCACTGAGAAACAATTACTAATGCGCTACCATATCGAACCGAACTACTCGTAGTGACTTGAGATGTCTCTGTTGTACTTCGACCGCAATACACACACAATCAGTTGACAGGAAGTGATATGGTCGCCAATTGTCAGTCATATATTTACATGCATTGATTGATCAATCTCTAATCTACATCTGAAAGCGTTGCATCTAATGGCTCTGCAAACAAAATCGAGCTTGTCGAAACAGACCTACACGACCTCTCTTTCGATCGAACTTCGGGAAGAATGTGGTGAACACGACGAGAGCAAATCGGTTGTCTCTTCTTGGACCTGTTTGCACCGGAACGCTCACGCGCAATCGTCTGAACAAGTTCACCCGACTCAAATGGCTTGCACTCTAATACACTCTCAACCAAAGCTCGCTGCAGAAGCTGGTATGAGGAATGCGTCGCGCACCCACCTGAACACGAGCATGTGCCGCCATACTCCACTGGTAAGTTCTTTGCATCAACATACTCCAGTAACGTGGCAGCAGTCTCGCTCTCCGTCAAGATGTTCGTCTTTGCGCGCGTTGCCTCGTTCAACAGCGGCTTCACGCCCTTCCAGGCCATGCCGAACCACGAAGGCACATTTACAATGAAGATCTTGAATGACCGCTGCGGATAGTGACGCTGCATTGCACTCGTGCACCGACGGATAAACTCAAACGCCTCACCACCCATATCACGCATACCGATACCACGCGCATCTAGCACAATGCACATCTTCTGTGTCTCGCTCATGGCACATGAGTCACAGGGGCAAACCTGGTGGGCCGCGTACTTGATCGTGAACTCCATTGTGAATAAATAGTGTCTGAACAATGTGTCAAGAGTGATGCCAACTTTCTTGAGCTGGAGTATGTTGATCGAACCTATTTTCTCAAAGTAGAGTGGGTGGCCGAGCTTGTCGTGCTTGTGCAGAAATTGTGTGTAGTTCCTGCAAGTATAAGTAGCAAGCAAAGCACACCACAGTGTCATTTACTAGAGCAAAGTGAAGTGAACGGGCAAGTGGACGTACATCTTGATGGTGTTGTAGTGAGGCTGCGGCACTATCAAGATCGAATCAAGTTGCATCTGCTTTCGCCACGCTAACGTGGATTTGTAGCGCTCTGAAGCCTTGAGAGTATCACCATATTCCGCAACAAGGAACGCCGAGGGAGTGGCATCCAACGCCATCTTTTGGTTATTTATATGTGAGACTTTCTGGGCAAACAACATGAGTAATGATCGCAAAGGATCCATCAGACACAAGAGTCTTATCCACTAACTAGATGGCCTACGAACCTCTTGTCGGAACATTCCTGTCCAATGCTGCATTGAAATGTCTCTCATCTTATTCTTGTACCGCACCAGTGTGAAGCAGATTCAACAGTGGGAAACCAAATGAAACATCTCCGAGGCTTTTTACATTTCACACGTCGTTACAAGCATCTATCGTTTCGCATCGTTGTATTTCTAACGTCACTTCGCTGTATCCATCGTCGTCGTTGGAAATATATGTCGGCTACTTGTCAGTCTCCAGACTGGCTTCCAGCTTCACCCTTGGCGAGACAAGACAGAGCCGTTCAAGTCTTGTTATCGGCGAAGGGGTCATGCATGAGCTTTAATGCTGGTCGATCGCTCCTGAAATAGCGTCCATCCAGCTGTTTAGTACGAAAGCTGTTGGCGTGTAAAGTAGCAGCGAGTGTCCGTTAGCGGCCATCAGGGGCGTAATGATCTCAAAGATATTGTATTGCTTTGTCGCCTTCTGCACGATCGTGTCGTGAGTCAATGACACAATCTGGTAGATCTCCGAGTTTAAAGTCTTAGCAAAGCGTAGGAACAGCGGATGAAGGATAAATAACTGGCGGTGCCAGATCGGTTAAACTGCTTATGTCGTAGTGAACGCCTCAGCAGAAAGCCTGCTTTCAAAACTTCTTCCACAAAGAACCCCGCCGGAATGGATCGGCAGAAGCCTTCGTCGTCAACGCCATTGAGCATACAGCTTTCCTCAGCCCCACTGCTTCCACGCCGAAAGAGGTGATTGATAACAGAAGAAGCAGACGGTTCGCGCTTACTTGGTCCTATCCCACGTGGTGGAGACGGTAACGATATAGGAACCTCCTCGACCGATCCATTTTCTTCATTGCTGATCGATCCACACCCGCTAGAACGCTCACGCGCAATCGTCTGAACAAGTTCACCCGACTCGAATGGCTTGCACTCTAATGCACTCTCAACTAAAGCTCGCTGCAGAAGCTGGTATGAGGAATGTGTCGCGCACCCACCTGAACACGAGCATGTGCCGCCATACTCCACTGGTAAGTTCTTTGCATCAACATACTCCAGTAACGTGGCAGCAGTCTCGCTCTCCGTCAAGATGTTCGTCTTTGCGCGCGTTGCCTCGTTCAACAGCGGCTTCACGCCCTTCCAGGCCATGCCGAACCACGAAGGCACATTCACAATGAAGATCTTGAATGACCGCTGCGGATAGTGACGCTGCATTGCACTCGTGCACCGACGGATAAACTCAAACGCCTCACCACCCATATCACGCATACCAATACCACGCGCATCTAGCACAATGCACATCTTCTGCGTCTCGCTCATGGCACATGAGTCACAGGGACAAACCTGGTGGGCCGCGTACTTGATCGTGAACTCCATTGTGAATAAATAGTGTCTGAACAATGTGTCAAGAGTGATGCCAACTTTCTTGAGCTGGAGTATGTTGATCGAACCTATTTTCTCAAAGTAGAGTGGGTGGCCGAGCTTGTCGTGCTTGTGCAGAAATTGCGTGTAGTTCTTGCAAGAAAAAGTTATAAACGTTAATCCATACAACGCAAGCTGTTGAAATAACAATAAGTGCTCACGTACATCTTGATTGCATCATAGTGCGTTTGCGGCATGAAGAGAATCAAGTCAACCATTACTCTCTTTCTCCAGACTAATGTGGCTTCGTAGCGCTCCAAAGCCTTTGCAGCATCCCCGTTCTCGGCTACCAAAAAGGCTGGAGGGAATGATACCACCACATGCGCTGGCTTCGTCAAACAGGAAGCATTTTCCAAGCGCTCGGATTCAGATGCCTCATGCGCCACTACAGTAACATTCCAGTTGCCAGAAAAGTCAGACAAGTGCTGTTTTCAGCATCGAATGGACTAGTTTGCCGTGCCGTCACTATCGTGCCTGGAAAAAAAACTTCAAACAAGAAGACCATCAATCCAGCAAATGCGCCTGCGTACACAGCAGGAAGTACTACCACCGAACCAAATAGGTGTGTGAATACAGAAGCTGCGGCCAAGTAGACGACAACAATACAACACGAGAGCTTGAAAATTTGCCGATACGTGCCGCGTAATGTACCACGGAGATCTATCTTCTTTCGACTTGCAGCGCGAGTGTCACGGATAAGAACACGCATCGGGCGCCACGGAGCGCCAGGCGATAAAATGCAGAGCTCTTATGCTTCAAAAATCATTGGCATGAAATCCGTACTCGACCACCGTCCGAGAATCACAGTACCAGTAACATCGAGCGTCGTAATTTCTGCAATAGAAGCGGACTGCCTACTGCTACATCGGTTCTCGTTGATATTAACACACAAGGGTAGGCACTACGACATAATTCAGTCTCATCATTGCTCCTTTTGTCAATATCAGCGTCGCTACTGCCAGTGTCGCTCTTTGCCACGTCTGTAATATCAATCGATTTGATTGTCGAAATTCCTGGCCGTGCATTTCGAACAAGATAGTTTTACCACGACCATCACATCGCAAGAAACCACCTTGAACATGTGCTGACTCCTGCTGCTTGCTTAAGTGCGTGATCACGCGATTAACCTTGGATTGTAGGCGGTTCGAATCGGCCACGTCAATAATGAGATGTTGATCGCCATAGTATATGACTTTCCCCATAGTACGCAACGCAGCTGTTGCCAGATGCAGCTCCACTTGAGTTGGTCTACCAAACGTAGTGTCCGTCATATTCTTTGTAGTCTTTGCCAAGTTAATAAAGAACAAAAAATTGTCTTCCTCGTTTGGAGAGTCTGAGCTGCTGTCGTCTCCATTTTCCTCCGTCTGTAGCTGATAGAAAGACAAATACATTTCTTCTCTTTCGGTCCAAAACATCCCTTCTTAGTACTAGGGCTTCCTCCAATTTTATTGTTCCACACTCGTCCATTTGCATCGACGAGTATGACAACATCCCCGTAGCTCACTGGCGTCCCTACGTTTAGTCCACTATCCGACAAGATGACAAACGTCGATGGTTTGAACGGCTTTTCTCCACATGGAGCAATGGATGGAATACACGAGTTCGTCTTGCTTTTGCAGATTCTTGGATGCAAGAAACCTCTTAATACCTTCAAATGTATCTACATAGCCTTCATTATTTCCCTTTCCTTTGCATACTTACTGCGTGCAAAAAGACGAATTGTATCACCATAACGCACCGCCACATCCTGTGAACAATACAGCAATTTAATGGGTTTTCCATCCGTGTATCATCCCGAGATTAAACGTCCAGCTGTGCCGGTGATGTGTCCATTACACTGCTGTTGCAATATCCGCTGGCGCTGAAGCTGCGGCAGAAGCCGATACTAATCCCACCATGGCCAGAGCTACTACTGCTCTAGCTGTTGTTTTCTTCTGGCTCGGAACGACGTCGACGAGGACGTAACGAGGCGCTTGAGAAGATCGTATTGCCATTGGGTGGTGCAGTCACACCCTTGACGGCACTCAATAGCTGCATCAGAGTGATGGTCGTGTCCGTGTGACAAAGTCTTGAGTCTTACTTTGCTCTGACTGCGGGTTTATGTTCAGCACCGGGACAATTTCTGTAACATAAGTCGTTCATGTAAACATAATTTGATACTTATGATGTCTCATGTTAACTTGTTAAAGCTGAGACAGTACAGTCTGCTTTTGTAAGATTGTTAGTACAATTGTTATAATCTGATATCATAACGAAATGTCCATCAAAGTACGAGACAAGACAACAAATTGCTATAACATTGACCTTTGTTAGTTAGCTAATGTACCGCGTCATCACGTTCTCTAAAACAGCAACAAGAGAAAGTGCAGCAGATGAACGTCAGCTATTCCTCCTTGACCAGCCGTTTCAGCATCTATCAGTCACACGTAACTTCAACGTAAAGGCCAGTATATCCGAGCTTTATTGCCAATACTAGATGGAGGCGTAAAATCATTCCATAATGCATGCAAATTAGCCATTTACGGATGCATGCAGTCATTGCTGCCTTAATTTGATTGACGTGTACTGATCGAATTTGGCTGCTATTCGTAACAGTCTCCACAAATACGATAGCAACTGCCTCAAACTACCATACCTGTCGCTGTTGTCCTTCTATTGTCAGTGATTCTGATCAACAAACTCCTCATGGAACAGAAAGAACGATACGTGTTCAATCAAACAAGTTCGCGCGATCATATCGATAAAATCAAATCACATGTATGAATGAATGGATGATTATGCAGGCCAAGACGACCCTAGCAACTCCTGCTGCCTGGACCAGTGGTCGTTCAAACACTCTTACTTTCGAGGCGGTGTCGCAGGGCGCTGCGAGCCCAAGCCGTTGTACGCGTAACGCTGCTTCTTCTCCGCGGGCTTCAAAATCTGGAACGAGCACATCAGTGTCTCATCCACCGACATCATAGCACCAGCATTGTCAAACTCGCCGCAATAGTTCGGTGCTGAAAATAATGTAACCAACTGACGCTTCGCAAAAAACTCATAGCCGTCCTCCACCACCTGATGCGCTCGGCAGATCAAATCAAGATCGTGACGCTTAAGAAACTGGCTCACAATATCGGGGCCAAACGTAAACGATACACCACGGTCATTCTCTCCCCATCCCATGATATCCTTGTCGGGGTCAGACCACAGCAGATCACACAGCAGACCCGTGTCGGGGACGTCAGTAGGGCGTACAAAGCGTTTAATCTGCTCCATCTGACTAAGCTCAGGCGATAGACCACCGTGCATACAAAAAATCTTCTCGTCAACAATTGCAGCCACAGGCAGGCAATTGAAACAGTCCGTAAAGGTCTTCCAAAGCCGAATATTGTAGCGACGTTTGCATTCGTCGTAAAAGCCATAGATCCTGTTGATTGATGCACATTCGTGGTTACCACGCAGGATAAAAAAATTCTCCGGGTACTTGATCTTGTATGCTAGTAGCAAGCAGATAGTCTCCAAACTCTGTTTGCCACGGTCCACGTAGTCACTGAGCAAGTTCAAAACACATCAATCCTGTCAGTTTCAATTCTTTCTACATCTATTTTCAGACAGCAACCATGACACAATATACTATACATATTCCTCATCACTAACTTACCCAAGAAATAGGTAGTTAGCATCCGGGGGGAAAACCACCGTACTCGAACAAACGCAGCAAGTCGTAATATTGACCATGAATGTCACCTGCAAATTTTAAAGACATACAACATCATCATCAGACGCAACTTCAACACAACGTCCCCCCTTATCATCGTATTGTAGTAGCTATCGACTATTCTTCCAATCAGTAACGTACCACAAATCTTTATGGGTGCCTCAAGTTCCACGAGTATGGGCTGCGCGAGGAACACCTCACGCGCATGTAGACACAACCCACGGATCTCTGTCTCAGACAAATTCACTTGCTTACCAGGACGTGCTCCACGCACACTCAATAGCTTTTCAATAATACTGTCTACATCAATGGGTTCCAATCCAGATGATGCCATGGTTTTCACGCCTCTTGTGGTTCTTTCTCAACCGTTCCTTCTTTAGTCTGCGGTGCCAAGTGTGTCCAGTCCCTTCCGGATGTTTCGCTACAAAGTTACACGATTGGATAAAAGCTGGTCAATGCGATTGATGATTCGTTGAAAAGAAAATGCTGTCTAAACCAATGGACGTATGAGGAACGGACTTGAAAAACAGCTGGTTTAGAAGCCAGCAAAAATAGACAAACGTTGACACTAATAAAAGAGTGAATGGGTTTATTCCTGCATCATTAGAACCGCAATAGCTACTTTGACAATGACTATTATGACCATAGAGGAACCCATGCGTTGCAACTATTGTAAAGTGTAGTTATGACTGCATGATCGATCGAAAGTTGACAAGAACAATTGCATTCGTCTGTCATGAGCAGGCAATTTATAAAGCATTGAGGCACTATAAACATGGATTAAGCACCATCGCCTGTGACTGAGTCGGGATATTACTTGCTGCAAAAGTACTTCGCTTAGAACTTTGTATACAAGTATTGAACCAATCTGTGCTTTGAAGTCTAAAGTCTTCCATGTTTAGTATACCAAGCTCAAGTTGGGGGTGTCCATCACCTGAGACAGCTATCCAGCCCGCCTCAAAATAGCATAACGTTACACGTTTACTTTAGTCAAGTACCTTAGTTTCGCACTCTCACTTCATTTCGAATGGTGCTCATTGAGCTTTAGATACCTTTACATGTTGCTGACTCGACAATGCGCCAGAAGTCTGATTCTGGTAAGCAAGCAGTATCCAGGCACAATCTGACGACGGGCCTGACCTTGCACCATCCGTCTTTATATTCACCTTTATCTCAGAATACTGCACCCTTTTTATATAAAACCAAGAATGTATTATGATGTACCTCTTAAATTATATATCCTATCGCATCTAATTTCTCGTGACTAGACGTACATATGTATGTATTCTATGTGTGTATCCTCCTTATTTGGGAAAGGCGGTAAGCACACAAGGAGAAAAACGGGAAAGAGCCAGCACCTTTTCAACCTGCTGCCGCTGACAAGTCAGTCAAGTGTGCTTAAGAGAGGTTACAAAACTGGGATAGACTTGATTAATTGTGCCTACATTTCTTGTCTTTCTTGAGAACTTGATTGTTTAGCAGTAAAAGTCCTGCATGGTGTACGTTTATTTATTGGTTTTTCTTGACGTCTTGTAAACTTTTTTTCCTCTCTTTGATCATATTTGAGAGTATCTAACTGTCTCTTTGTGTCTGACTTTTTGTCTGAATGATACGTTCTTACTATAGTGAAGATAAGAAGCGAAAGCCTTCACGGGACTTTCCGGTTCATTCAACGATTCCTGTGGACAAGATCCATTCCAATGGAATACCCTTCAAGTGCGTTCTTGTTTTGTCGGTATAAACATGTATATGATGCTTTCTATTTGAATAGACTAAGAAAAACATCTTGTTGGTAGAGTACGAGTGGAATTAAATACGACAGCACCATCGGTGCCACCCATGCACGATCCATTCCATATCCTCAATGTAGACAAGAATGACGACGTATCACTAACGAGTAGACGTTCATTGCGTACAGGATCCGTCATATCTTTGAGTCCAAGATCGTCTATTATGTCGGTAGAGGATTCTGCTTTGCTGTTTTCAGGTAGAGATGATGACAATAAGGAAGAAGACGTGTCGAAATTGCCCAAGAACCAGCGACCGGCGCAGCCGGCTGATGAACGAGAATACTTTGAACGAATGTGGGCCGAGAACTTTAAAAACTCGGAGGCGCAGGTTAGCAGCACAACGGGCTACTTGCCTGTGGGTGCTGCAGGTCGCCTCAACCGCATCAAAGGATTTTCGTTTGCACGCGATCTTGTGTCGCACAAGTTGTATGCTGTCTTTCGACTGGAAATTGAGTGCATTGTGAGCGAAAAGCAGTGGACGATTTATCGCCGTTTCCACGACTTTAAACAGCTCGCGCACCAATTGAAAAACGAGTCGGTACGTGTTTCAACAATTCCTACGAGGACTTTGATGCGCTCATTAGACCCGAATTTCCTGCGCAAGCGTCAATTAGAGTTAGACAGGTGGCTTCGAGAAGTGCTGATGCTTGTTGCTCTCGAGAATTGCAAGGTTGACACGGACCGCTGCACCGAGTGCTGCGGCAATCGTGGATTCCATGCAAGTGTGCGCCTCATACGCCGCTTTCTCACGCACGAGGCCAATGAGCCACCAATTTTCGAAGAATCGACGTTATCGGCGTCGAGTTCCCATTCACTGTCAAGTTCGTCGAGTGGATTTTCTTTTCCGAATTCAAGTTCAGGGCGGCCACCGCTGTCTAGCAAACTAGAGAACAAGACTGTTTCAGGATCGACATCTTGTGAGACCAGGGAAGGTCATGGCAGTTCACGCGGAAGGAGGGCTCGCATCGGTTCGGCCGATAAAGTGCCTATAAGCTCACGTAGTGGTAGGATTCGTGTAGACTCTGCTAACCCGAGTAATGTTCGTGGTGGTAGGACAAGGGGTGCCTCGGCTGATCATGCTCGGTCAAGGTCACGCGATGAAAGATCCCGCCGAAAGACGCTGCCAAAGGAGGAACCGATGGACGACGGTCGAGACGCGCCTTTCAATGCGTCTACAGTAGCGAAGCAGCGACGAAGTGTAATCCTTCAGGATGTTGAAGATGACGATGCTGGATTTGACGACGAGAACTGTTCCAGACGGCAAAGTGGCAAGGTGTCCGTGAAGCATTTTGATGTGCTGCGGATGATTGGGAAGGGGTCATTTGGCACGGTGTTGTTGGTACGGAAGAAGCACTCATCACAGTTGTTTGCTATCAAAATTCTAAGTAAGCCGGCAATTGTAAGAAAACAGCAAGTGGAGCACACGCGGACCGAGCGTCGCGTCCTGGCTTCCGTATCTCACCCGTTCGTCGTGTGCTTGCACTACGCCTTCCAGACAAAAGACAAACTTTATTTTGTACTTGATTACTGTCCGGGCGGAGACTTGTTTTTCCATCTTAGTCGATGCGGATGCTTTCCCGAGGCTATGGCGAAGTTTTACACAGCTGAAATTGTTTTGGCACTGATTCATTTGCACGAGCAGGGTATCGTGTATCGAGATCTCAAACCAGAGAACATTATGCTGGATGTTGATGGGCACGTAAAACTTGCAGACTTTGGGTTAGCCAAGGAGGGCATAACTAGCGAACTCAATGGAACGTATACCATGTGTGGTACACCCGAGTACTTACCACCCGAGATTCTTAACCGCGCTGGTCATGGCACAGCTGTGGATTGGTGGAATTTGGGTATGGTGCTTTACGAAATGCTGACTGGACGGCCACCTTGGTACACACAAGACCGACAGGAACTGTTCAACCGCCTTCGTAATGCTGAGCTCGAGTTTCCGCAAGGATTAACGCTGGAGGCTATGAACCTTATTGAAGGTCTTCTCACGCGTGATCCAGCGAAGCGGATGGGTGCGATTGATGTCCGTGAAATTACTTATCACCCGTTCTTTGCAGAAATCGACTGGAATTTGCTCTACAATCGCAAGGTGCAGCCATTGTACCGCCCGTGCCAGTACACCGACCCGATTGATGCTGCCAATTTTGAAGAGGAGTTTACAAAACTCCCACTTGCCGACATCGATAGTGCAGGTCTTAGTATCGCAACAAATGAACTGCAAGAAAAGAGGTGCAATGGAGCTTTTGGTCCAGACGGAAGAGATTCGGCAGATAAGTTGGCAGGTTTTGGAGCAGGTATGCCCAATGGCAGTACTGGTACGAGCATAAGTAGCAGCGAGCGCAACAGTACGCTACGGAACTTGTCGTATACTTTTGCTGGCTTTACTTATGACAGCACCAATCCGTCCCTCTCGCGGTCGGACAATTTTGCACAATTATGACGACCAAGTTACAAACGGCCAAGTTTACGCTGTTTCATGTTTACATATATTATTAAGTCAAGAAACAATGGTATGACCTTCAGGTCGACCTGAATTATTCTGGCTGGGCACGAACAAAAGCAATGAACCTATGCTACAACCAAGCGGCTGTTGCGCAGAGTCAGGAATCGAAGTATGTGTAAATAACATCGTACAAGGCATTCTTATGTGACTGGACGATCCTTGACGTATGGTCCTGAATATTTCACTTTTTTGATGCAGCAAACTTGGCGCACTCCACCGTGTTCTTTAGCAGCATGGCAATCGTCATGGGTCCAATACCACCGGGCACAGGCGTAATGGCTGAGACGCGCTTCCTGGCGGCTGTAAACTCAACATCACCCAAAATTTTGTAGCCCTTCTTGCTTGAGTCGTCATCGACGTAGCTGATACCACAATCCACGACTACCGCTCCTTCCGCAAGCCAATCACCTTTGACAAGTTCCGGTTGGCCAGTGCCCACGAACACCACCTCTGCCTGTCGGACCTTGTCTTCCAGGTTCTTGGTTTTTGTGTGGCAAATGGTCACCGTGGCGTTTTTAGCCAGCAACATCAGTGACAGTGGCAGTCCGACAAGTTGTCCACGGCCAATGACAACTACGTCCTTGCCCTCCAGTTCAATCCCGTTACGAGATAGTATCTCTAGACACCCTGCAGGTGTGCAGGGTTGCAACCGAAAATCGTTCGGTGCTACTGCATTCTCATTCTTCTTCGGCTCTGCTAACCGTGCAAAATGGTGCGAGTGGAGTCCGTCTACATCTTTTAAAGGGCTAATGGTCTCCAGTAACTCGTCCTCGTGACACTTCAAGTGCCCAGGAAGAGGAAGTTGAAGAAGAATGCCATGGACATTAACATTAACATTGAGCGATTGAATCAGAGCTAGTAGTTCCTCGAACGCAATGGACTCGGACAACTCGTGCACTTGAGGCGTGATTTGAACACGTCTACAGGCATTCTGCTTGAGTCGTACATAAGTTTTAGAATTCGGATTGCTACCGATGAGAACAAGTGCAAGCGTAGGCGTTACGCTTAAAGTCGGTATCACCTCCTTTAGTTCCTCCTCGATCTCTTTGCTGCAAACTTTGCCATCTAGAAGTGTTGCCATCGGTTCTCGTTCAATGAATGGCTCGTATTTGTTTAATTACCTGTAAAACCAACTGGTTGATACATATGTTTACCGGTATTCAAAATCGTTGATAACGATTGAAATGCAATAACTTATGACAGTACATATCGTTTCGGTTGATTTGAAAACACTAACGACGCCATTGGGTCATCATCAAATTGATTTACATGTTTCCTCTATGATACTAGACATTTATCACTAGTGTTTATCAAGACTCGTGTATTTACATTTTGCTAACTTAATTTATGGGACCAACTAGTATGATTTGCACTACATAGCGTTAGATATTCCTCTGTCATTTATCTTGTACTGTACGATTGGTGCAATACGATGAAAATGAAACTCTGTGCTAATGGCAGTTCTTTCATTCCTTTCTAGTCATGGGTAGGCGTCAAAGTGCGATGTCTTCCCCTGCGCACTGCTAGGCGCATGCTGCTGTATACATACTTGTCTATAGCGGCATTCACATGAGAGAAGACACGTAAGAGTTGTTCATCACTCACTTGTGTTTACATTTTTTCTATTAGATATGACAACAACCACTTATGACGGCGATTACTACAACAAACAGCGCTCCTCGCGCTGTTTGTTGTAGTAATACTCCTTCTTGATTACAAAATTCCTCTTTTCTCTCTAGCATAATCCAACACTTCGATCGTGCCCGATAGTTTAGTTACCTTCTCGTTGCATACGGTGCCAGAAAACCAAGTTATGGCCCGGAGGGCGCTTAAAGAACTGAACAGGCTCAATCTTGTCTTCAACATTGCGGTGAAGATACATGGCGAGGCAGCCGGGATAGTTCTCGCGTCGTGACGGCAAGTAACCCACTGTTTTGTTGCGGTCATACATACTCTGGAGGTAAAAGTTAGAAGACGAGGAAACAGGTGTACGGTCAGGCACACCGGTGATAATAAACTTGGCTCGCACGTCAATCTTGTTGCTGAATTTCAGCTTCTTGGACATCTTTTGCATACGCAGCACCATTCCATCGGTGCGTGCAAACGAAACGCAATCGCCACCGCAAAGCAGGCCTTCCGTAGTATGTCCAATAATGCGCAGCGTGTCGCTTTCTTCCAAATCATCGTAAGGTTGAACTTCATGACAGCGCACACGTCGCGAAAAAGGGTTCCGGTGGGCTCCACTACGCCGCTTGGGGTGCGCTTCGACTTGGGCAGTCTTACCAGTTGTCGTTTTGAAAGCTAGATGCAATTCCTGTCCGTGATACATGGGCATGGAAGAAATCTCATCGGTGTATGGCTCAATATCAGTGGTTTCGCCTCTTTCTGGCACAGTAGCCTTACGAAGAAGAGCTACTTGAGGCAGCATACGCGGCGGAGAGCTAAGTCCACGAACGTTGCGTCTACCCACGCAATGTAGAGCGTGAGTTCTACGAGAGCGTGGCTTCAACTGAGTCGAATCACGAAGCGGGCCATTCATGCTTGCTACGGCCTCGTCACGGGTTTGTCGAATCCTGTCGATGTCCACAGAATGACTCGTCAAGTCGTTGCTGTATTCATCTGTGCCAATGCTACTTGCATCGTCGTCCTCGATATCACTGTCACTTTCTCCTTCCACATCATCGTTTTCTATTCCAACCGGTGACAGACTTATACGATCATGCTGGTTGTGTATCATCAATACATTGCGCAGGTGCGATGGAATTGGAGGCGTCTCGTACTCGTTTGGCAGCATATCAAGTGTGACTCCTGCCGGAATTGGCGGAGTTCCAGCCATCATGCTTGCCAGCTCCTCAAAAGTAGGACGCATGATCTCGTCAGTGCCGTTCGTGTCCACATCCAGAAACGAGTTAGCCAAATCTAGCATTGGCTGTGACAGTAGCGGTGGTGGAGTAGCAAACAAGTCCGGAGTCGTGGATGAGCTAGTTGTAGAGGAGACCGCTGTCTTGTTAGAATCTTCGTCGGCCAAATGCTCCGTCCAGCGCATCGTCATTCGCGACAGCGGATTCAAGATGTTTGACAGCCGCACGGAAGTAGACATGGATGAAGTGGTGTGTGCGCGGCGGCGCGACAATGCCAGAGGTTCGTCTTCGCTCAGGACGGCAATATCGTCCGTGTCGTCTTCCTCCTCGTTCATACCGTCATAGACGTCAGGGACGTACGACTTATAGGGCAGCACCGGTTGATTGTACTGACACGACCCGAAACCTTGATCGCCAACGGTTTGCCGTCGCACTCGAGAAGGTGCCACTACGGTGTTGGTCGGGTGCACCGTCAACTTGCAATACTTTTGATCCAAACCCATGAGTAATTAGTTTGATGGTTTACAAAGTGTCTGTCAATGTAATTAGACCGGCAGAGTCCTGCGTAGCACGGGTCAAGTTGGAATATACTTGTGCACAAGATACACTGTTGAGCGATGCGTGAGTACTGCGATGACATCACCGTGCTGCGTCTATGCAGACGATAACATACGTCTTGGACAATCACGTGGTAGACAGAGCGATGCCGACCATGTGGTTCACGTCTAGTCTACAGTGGCAAGCACGGTTAGCCTGACAAGTCGACTCGGTTTCTCTATTGTTAGCTCAAAGTGACGTGCGGCGTGACTTGCATACTCTGCCAGATGGCATCTGTATGCTTCCATTACTTTCAGGAGCGAGCAAGCAGGAACCAATTAAACGAAGTGCACGTAGCATCTTGGTAAACGTTACAATGCTTACCAGCAAGAAAAGAGTCTCCGCTACAGCAACAACTAGGTGATTTCAGCTCATAAAGCTTCTTGCTAAAAAGCTATAAGGAAATGCGTGAACAAGCTGTCATGGTACATGTAGAAACATCAACAAAGTATTGATTTCTTGCCGTTTACATGTATAGTGAATACAATGGAATTTCAAACGTTAGCGATAGTCATCCACTACACTTTCTTATCACCCCATACCTTACAATGGTTTGTTTTGAAAGAAAGACTCTCTATATTTATTTAGTTACGGTTTAAACAGGCTCGGAAATTTCGAGTCGTATTGCATCACGTCAAATGTCGGAGATCTCGGATGGTTTAAGAACAACAACAATAACATGAGGCGCTTCTTACTGATTGGTAAAGGTTCACCAAGTCAATTGATTACGAACCCCTATACAGGTGCATACGTTGCTCACTACAGTTTCATTTTAAACATGACACCTGTGTCCGCGACCGAATGGGTCGGATCGATGAAATGGAGACGGTCGGCGTACGTGCCAGTATCAGATGACTTGACTAGCAGGGTCGGTCATCACTTTTTTCATTCAAACATCGTCCTTATAATGCTCGAGTGAGATAAGACATTGACTGTAGCGCTTTCGAAAATCCAACAGGTGATATGTTAGTCTTGACGTGACAAAATACAAGGCTCGAGTGGTCGATTATTTGTCGTCTCTAACGATAAAACCATTCTGCAAAACTTGGTGTTAACGGAAGACAAAGCGTCTGTTGCTTTGGAAACATTGAAATAACAATATGTATGACGTTTGATTCGCTTAAGAGTGAGAAACTTGACGCAAGTAGTGGTCTAAAACAAAGCTGAGGCATGAGAGCCTTCTCGTCTAACTTTGCGCTTATGCGCTATGTGGTCCATAGCGCATAAGCGCAAAGTTAGACGAGTAGACTCTCTGTCGTTTGTTTTGCAATCATTTTCCTCCTTACCAACCAATTGCTGTCTGTTTGTCGTCTTTTAATTCGGAGCTGTTGCACCCATACTTGCCCACATTTGACTGGCAAAGTAGTCCCTTGACTTGAGCAACCACGTGAACCAGTCACCTAAGACGATCCCACCCCACAAGGGCAATTGTGAAACACCTCCAGATGGGCCAATGGCAAGATCGTTCCGACAATCGCTGGCACGTCAAATGGCTTTGTAAATTCAGATTTCTTCTTGCAAATGACTGCAACCAGCTCATTTGCTAGGAACTTACCCTGCTCTCCAGCGATGAAAGCCCTTTTTGGGGCCGGATGATTGCACATATCGCCTAAGGCAAAAATGTGATGATATAATCCTTACCTTCCAACTGGAATTGGCGGTGTACCTTGACAGCGCCACGCTCCGTCAAGAGAGATGCATCCATCTCCTGGACCACGGTAGTAACGGGACTAAATCCACCGCAAAGTAACTGAACGTCCGATTCAATCTCCGTTATGCATAGTACGTTTCTCAACGTTATTGCCACTCAGACGTTCCATTAAACGCTCGCTTAGAATCACCTTTACACCAAGTTTGTCCAGTCCTTCGTTTAATTTAGTGTAAAACTTGTCACGAAGGTTGTTACCAGAGACAAGTTGATTCTTTGCCTCAACGATCGTCACCAACTTGTTTGGGTACTTGGATTTGATCTCCGTCGCGACTTCACAGCCCACGGGACCTCCACCGACGACTAGAACTTTGTCTGCTTTTTCAAGATGAAGACGAATATCTTGAAATTTGGTTTCCATGGCCGTTCGAGCATAATCATGAAGACCAGGTTTAATTGCTACAGTGTATGTACTTCCCGTAGCTAGTACGAGGTAATCAAATTGTAGTGTCTCCGTCTCGTTTCTCTCTTTATCACCAAGACCAATTGCATGGTAGGACACTTCCTTTTTGAGGGCCGAGGTCACGAGAATCTAGGAAGGTAAAAAAGGCTTGACATGTTTACTAAACGAAAGTCAACCGCTTCGAGCGACAGTTTGATTTCGTGATTACTAATATGGTGATTACACTGAAATCATGACCAGTTTGATGATGTCACAATGGTCAATCTTTCGGCGACATTCATGACTGACTACAGTCCAAAAGGACCGAAATTTCCAGTCTGTATTGAAGAAACAGTACCTCGTAACCTATCCATACTCAATAGCAATCAAATAAACTCCGATGTCAGTGACCACGATATAGATGCATGGATGTATATACATATTCATTGACGATTTGCTGGGACTAGTGGAGAATCATTGCGACTGCAATGCAAACGACTTCCCTCTTTCATGCGCTAGACTCCATCGAACTTTTGTACATTGTCATGTCCCACTTGTCAGTGGGTGGTGCAGGACTGACGACAGTAGTAGAGATGTCAGCCTTATGACCTGGATACTGTGGCTGGTGGTGCAATTAGAGAGAAAAGCATCACCAAGCACAGTGCCATCGATAAGAAGGTCGTACGTATTCTGCACCCTCGATGAGTCCTAAGTCCTTAACAACTTGGTAAAAGGTACCGAGTAGCAGCTGTGTCTTTTCGTCATCGAACATCACGTAGGTAGCATGAATGGACAGTAGAATACGAAACAGTAGTCTGCCTCAAGACGGATGCAATCATAAACACGACCCAGTATTGATCTGTCAAAGTATCTGTGTATGACGCAAGACCTATCGATAAAACCATGATGCGTCCTTGTAGCTACCGTAAAGTGTCCTATTGTCCTAGATTTTGCGGTCACATTAGACGACGAATGTGATTGTGCCTTGCACTACCTGCGTTTCAACACGGTATTGATCACAATATAATGAGCTATTTGCAATCCTAGTCGGACGCACTGAAATCAGCACCCGGGGTCTGTTCTATTCGAAACAAACATCCTCGGTACGAACGGTCTCCAATCTTAGTCATTTCGTAAGAGCCTGACAGATTCCCACGTATTTTTACATAACACGTGTGCAACATACTCATTGTTGCAGCGGTCTAATGCGTCATTACATCGAAAGTGATTCAATACTCGACCTCATCGCGCTCGGTAAATTCCTCGGAATTCTGCCAACGCCGTCGCGCTCCGATCTACCACATCATACCGACAAGCATATGCTCTCTGATTAGATTCGAGCTTTTGCTACAAAACAGTAATCCATTCCTTGCAACCACGTACTTCGTCAAGGTCTTCACTGCTACCCACAGACTCGTCCGATGACTCTTCGTCTGGATAGTCATTTGCCACATTGTCTTCGTCGTTGGAATCCTCGCTTAATCTACACATGATGCAACATAACAGGCAGAATCAAGTGTCAAGAGAAATCAGATTGCTATCGTTAGCACCCGTAGTCTGTCATCGTTATAATCGGTAGATCGACCCTGTCACGCTCTCGTCACGGCTTCAGCATAACTCCATTTACATTTATACAGATATGCGTACCCGTCGGCTTCATCGTTACTGTCGATGTCAGATTCCAGCATGTATTCCTCCACCTCGTCACTTGGCGTGTCTTCAGAGAGCCATCGCTGCACCTCCGAACTCACACTAACGACTGGCACGCTATTTATGCTGGTTTGTTCAAAGCCATCTCTAGAGTCGGTAGTCTTGTCATGCATGGTCTCTTGTTGCTCACTCGCAGAAATGTCAACACAATATATGTCATACACGTAATCCTTTTCGCGTCCTGCCTCTTCACATGCAAGTAAAGCTGTTTCTACATTGGAATGACCTCCACGCTTTGCAAACACGGCAGCCGTGGCACCTTCCCAATCTTGGCTAAGAACGCTCGTAGAATCAGAGCGCAATAGCACTTCAATCACATCACTCCGTCCATGCAGCGCTGCAGCCATTAATATCGTCCTTCCATCCGCTGGTCGCTGAAACGTGATTGGGTCTGCACGAAACTGCAGTCGCTGTGTGTGGTATATATGGAAAAAAGGTGTAAAGTCGTTTAAGCGGAAAGCGGTCCAAATTGCCTCATCCAGCATGCGTTCTTGTGGGTTCAGTACCCTCGTAGATTTCAGCCGTGCTCCGTTCATCATGACCACATCTGCCTCACTTATTTCTAAGTGTGCATCAGTACACGTTGTCAATGACGTGTCTGTATCTGCAATAGTTGATAACTGTAGATCCACTAGTCGGATGCCATGCACTTCCATCGTTTGCTTCTCCTTAATCTCCACAATTGGCTGCAGGCCTCTAGACTTGAACATTTCTTCATTCCGTCGAGATTTGGAGCGACTCTGCTGCTCTTCCATACGTTTCTCTGTCTGTTTGGAAGCCGTCGGGTCTTTTTGAAACACAGAGACGAGCTGTTTCTTGGCTAAAATGTCGGCTCGTTCGTCCTTAAGCGACCTTGCTTTGCGTTTGAGTCTTTCTGTCCATCTGCCACGTCCAGGCTCTATCTGCTCTTCCATTGTATCAATATGTTTGAATACAAAACACTTTTCATCAGTCGAAAGCTTCGTAAACGCTTCCAAAAGGTCCACTTTCGGTCGTTTAATAGTTGGTTCACTCTGCACCATCAAACACTCCATTGGGTTGTCACTGCGCTTGCGTTTCAATCGTAAGAATACACGGGAAGGTTTCTCATTAGCTTGTACATTAACTTTCGGCGGACGTGAGGATCTGGCGGTAGCAGTCGATGGCACAATTGTGCGCAAAGATGGCCACGTCTTGTCCATTATGGTACCGTTTCAAATGTATACTGATGCACCAATCTTGGTATACATCGTATACAAACTAATACATACAGATAGCTACATTTTATAACATTAGCAGATAATTCTGATTCTAGAATCAATCTGTTAATATGTCGCGCTGTCTGTCGTTCATCCAACGAGACTGTTAGGTGTCCTCCACTCTTTCTTGACACAAGAATGCTTTACATTATCGCCATGACTGATCTAGTGACGATCTGCCTCAGAAAGTGAACATCTCAACCGAAACTGTGACTTACCGACTTTATTGATCAAGTAAAACAACTGAAAAGTATCCTATATCCATATCCGGACAACACGACAGGTGCAGCACCGACTGCAGATTATGGCTAGATTCTTCCACCATGAGCTACAATGCTGGTCAGCAAGTACAACCAACAGGACATAGTACATCTGTACGATCACTACTGGCAAGCAGACGCTAAGTGCATTCGATCTGTAGTCAAGCGGTATTTATTCAACCGTCTCAACAGTATTTGTGCGCCATCCTCGTATCTACTCAAAGCTGAATGATTGGCTCCAATCAAGTCCACTACAACCAGGACTTATTCTACGAGCGATAGTCGGCGTTGATGGCCACGTACTCGTGGGTAAGGTCGATGCCCAGCACCTGAGTCTTCTCGGATCCAACACCCAAATCAATCTCGATCTGACATTGTCACAAACACAAAATCAGCGCAAATCACTGCTTGCTATATATCAATAAGAAAAGTCGCATACCTCGACAAACTTTCCGTGCGGCGGGTAGTTGTGCGAGCTGGCGTCAAGTCCACCGCGCGTGGGCTCGATCAGCATTGCGCTACGCATGTGAGCAACAAGTTTGGCCTCGATATCATCGTTCAGCACCATCTCGCCGTTCTCAAAAATGACCACGCCACCCATTCGGATCTTCATGCGGCGCTGAATGCTCACATCCTTGTGATGCAAGCCCATATACTTCCCCACGGCCATGACAAGACGACCTACGTTCGGGTCGTTGCCAGCCACTGCACACTTGAGGAGAGGCGAGTTCACCACGGACTTGCCAACGCCTTTGGCCATCTCTTTCGATAAAGCACCACTCACCGTCACCCGCATAACGTGATGCGCACCTTCACCATTGCGCACAACGTCTTCGCTTAAGCCAAGGCAGACATCATGCAGCGCTTTTTTGAACTCGTCCAACTGCTTGATGTCGAAAGGGATCTGGTCTGACGACACAAGCGTCACCGTGTCCGACGTGCTCTGGTCCGTGTCTACACTGAGTGAGTTGTATGTGTTTTCAACTACCTCCGTCAGCAGTTGACGTAACACATCACGCGGAATTGAAAGATCTGTACCAAGCATTCCAACATGTCAGTCCACCAAACAAGATACAGTACCACCCGTCGTAAACTCATAAGTATTCACCAGTAAGAATATAAGACAGCATAGTAGCCATGTTGGGTTCAATCATGCCGGCTCCTTTGGCAATACCGACGATTCTACCTCCACACACATCGATAGAGCGCACCTTTGGGTACAGATCTGGTCAGCAAATGTGTAGGAAAACTCATTAGTTAAACAACAGCAGCAACTACAACTACAAGGTCTTGCTTGTCTATATACCAGTCGTCATGATCCCCTCAGCAGCTGGTAGTACCGAGTCGGACTGTAAATTACTGACGAGCTTGGGAAGTTCTTCCACCATGGCGTCTACAGGAATGCGCCATCCAATGACGCCCGTGGAACAAGGCAATATCTGAGTGCCTCCATCCAGTCTCAAGTGTTTGGCCAGACTTTCACAGACTTCCTCTGCATCTGCGACGCCACCACCACTGGCACAGACATTGGAGATCTTGTTGTTAATTAGAATGGCACCGAGCTTGGGCTCCTGCAAGCGCTTACGACCCACAAGCACGGGCGCTCCAGGAAATGCATTTTGTGTAAAGACAGCAGCAAATAGAGATGTGGGCTTTACAGTCTTGATAAGTGTCATCGTCATCTTAGCTGGCAAGTGGGGCGCTTCTTGCGGGACAAAATCAAAATTCGTAGTCGCGACGGAAAAGCCCCAGGGCAAGCGACTTTGATGCGTCTGTAGATACTCCATGTATTCATGACGCGACTCAAATACAAACGAGTGTCCATTCGTAGACAAACAACGCATCAAAAGCAGTGATCGCGATCGGGAGAGCAATGACAAACGCAGGAGCGACATGGCTACGGACGGATTAAATGGAAGCGCTTGAAATGGGGACTAATACAGGCGATGTCCACTAGTGGACGGCAGTGGACGGACTCTGGATATTATCCGAAAATATCTGTCTTGAACGTGACCAAATGTATAGATTCCTTGTGCAAGAATTCAGAAATTTATATTTGCAAAAAATCGAAAAATTTCGTGTATCCCCAATAATTGCTCAATTGTAAAATTGATCATATGACGGACGAAGAGTGGAAAGAGTCGGGAGCGGCTTCGGACGCGCCGTTACCTCCTCCACCCCCTCCTCCTCCACCTCCACAAGGACATTCAGAAGACGGTATGAAGCAAAAGAGATGCTCAATACAAATGTCTAATTCGACGCCCAAGCACAGGAATAAAAAAAAGATTTTCGTGAGATTCTGGCACTTTTTCACGAGCCGATGGACACCGAGAAAGCTAAAAGTGTATGGAATTCCTTATGGCAGACGACACTTATGGAGAGCCAAGAGGAATATAGGAAACGTCTGCAGCAGGAACAGCATGGTCTTAAGCGCAAGAAGAGCGGGGAACCCGATCACGGCTCCATGTCAACGAGAGGAGCAGGTCTCGGTTCACTTGCTCGCCATGGGAGTTTGACCCAGGACCAAATCAAGCGAGCACGACAGGTCTGTCGTCTGTGGCTCAACTTGAAAGAATATATATGTTGATGAGTCTATTGTAATGTATGTGTTTGTGTCTCGTATAGAGCTCTGCTACAAGTACAGACTCGTCCGAATCTGGAAAGGTGAATCGACTGGGTAGTCGCTTTCCTAAGAATGTCACGAAAGGATCGAAACTGTTGCAAAAATTTGGTAGCCGTACATAGGACAACGATCAAAAGTCGGAGGTGGCTGCTAACTTGATGGATGTTCGTAGTGTTTGAGTGTCGTTTGCAAAAAAACGCAGAAAAAAATGTCCAAGCCAAAGAACATTGTACATTTCTGCTAGCCAACGCTGGCACGGGGCGCAGGTGCTCCAAACAATATTTCAAGTTTTTTTGCAATTGTTAGCAATGGTTAATTTTTTTAGCAAACGACGGACTGTTTCTTGTGCGACTTGGTTTGACAACAAGGAAACACCAGCGCCACTCGAGCAAACATCCTTGTTGTCCCTGTGCGCAGGTCATGCAATAACTCACCAAATCCACGACCACAGCTGATATCGTTGGAAAAGATGTACGTGCGACCTTCTCGGTCAAGAAGCTTGTCTAAGGTAAAATCCACGCCTCGTAGTTGCTTGGAGAAATAAATGGGCACAATCGTTTTTCCTTTGTCTTCAGCAAACGCCAACTGATCACTTACCAGCTCCGTTTTCACACTACGTTTCGATAGCACAACTAAAACCACCAAGCTCTGTAGAATTGCATCCTTTGCTGCCAAAATACGTTCCTTCGTGCTGGATACGTTTGTCATGGAATCAACCACGAATGGCAATTGGTGACGCCGCAGCTCTGTGCACAAACTCGTCACAAAATCTCGATGGCAATCTCCATGCGAAACAAAGATTGAAAAGATCAGTCCTCCAAACGTATTCCTCCTCCCACTACCGCGAAAGATTACAGCATTTACAACCTCATCCATTCGTCGGCGCCTCATCGTTGCAGCCCTGCCCAATGGCTGGTGTTTACCAACTCGCCGTTCAGCCGGATTGCGATCGCCTCCGAGCCGATGCATTTCCACCTCATCTCGTAAGCCGTCGATCAGACTTCTAAGACTGGCCTGAAATTTAACCTCATCAATCTCAAACTCGACGTGATCCACGGTTGACGAGTCAGATACGAAAGAACCATCTTTACTGAAGTCTGCCGTCTTTGAATGACGCAACGTGACAGTCTGGCCAAATGGCACAATCTGCCGCGTAAAAACAAACATCTGTAATTCTTCAGACATTGTAACGAATTCGCACGAAATTGGCACCACGGGGACCTCATGCTGTTTGGCAAATGCGAGTTCATCCATGCACAAAACGTTGTGTACGTACCCAGCGCTGAGCATACAGACAATTGCAGAAGCAGTCTTTATTATCTCCAGCGATTTCCCAGATGCACCACCACCCTCTCTGCCCACTGCATCTTCCTGTTCGGTGCGCATGTACACAGTCATAAAGTTTTGCTCAATGCCGGCTCGTATATGTTCAGCGAACACGCGAAACGCTGGGTCAAAGGAGAGCACGACGTCGATATAACCTCCTGCAACTTACTGCATATTGTAGCTCAGCTGATGCACAGCACTCGACAGCACGACGCCCCTCTCCGTTGATTGCATACAGATCAGACTTGCCTTCGACAAGCAAAACCAGTGCAGTATCTATATATCCTCGTCGCAACGCAATGTGAAGAAGAGTCTCTTCCATCTCGTTAGGAACTATTGCACTTATATCCGCCCCAAAACGAATAAACAGTCCTACACAATTACTTCGCAAACGGCCTCCATCCACGGCAAACGCTAGTGGTGTCATGCCATCATGTTCAACCGAATGTACAGCACGCCCTCATTAGTCGGTTGGATGTTCTCACGTCGGGCACACAACCCACTACATGTGGCGTGTCGTGCTAACGACGTTCGCATGGTTCCTGTCTTGCTTGAGGCTGGTTTGAACCCCAACTTTCTTGACAAAATCTCTGGCGCAACTTTTAATTTGGAGCTTTTGTATGAGTTGTGCCAACTGCGAGTGACGAAAGTGACGCATGTATTGGGGGCACCCTTGCATGTGGCTGCATTACACGGTCACACGCAGGTCATTGATCTCCTGGTAAAATATGGAGCTAACTTGGACATCATGGCTCGATCAAGTTTTTTTTTGCGCTCCATGCGTGTCACACCAATCTTTTTAGCAGATTCAGCCAACGTCGTCGAGTGCCTCATTCAACACCAAGCCAATATCCTGCTGGTTCCAGGAAGTGGAAACGCTGCCAACACAACGGTGCTCCAACGAGCGCAGCTATCCGGTCGCCGTGAACTAGCGACATTGCTTGAGGAGTGAGGTGCTGATGTGGCGCTTACTCCGCTACATGAGGCTTCAGCTGCAGGAAACCTTGCCGCTGTGAAGCACTTGTTGTCATGGGGTATCAGCCCAGACATATTGGGTGAGTCTCAACGCGGTGTGCACAGCCGAACACCACTACATTGGGCAGCTGTGATGGGAAGACATCGTGTGATTAATGAACTTGTGAAGTGCGGTGCTGATGCCAATGCTAAGGATAGTTATGGACGAACTCCTCTTCACTGGGCAGCTCGCCATAACTATGCTGAAGCAGTTGAAGAGCTTCTTGGTGTAATCGCCGATTACTTGCAGCTGGATCATGTGCGTCGTCGAGTGTGAATGTAGCTCTTGATTTGCTATCAAGTACGAGTCAGCGTGACTCGATTGCAAAATTGGTGTACAAACGCCACTTGGAGCGGAGTTCTTGTCGCCAGCCATCTCAGTGTCTCCTACCGTAGCTGTACTTCTCCCCGCCAGTGCTGTCGTTGTCAACGCCATTGACTCATCTTCATCCAAACCAGCTCCAAGTTGCAGCTGCTGATGAGCTCTTAGGCAGTCAAACTGTTTTGTATGAAGTGCTATAGTAAGAATTGCCAATAACGCAACGTACGACATGGTGTCCGTCCAAATGGCCCACACTCCTTCTTGTGTGAGATCTCCAAAGGCCCAATAGACTCCGAGCACCAGTACCACAATCCAAGTGAGCGACACTGTTTGTATCACTACAATAGTCTCAAAAATGGTCAGAGCCAGTGTGCGCTGTAGCGTCACACACGAGGCGTCGAAGGCCGAGCGAGTGAGTGAGAAGGAGCTCGCAACGCGTGGACTCAGTACCTGTTCCCTTCTCATATTTATCGTCCTTATAATTTCTCCAGCATTCTCAATATCATCCACGTGCACGCGATAGAGAGATATGAAGGGTAATGCTGCAAACCTCAATGACACATTGAGTGTGTGTAGACTGATCCAAGTGTCTCGCACAAATCCCTCTTTGCTAATGAAAAAGAAAAGAAGTAGCGAGCCCAATGACAAGATGGAAGTACAAGCTAAGCACCATGCATAATATGAATTTGACCATCGAAGATATGCATCAATACCCTGCCATTTACCGTAACAAAGAGGTGAAGAAGATGGTAGCGATGTTACATTTACATTCGACGCATGTGTAGCTATTTCCAAAATGATAAGCAAATCAAGTTGATAGCGAATTTGAGAGGGGCGATTGATATGATATCTACACACTAGCGTTACAACTTCTTGTACGACGCTTATCCTTTACACTAAAAGGGACCAAATACCAGGTAGAATCGACTTTCTCATACAAAAGGCATCACAATGATGGCATCATGAAAATTCCCAACTTTTATGATAGTTGCTCGTAGTATAATCCACTGAGTACTGTGGCTCACTATTAGTTGCTAACAAGTATAGGAAGCTTCCATGATTCAAGATATAAGGGGGCATTATCATGTCGCAAAGCTTCACGACAGACATTCAAGTGCTAGGGTCAATACAGAAACAGTGTGTTGCAGCTTCTTTGTGACCTCCGAAGCCGATAGTAGGCCATCAAATCGGCTTCCAAGGACTTGAAGCAGCTGGTTTTCATGTCCGCCGAACAAAGTCGGCTCTGCAAAACAACAAACTTTTGCACTGGTTTCAAAAGTACAAGTACACAATGCAACAATGCTTGCTAGATGCTTCAAATGGATGATGATCGCATCTGTTACACTCACTATACACATCTTGCTACCGTTATGATCTGACGTATTGTTCTTGTTATGCCCTACTTTTTTTCTTGGCTTACCCGCATCCTCTAAAGTTCCTGTTTCAGGCGAACGATTGGCGAATATTTATTTACAGCCAATCGCAATGATCTGGCTCGTCTGCATGGTAGCAGTCGGAATTCCGCAGCAGTCTGAGTTTACTTACTAACCTCTTAGTTGATTTTCTGTATACAAAACGTGGTCGGTCGACCAATCAACTAAAGTCGTCTTTGTCAGAAGGAAGAACGCAGGACAGGACGCACACGTCGCACACGCCACACACGTCGCACACACCGCACACCACGCAAGCCCATTCCCAGAGCCCTCACTTGATTAGGACCTTACTCGTTAGTCCTTTTACGCCGTTAAACTGCTCAGTAGAATCGTCAAAACTTTGAATTTAGGTTCATGACCAAGCGTGTTCGAGTAACTAAACAGGAAGCGACAGTGCCGACGCTCGTAGGCCTCACAGACACAAGTACGACGCTATCATCACATCCTAATATAACAAACAAGGGCAATATAACCACATCAACAAGCGTCGAGGGAAAACACGTGATGCTGCCTGCATTTTTATCCAAGACGTACGAGATTTTCAGCATGCGGGAATTTGCACACGTTTGTGGCTGGAATGCTACTGGAGACACCATAATTGTGTCGCAACTTGAGGCTTTTGTGTCCATGGTGCTGCCGCGCTTCTTTAAACATCGCAACTTCCCGTCGTTTGTGCGTCAGCTCAATCTCTATGGCTTTCATAAGACAGTGCTGGACTCGAAGCGGTTGGAGTTTCAACATCCGTACTTTAAACGTGGTCAACCTGACCTGCTGCACCACATTAAACGCAAAGTCTCGAACAGCAATCACCACAACCAACAGATCGTCAGCACATCTATCCAGGTGCGTTGGGAAAATAGACGTGTGGAAAATAGGTTGGAAATGGTATTTATGGATTTGTGTGGTATTTCTTTACAAGTAGAACTCAAGACTTGATACCCACCGGGAGATGTCAGACGCTCTGCTGCGCGAGATGAAGGAGTTGCGTCAACGTAGCGACGCCATGGAGAAACGTCTGCGCGAGGTGGAAATTGACAATGCGGTACGGCTATTGACTTTACGAGGTTTAGCAAGCGTATGAATGATTGACTTTTGTTGAATATTATAGATTGTACGGAGTGACAATCTGAAGTTGTGGAAGCATCTGGAGGCAGCAAAGGACAAGCAGTTGGTCATGCAGGAGAAAATGAAAAAGATCATGTGGATTTTGTTTCAGATCTATCGCGGAAAGCAGCAGAACCTCCCGAAACTGTCTAGCAACGACGTTACAGGCGCTGTTATCAGCGATGAGTACGTATCGCAAGCGTACGACATGTGATTCACGTTATTCTATGTATTTATGTGACTAATCGTTGTTTTGCTGCTGTGTGTTATTTTCATTCGTCCCTGGTATGTACCGGCTTCAACTTTCTTCCTGACTATTGGTAGCTACTCAAATAGCAGTATGCTTGGGCCAAAAGAATTTCGAGATGTACTGCGCTTTCTGGCAATGGATGAACCCCCGATGTTGCCTGAATCATCCGCCAATGTTGCGTCTGCAACGCAAGGCTCGCGAAAGCGGAAGTTTGTCGAAGTACCGTCTGATGTTGGTGAGGCACTCTTGGCAGAGAATGCTTACAAAATAGGTATGTCTGTCAGTATTATGTGGTGTGATCGACGCAAGCACGAGAGCTTACGATGTGATCTGTCAGAAAACAAAGCGTCCTTAGCTGTTGAAGTGCCTAGCTCCATGGGAATGCCGAATCCATTTGCAAGGACTTTTCCGTCTGGTACTGCTCTTGCAGCACACCTAGACGAAGAGCAGAACAACGTGCTGAGTATATTCTCCCCACTCCAAGCGGTTAACAATACCGCAGCAACCGCCGATCCAACATCGGGTGGATTTGTTACAAGTGATATCGACACAAGTTCGAGCGCTTCCGCGACGGGGTCGACATCGACTGAATCGGCGCCACCTGCGACTGTCACCACACCGACCGAATCAACTTCACATGAAAGCACGCTGTCTGGCAGCAACGAAAGCGGATCGCCTGATTCAAATCCTATGTCAACTGCGGACGTAAGCAGTCAATTGGCGTTTTTGGACGAGGATCTCCCGTTACTGCCCGACTCCGACCACTATAACTTCACTGACGGCGAACAGGTACTGTAACGCTTCTTGTGATTGGTTGTGCATATGTAGTCTTGTGGACTATGAATCAGTGACGTGTCTTTTCTGGGCCACGTAATAGCAGTCAGTAATGAAGAAACTCGAGGACTTTGAGACGTCGCTGCTAGACGAGTATGACGTCGGCTGCCTTGACACCCTGTTATTGCAGCTGAAAAATGGTGCAGGCGACAAAGCGTTGGGTGTTGCAGTTGCAGACCCGGAGGAAATTGTTGTTGGACCGAGCAACATGTCGCCGAGCGATGCCTAAAGCAGTAGTGCTTCCGACTAAGCGATATAGTAGTCGTCGTTGAAGACGATGAGCCTGTGATGGCCAGAAGTTACATATCACGTACATATCAAGCAACCGACGTCTGCTGTCACTGATACGAGTTGCACATTACTTTTTCCAGCAGATGGACAAGCGGTTGAGCGCGACTTCGTAACCGGATAGAAACAGATCGAGAGTGTCGAAAAAAAAATCAAGAGGAAGATTCTGCGGAGCAATGGGAGCAGATGAGTATCGAGATTGCAAAGCGAGCAAAGAGACGAGTTCGTACGAACAAACAGCCAAAAGTTGATGCGATAGGCATTTTGACGGCAGCGAACGAGCGCTCCGAAGACGATGACGACCAGATACATGCAGCTTTTTTTTATTTATGCTGCATATTCGGAGTATGAAGTGAAGAAATGAAAGTAAGAAAAAAAGATTGGGAGAAAAAATGGTTTGGTAGTAGATAAGAGAGATATCCTACTCGTGTTCCTTTTCTTTCATCATTTCGGAACGACTTGTTCATATGTTTCTAATCGACGACGTAATCGTTGAATTTCGTTCTCCTTGCGCTTCAGTTCCAATTGCGCTGTAACAAAAAGTGTCGAGATATTGGTCTCCAATTGTTTATAAGCACTTCCTAGCTGTCTATTCGTCTCCTGCAACTGCGCCAATTCATCTCGTAGTCGTGTGTTTTCCATCTCAACTTGGGTTTTAAGATTCAGCGCCTCCTTTTTTTCCAGTGCGCTTATGGACGTGTCCAAATCTCCATACAAGTCCTCCATTGTTAATATCTGAACCCATACTCGTCCAACAATCTAAGTCGATCGGAATTAAACGGAATTCCAGGCAATTGGTACCATTGCGATGGACATGAGATGTACCAAGTTCTGGGAGGATGGTCAGACGTTAGTCGCAGTTGCTGTCTCTGGACCAGAAGCTACTAGTAGAATGAAAAAAACACAGGACATGATTTGTAAGGAGCTACGTACCGTAAGTCGTTTCATTCAGCGCAACCAAAGCCAACGCTTCAGTGACGCGGCACAAAACAAGCTTGTTGACTGTATAGGACACTATGTGGGGCTGGGCAAACAGGGAAGTATGATAATGCCGGTAGCAGAAGCGCTGTTTCAGACGGTGAAAGATGGACTAGCCATGCCGTGTAACGTTGTTGGCACGAAGCAGAAGAAACGCTTACTGAAATGGTACAACGAGCTCATTGCAATTGTCGGTGGCGACCCAGACGCGACAATTGGTGGTGAGATTGACGTGAAGCCGTGCATCGAGTGGACTGTCATGGACATTGACGAGGATGGATATCTTTCCCTTTTACAAGTGGAAACAGGTGAGTCGAACGGGAATTTCCAGGTCAAGACGGAAAGCACAGAGTACAGACGCATCAAGAAGGCGTTACATAACAATGAAGTCACCGTTATCACTTGGGGCGACGAGATTGAGGAGGTCCGTATAGAGGACGAGTAAATGGATAAAAACGTTCAAAACCTGCATGTTGAGAGTGGCTACAATGCATAACAAATTGTTGCCATGTCAGCTGTACGATTAGAAGGGGCTAGCAGCACCCGTTTTCGCGCGACTCTCACTCCACGCCTTGGCAATGGTCCGCTTCATCTCATCGTCGCCTTCGTCATACATATTCTACAAAAGCATACACAAGAGTGCAAGTCGTTACAATCAGTTGTTACACAATCTAATCCCATATCTTTCTATACCTTCATCATGTCCATGATGCCCGCACTTGGATCGGTCATGTCGGGTTTGCTCGTCTTGAGTGGGTTCTTAGCCGTAAGGCTCATCCACGTATTGTTCTTATCCATTTTATGCAGCAAAATTGTGATACGATTCTTCTTCACACGAAAGGAGCTCTTGGACGGGTCAATTTCCTTTTCCAAATAATGTTTCACCAGTCTACAAGACCAATACAACCACGTCAGTCTCCTTCTCGTCTTCCTTTCACAGTAACCTTCTTCTCTACGCTTACCGATAGTTCTTGTTATCCAGTCCAATAATCTAGCAGTAAACAGACGACAAGATTAGGTCAACGTCAAGGTACATTCATAATCAATAACAACATTCAGTAGTCATCACAATACCTTCAGATCAAACGACGTCTTGGTAAAGTGACACGTCACATTCTCCTTGGGCAAGTTACCAACTCCATCAATACCCGACATAATATAGACTGCTACTTTATCCTTTCCATATCCTTCATCGTCCCAGCTAAACCGACTAATCTCTGTAAATACAGCAACGTCACTGGCAACAGGATGAGTCACTGGAACTGTACTTGTCTCTTCTCTCAATTGATGTGGTGGTAACGTCGACATCGTAGCAGTCTCCAGCATCTTTTCCTTGCGATGTAGCAGCTGCTCCAGGTCATGACGATTACCAGCTGTCTTGGTCTCGTCCAATAGCGATTGCAGCTCAGTAATCTCTGCTGTCAACACTTCCGTCTTGGTTGTCATGATTTTAATCGGTTTGGGAAATGGATTGGGAAATGGATTGGGAATAAATTTGGATTTGAATGGACTAAATTTCTAGAAAATTCTAGGACCGACCGACACTCGAATGAATACCTTTCAATTAGAATACATAGATAGAGAGAGGAAGACAATTATATCGGACGTAGTTAAGGTTTGCAAGGCATGTGGTAGATCCTAAGCCTAGTTAGCAAACCCGGTTCCTCGGGTCGAGTTCAGTGGTTAGACGGAGCTATTCACCTGCGGTAACGGCTCTCGCGCTTACCTATTGCACGACATGCCGGTTTCACACGACTCCTAACGCTGCCTCCGATGGTCAGGTTCGCCTGCTAAAACGTTACCCGTTTCTTCGTACGCGAGCCATACATATGCTCAGGATGACCCACAGGCGCCGCCACACGCGACGTATGCTGCCACCTCGTCGGGTAAGGACGGTTGAGCTGTTCACGGACCACCCGCTAGTCGGCTTGCACTTTTGGCTAGGAAGGCCCTAAAGACGTCCTTACTTCCACCGTTGTCTAGTTCGCTGGCAAATGAGCATTTGCTAGCATGCTTGCGTGCATGGACATATCCAAGATATAAGCTTTAACGTCTTTTTTCCTACGGCAACATTGTAGCTTATACCAACCTTTGTTTCGCTTGCCCGTTCTGCGTGGTAGAGATACAATTGCCGTACGGCCACCCGATACGCGACTCAGACATGGTACTTCGAGATCGCGTGGCCGCTGCCTGTATTGCCCGTGGTGTCTACTGTAAAGCTACGGACTGCCATGCACTCCCTTGCAAGACGACTAGGAGCCCTTGCAAAGTATTCTACAGTGAAATTTTTGAGCCTTTGCACGGCCAAAATGCTTGTTTCTTTAGTCAGTGATACATGTCTGTTGGCAACAAATTCAGGCACGCTACTTGGAAACCCATGCAGGAGCGAACGCGCGTGGAAGGCCGCGTCTTGGACCTCCTTAGCTTTTGGCAGTCGGCTGCCATATACTGATTCGTGGTTCTGGTCGTGGCAACTTTCCAATGCCTTTCAGTTCGAATACAAACAAACGCTTTTTGGCTCATGTAACGATGTGTTATCGTAAAAATGGTCGAGAAATTAGGCTCAAAATGACTCAATTACATGGTTACAAGAAGCCAAGATATCTTCTCTGAATTTTGTCGTTTCTTCTGTCTCAATCGCCGCTCGTATCGTCGTGCGACGCATCGCGGCCGCGTACCATTTGACCTTAGGTTTTATACAACTACTTATTGCATTGAAGTTACAAGGTTGTGTCAGATTGTTACTTGAAGTGCACACAACGTGACGTGCCAATTTTATCCGACGAAAGGCATCATGGCCGAGTGCATTCGTGTGATGAAAAGGACATAGAGGTCCGACTAGCGCCAGCCCTCGGAGATTAACCAGACTTTATCATGTCGGATCGAGCAGGCGCAAAACACTGGTGATTAAAGATCGGCCTTGACCATATGACGCACCGACACGACGCCTTGACTTGCCTACTCCTCCAATTGTTGTATGCATACGTCAAGAAGAGCTGGGATCAAACGTGCTGCGTGAGCGTTTGATCCAGTCGAACGACCATCGGACCAAGGACTCAGTCCAACCAAAAGCGACCCGCTACAATACCAAAGGAGTCGTGACCTTCGCCAGATTGATCTCTCACCGCTTTTAGGTCTTCCTAAGTGACTTGCAAGCTTTCAAAATTTTCTCGAAGCGAAGCATTTCTTGCTGCAACCTCTGTGACTGTCTATCCTCAGATCGAATAGCGCTGACGCTACTCTCCAAGCGCAAAAATTAGACGCCTGAGGCTCCAATCACAATAGCGTATGATGATAGAATGCAACAGGTGATAATAGGAAGGACACGATTTGTAGAATTCAAGCGTCGGATTACATATAGCACCATATCTATTTAAGTGCCTAGCTATATCTTGAACTTAATGTACTCAAGCTTCAACTCCACTCGCAACTTTATTTCGACTGAAGCGATCGGGGACGTTGATGCGGTACAATGAGTCTGGCAACCAACGCTATTTTGTGCGAAGGTCATTGTGCCTTGGTTATTCTTTCAGATTACCGTAGGTCCTGCGTGTCAAGCACCGAATAATACTCTGAAGCAGTTTACGAGTCACACCCATTTTGTCTCGCGTAGTCTATGCCGTGCCTTGAAAGCAGCCTCCCAAGACAAGCTCTGTATCTTGTAACTACATTCTTTTTTGTCGCGCTATCGATGCGAACACCCATCAATCGGTGGTGGCGTAAAACAGCCGTTACGTTTTGCTTTGACTCGCAATTGCCTATTTCAAATCTAATCTAGACGTCAGTGCTGCGTATATTGTGAAAACCTCCTCAGATGCCATAGCGGCCTTCTGGTTCTTAATTGCACGCAACGCATCATTTTGCTTACACTCTTTTGACGCTTGGTCCCACTTTGTGATGGTGTCATGATTTGAATTGCGTCTGCCTCTTAGAGTCAGTCAATATGGTGCAGGCGTAATCATGGGATGGGTCAGCTTCTTCGCACGACTGGCTTTTTCGTTTTTGTCTCAGACCTTCTATTATTCACGAAATTTTACCAAGCGTTCTCTCGAAGAAAGCAAGATGAGATTGAATAAAGGAATAAAGCTGCTGTAATATGCAAGCAAGTACTTTGTTTCAGTACAGGCGGATACATGGCACCGTTCCATCCACTGTACAAAAGAAGCTTACTAGCTCCTCTGCAGCAGCCAAGAAGCAAGTGGTCGATGCTATCTGGAGCAAAGTTACAAGCACCTAGTTTCCTCAGCAAAAAATAGTACTGTCGATCAGCGCAGCGGGCGCTAATGATGATTGCCGGTAGACATAACTGTTATATTGCATAATGAAACCATTAGAAGCTAACCATTCAAGTGAACTTACTTGCTTTATAAATAGTCGAATTACTTGAATGGTTAAACTTCCAAATCTGTTGTTAAGAAGATAATTGAGCTAGGGCGTTAATCGTGCGTGTTCTGAATACCTAGTCTTTGAGCGTAAATATATCAGATCCATGACGACAGAAATTCTTGATCGTTCTCGTCTTGATTGCTCTGCTGACGTTCATGGTTCATCTCCGAGCGTTCCATGTCACACCATGATGACTGGTGGTGCGAGTACATGAACGAGCCCAAAGCTGCACTGTACTACCCAGTAAGAATGTGCTGGATGTTGTGGAATGTGTGTTGATCCTCACTTTTGGATAGTGCGTTGAGCTGCGTCTTTCACGATCAGGTTGCAGCTGCCATAACAGCTGTTTAACCTGTGAAAATTTGGAAAAAACGGTCGGAGTTGTAATCTTCAGTTCTCCCTGCAACATTGCACCAGACGGAGCAGTATCCTTGCGTCATTGCAATACAAAACACATGGCTTCGGGTAAGGTGCTTTTGAGACGGGTCGCCACTGCGACGTTCACGGTGAGGAAAAATATCAGGTCAGCATTTTTAGCGACCAGATGGAATCACTGGAATTCCGAAGATCATACGTGCGATAGTGTAGACAAAATGTTAATAATGCTCTAGTAGATACATAACGAGAACGATGTCCTTACAAACAAAATTGCAAAAGAGAAATGCATGGACGTGAAACAGAAAAGTTGCTTGAAGTGACTAGTAAAATTATTAAATGGATGATAAAATATACTTTCGGATTGATCATGGCCGTGACGATGTCGAAATATGATGTAGAAGCTTGTAAATCATTGATCGGTGGATGCATGTACTGTATATTACTGCAATGTATTACTACTGTGATATGTATGGCAGCTGCGCCGAGAAACGATTTTTTCGGTGAAGGTAGTAGTAGCGTAATCAGGTATTCTAATCTCACTATTCTGTAGTTTTATTATTCAGCCAGATGTCATTTCTGGGGCTCTGTATTTGGTTCTGTTAACAGCTGATTTGAATGCAACCATCCCTTTATTTTTGCAACAATAGTTCATATACGCAAAAGCTCTTACAGTCACTAGAATAAGATGTCGTATCTGTTGAAAAGTGATGTTGCGGCTACGTGTGTAGGATGTATATTTTACATGTTGTGGAGTTGTATTACAGTTACTTATAGGTTAAAATTGCATAATTGGGCCAAGGCGCAGATTGGCTCAGTGGTTTGGGAAGGAGGATTCCACGCTACTGGTACGCCGCCGTGGTCAAAGTTAATTTTGGCTGACACCTACGACCTAGTGTTCGGGGTTCACCAGGGCCTTGACCTACTCGAAGCTACGTCCCCCACCCCACGCAATCACCTTTTGTTCTGCATAGGCTATAGTGGAGTTCTTACCATAGGTATTTACAGGGAGTAATTACCTGTGGTACAGACAGGGCAACAAATCGGTGGCTGAGAGTCACCGGCTTCTTATGGCCATTCGTCTTGAGATAACAAACTATTCAAAATACAACTAGCTTTTCGGTTTTCATCCCCAGCCGTAAGCCATCTTCAGCTAAACGACAACTCCATAACTTAGGTAAATCAATAGGTTATGAGCCCAAGCAACGACCCCGGTTTCAAGATTGAGCCTTTCGACGGCTCCAATTATGGGTTGTGGAGCTACAAGATGAAGATGTATTTGATGTCCAAGGGATTGTGGAGCGTGATCGCGGGCGACGAGACAACAAGTGTGGCCAAGGAACAGCAAGCCCACGCCGCAATCGTGCTGAACCTTAGCGACTCGCAGTTGATGCATGTCATTGACTCGGCTACTGCGAGAGAGGCATGGGGAAGGTTGGCGCAATTTAATCGCTCTCAAGACATGGCAAACCGGCTATGGCTCAAGGAGAAGTTTGCTTCGTTTTCGTACACGACATCAAGTATGAGCAGTCACGTCACGGAGATGGAAGACCTCGTGATGCAGTTGAAGCGTGCAAGCTGCGGTCCAAGCGAAGAGGATGTATGCGCGGTGATGCTGCGGAGTTTGCCCCCATGCTACGAGAGCTTGGTGCAGGCATTCCGTATGGCAGTGACCAGCTTCAGCTTTAGCAATCTCGTAAGCAAGCTAATGTCTGAGGAAGTGCGCCAAAAGGAGGCGGCACGCATTGAAAAAGCAACGGCTATTTACATTGGCAAGAAGAAGGTCAAGAAGCATACGAAGCAGCAGAAGGGCGGCGCACTAAAGCACCATCAGGAACCTGCTATAACTGCGGTAAGGTCGGACACTACGCGAGGGACTGTCGCTCAAGTCGAGGTCCAAGAGAGCAAGTACATGATCAGTCGAACGTCGCATTCAACGCCTGTGAAGGGTTTGAAAGCAACTGCTGGGTCATGGACAGTGGTGCGTCGGCACACATGTGCAAGGATCGTGAAGCGTTTGAAGAGTACAAGGAAGTACAGCATGTGCGCGCTGTTTCAAGCGCGAAGAGTGATGTAAGGTTGAAAGTCATCGGCCACGGGACGGTAAAGCTGCGCGTCTGGACTGGGCATGCGTGGTTTGATGCTCGCCTCGAGAACACGCTCCACGTACAAGATTTAACGAAGAATCTATTTTCACTCACGACTGCGGCAGCTCGTGGTATGACAGTCGAGATCACACGCAATGAGTGCGTGGTGAAGCGTGGTGGGACACCAGTCGCTACTGGGAGGAAGCAGGGCTTCCTAATGTACCTGAATTTTGATGCCGATGCGGAGTGCCACGTTGTCGAAGAGACGACCGAGCTGTGGCACCGAAGACTGGGTGCACGCATCGTATGACACATTAAACGCCATGGTCAAGGAGGGAAGAATCAAGGACGCAAAGATGAAGCCAAACAGCGTGTGTGACGTATGTGCAACGTCAAAGCAAGTGCGCAAGTCATTCAAGACAAATGATAGAGATGACGAAGCCAGGGAGAGTTCGTGTTCGGACGTGGTGGTGTGTTCTGACGTTCTCGGACCGATAACGCCATCGTCCAAGTCCGGTTTCAAGTATATCGTGAGTTTCATCATGATGAAGAGCCGGTACGTGACGGTCTATCCGTTGCGAAAGAAGAGCGAAGTTGCAAGTGCGTTCAAGCGGTTTTACCAAGATATCAAGACTGCGTCTGGACTAACGGTCAAGGTACTGCGAAGCGACAACGGTGGAGAGTACCGTAACTCGGAGCTGAACTCTGCAAGCGAAAGTTCGTCAAACAAGAGTTTACGGTCCCCTATAACCCAGAACAGAACGGGATGGCAGAGCGTATGAATCGCACGCTGGTGGAAATGACGCGCTGCATGCTCAAGGACAACGGTCTGGACAAGTCTTACTGGTGCGAGGCACTAATGACAGCGGCAGACATCCGGAACGTCTTGCCAAATGCATCGAGCAAGAACTCGAGCCCTTTCGAGATAGTGTTCGAGAAGGTTCCGCGCATCGAGCATATGCGCGTATTTGGTGCGCAATGCTATGCGCACGTGGCGAAGGAGAAGAGGCACAAGCTGGACGACTCGGGCGTGTGATGTTTCTTTCTCGGCTACGCCAAGGACCAAAAGGCGTATAGGCTTCTTAACGCTGAAGATGGCTCGATAGTGATTTCAAGAAGCGTGACGTTCGTTGAACACCCCGTCTCGAAAGTGTCGAAGAACAAGGACACGCGAGTATTGGACGTAGTCGAAGATATGGAAACTGTGGACGCGCCGACATATGATGATGAAGACGTGGATACGTCGACAACAGAAGAGGTGCTACGTACGCCACCATCACGAGTGCAGAACGGATCTGTCAATGATCGGGAAGATCGACTAACCAGTTCCATTCCAACGCGCGCATCCAGCACGCCAGGACGGGATGGAGAAGAAGAGTGGATGGTGCGACCGATTCGAAAGAAGCGCGGCGTTGTTCGTTACGAACAGGAGTTTCCAAGCCATCGTCGGGGCCAATTCAACCTGGACGACTATGAAGGTGATTATGACTATTTCTACTGTTTTTTAGCTGAAGAAGATGGAGAACAAGCGTCCAGTTATGAAGAAGTGCTGAAAAGCAACTACAAGGAGCAATGGCTGGAGGCAATGAAGAGCGAGATGAAGTCTCTTAAAGACCACAGCACATGGAAGCTAGTGAACATGCCTCAGGACAAGAAGGCTGTCGGATGCAAGTGGATTTTCAGGGTCAAGCGCGATCCAAGTGGAGCGATTATCAAGTTCAAGGCGCGTCTGGTTGCAAAGGGATTCACGCAGCGGCCGGAAATCGACTACAATGAGACCTTTGCACCGGTGGCGCGCAAGGAATCGATTAACACAGTGTTGGCCATCGCTGCAGCTGAAGTCCTAGAAGCAGAAAACGCCGATGTTGACACAGCGTTCCTCTACGGTGATGTGGAAAAAGAGATCTACATGGACCAACCTGACGGTTTTGAAGATGAAGAAAGCCTGACAAAGAAGTGTTTGTTGCAGAAGCCACTCTATGGGACCAAGCAAGCGGCAAGTCAGTGGAACAGCAAGTTGAATCGCCATTTAGAAGATCAAGGATTCAAGAGCAGTACGGCTGACCCGTGTGTGTTCGTACGAATGGCTGAGAGGAGTATAGCATCATCGTGATCTACGTGACGACTTGATGATATTCTGCAAGACAAAGGAGCACATCACGAGTATCAAGAATGCACTAAACGAAGAATTCAGCATTAAAGATCTTGGGGATCTCAAGTACTGCCTTGGAATCAAAATTCATCGCAAGCGTGAAGAACGCGTTATCAAGATGAATCAAACAGCATACATCAAGCGACTTTCGGAGAAGTTTGGCGTTGATAACTGCAAGGACGTGCACACACCAGCGGACAGCAACTCAAAATTGATCAAGATGCGTCAAGATCGAAGCTTTTGTCCCCAAGTACCCGTATCGCGAGCTTGTGGGTGCATTAATGTACATCGCCACATGTACGCGACCGGACATCGCGCACGCGGTTGGCGAAGTTGCAAAACATTGCGAGCGCTACAATAAGTCTCACTGGACAGCAGCAAAGCGAATTCTTAAGTACTTGAAGACAACTCAAGACATGAGCATTGTGTTTAGCGGCTTCAACAAGGGAGAGCTCATTGGATACGCGGATGCGAATTGGGCTGGCGACCTCGATACGCGGCGATCAACAACAGGATACGTTTTCTTTTTGAACGGGAGCGCGATATCGTGGAACTCAAAGCGCCAGACAACCGTCGCGACCTCAAGCACCGAGGCAGAGTACATGAGTCTGTACAACGCGACGCAGGAAGCTATTTGGCTTCAAAGTCTGTTCAAGGACCTGGTGTATGGTACCAAGGCGGCGACGACGATTTTTCAAGACAATCAAGGATGCATCGCGCTGGCCAAGAATCCTGTATATCACTCGAGCACGAAGCACATCGACATCAAGTTTCACTTTCTGCGTGAAAAGGTTGCAAGTGCGGTGATTACACTCGAGTTCAAGCCAACAGAAGAAATGGTCGCGGACGGATTCACCAAGGCACTTCCTAAAGACAAGCATAACAAGTTTATCAAGGGTCTTGGTATGGAGGTGTAAGATGCACACTTTGCGCGCACATCAAGGGAGAGTGTTGAAAAGTGATGTTGCGGCTACGTGTGTAGGATGTATATTTTACATGTTGTGGAGTTGTATTGCAGTTAGTTATAGGTTAAAATTGCATAATTGGGCCAAGGTGCAGATTGGCTCAGTGGTTTGGGAAGGAGGATTCCACGCTACTGGTACGCGCCGTGGTCAAAGTTAATTTTGGCTGACACCTACGACCTAGTGTTCGGGGTTCACCAGGGCCTTGACCTACTCGAAGCTACGTCCCCCACCCCACGCAATCACCTTTTGTTCTGCATAGGCTATAGTGGAGTTCTTACCATAGGTATTTACAGGGAGTAATTACCTGTGGTACAGACAGGGCAACAAATCGGTGGCTGAGAGTCACCGGCTTCTTATGGCCATTCGTCTTGAGATAACAAACTATTCAAAATACAACTAGCTTTTCGGTTTTCATCCCCAGCCGTAAGCCATCTTCAACTAAACGACAACTCCATAACTTGGGTAAATCAATAGTATCCGTATTACATAGTACTCTATTTTTTCGTCTTTGGTGGAATGTAGCAGATATTGTACATGTGTCGGTAAACTACCGTGCAATTATCTTCTTTCTTACAGTTGAGAAAATTATAATTGAATGTGTTTCTGTAGGGTCAACAAGCTTATCAATGATGTCGAGACACATCTTGTTGCACTCAACAACATTGCTTGTCAAATGTAACACTAGACACCTGTACCGAGGTGTACTTTAGTATATTTATACGAGGGGTCGTATCCATCTTGCAAATACTTCTGAGTCTATATGTAGAGAAAGCTGCGCTATAAAATCAAACCACAGCACCAACAATAGGTAGTCAACGTAGTGTCACAATTGCTTGTCACTTCTTGAGGGAACGAGTTGAAAATACGGTAACTTATATATAGCTATTATTCAGAGGAGTAACGTATTTAAATTCTGGTCATTTTTATAGAACCCGATTCTGAATTTCATCCAAATCATGTATAAAATACTAAATCCCTTTTACTGAAACTTTGTTCATTGGCCATTTTGTAACTTCTATTTCTGGAACTGGTCCAATTAGTAGTCGTAAACACAATAGACGCAATATTAGTATTAAATAATATGCACGTAGGACTTCCAGTCTCTATGACTTCAGGAGATGTTCCACTCGTCTCACCTCCTCATCAGGTAGTAGAAGAGTTTTCTGTCTCTGATCTTTGTTCAATGTCATCAAAATTCCTCCTATCAACTTCACAAGCGGCGCCTCACTCGACGACAGACACGACTCCAAATGGATCTCCTGCGTCTTTACTCGTAACGTCTTTCATACATCAAAATGCGCAACAAGTGTTACAATGTCAAGAGTCAGTGGAAATACCTCAAATAACGTCCTATGACCGATCAATAAAGAACGAAGCGTCGAGTTATATACAGAGTGATACAGGTGGGAAGGAGACGCCAATTCTTATCGATAGTGACGACAGTACAGCTCAGATAGAAGTTTATAGTGGTAATTGGGACACTACAAATGAGACAATTGAGACAGGACAGAAAAGTACGCAAAAGAATCGGAGAACTATGGAGCAAAAGAATACGGACAAAATGTGGTTTGATGTCCTACCCATAGTGCTGCAAAACATCAAGATGTACGACCGAGAGCAGATCAGACGTACGCAAATATATACGAGCTTATCACGTGTAGATGTAGGTGGTGACAATTGTGGCACTGATGCACGATTTCTTTTGGTGTTTTGTAGAACTCATGCTGCCGCGGTGTGTACAGTGCAAACGTAGCAATATTGAACAAAAAGCAAGTACTCGATGCAAACAAAAAGGTTGCATTGTATTGGACTGTCCTATGTGTTTGGCATGCTGGAATTCATATCATGGGTCAGTGGGAGCGCGAAAACATTGTCGTCAACATTCTGCAGGTGAGTGCTGATAAAACGTTTGATGCCGTTGGTGTGTAGGAGAAACATAGTAACATTGTCGTTCTCCTGGTGTAATGCTACCAGCTTGTCCGCTGTGTCAACTCGATTTGATTGCGTATTGGTGTGCAGAGTGCGACTTGAAATTCTGCAGAAAGTGCTTTGAGCACATTCACAGCGTGTTTGCGACTAAACACCATCGCAAAATTGCTACAGAAGGTTGGTACATCTATCACTAAATAGCTGACGATATTGAAGCTAAACTGTTTTGCTTGCTCATTAGATGCTCCCGGAACCTGCCTAGCAACGTCTCATTGGTCTCATGGTTTTCGCGATGCAATTGTCAACATGATTGCATCTCGAAAACAAACGACGAAAGATAACATTGATGGTAGCAGCATTGGTGCAAAACGGAAGCGCAAGATTGAAGCAATCGTTATCGATGACGATGATGAGGAGGAAGAAAACACCGTAACCCAAAGCGTGCAACCTAATCTAACGCCTACTGGCGGAACTACCGACCGAGTGATTAACAGCTGCGGATTTGCAGCGAGCCAGCAAAATGGCAGCAGTGTAGGGGCAAAAACTGGATTCACTCGATCAAGTGAGGCGTATTTTCAACCGTTGCAGGACTTCTCAGTTAATACATATTGTCTGGCGTCACTTTCCCAAACCTCGATGAACGAGCCCATTTCTCGTCCCCAAAAGCCTACGGCAACGATATCAATACCACGAGCATCGGTTTTACAACAGACAAGCTCAGGGTATAGCACAGCTCGAGCATCGGGTGTACAACAGACCAGCTCAGTGTTCAGCACATCTCCAGCACCGAACGGCGCCAACACTGTCAATATTGGCACGAGTGTGGGGGGCATGCAGTGGGATGCCAGTAATTTTCAATACGGAGCTTCATTACAGAGAGGAAGTAGTGGTAACACCACCTACGTGACCAGTGTTACAGGCAATGGGATGATGCAGCTGGCACATAGCTCCACACCGACTGTTGTTGACACCACGAGCGTATCGTGTTCAACACCGTCTGCCATCAGCATGGATTTGGCAAACACATTCAATGTTAACGATTTTCTACCGGTCGGGGGCGCGGTTTTTGCGGAGAACGCGCTAATTGACTCATTAGTGGACCGTTATCATGAAGTAAATCAGAACGTAATAGCTATGGAGCTACAAAGTGAGCAATATAGCAAGCAGATAGCAATTGCAACGTGTCAGGGACCGTTTAATGCAAGACCCTTAGTGACTTTGTTGAGCAAGTTGGAGCCTGTGTTAAACGCTGCAAGAAAGCGACGCGACCAGCTTCTTATCGCGATCATTATCCAGTCCAACGATATCATGTCGTCAGTACGTCTTCTTCGCCTTGCCGAACTTGGTGATGTACCGCAGGTCCCCATTATAAGTCATCGTAAATGTTTGCAGATATCAAACCAGATCAATCAGCACAGGAAGAATCTCGTTGGACTGTATCAGCAGTTAAACGATACGCTCAAACATTCGAGCGCAATCAGCTCGAGCTGGGAAAATCGACTTATTCAAACCACCAACGCCGGTATCCAGATGAACGAGACGAATATCAACAAACTGAAGAAAGCTCGCAAGGTGGAGTTCGTGCGAATTGTGCAATTTAGCTTTAGTATCCGTGAAGCGCTAAAGCACGCGTTTCAACGCGTTGTTGAGATTCAGCGCCAGCATCTGCAGCAACAACAACAACGACAATTTCAGCCGTCTAGATAGTTTCTGTAAGATGGAGGGGATTGCTGCACGAGTCAAGCAACAGCCGCAGCGGCAAAATCTAAGTGCAAAACTGAGTGCCAGAATGGAGGAAAATGATGCACTGATTGTAAAGGGCGACGCGATTAGCTTCACGACAATTGTCCAGTCCAACGATGTCATGGCGTCAGTACAGTTTTATTTAAAAAGGCACTCAGTGCAAATGTGCGGCTGCCTGATCATGCTGATCGACAAGGATCTAGTCTGATCATGTGCGGACGATATACAAGCCCAAGCACGAAGGTGAACTTGCTTTTCGACTTCATGCGAGACACGTTTGCCCACGATGACATGCCACGCGCCTTCCTGGGTTTCCTCGATGTCGCGCTTGATCTACTGCACACCCTTTGTGAAAGTGGTTTTTGTCACCCTTGGGGCACTCGTGAGGATTGGTATTTCGAGTTTCTTGGGCGTACAATCTGCAGTCGACCCATGGCAACGTCATTTGCCTATTTGATCGTGGATTGCTGAAGAGGTCGATAAGTTGATCTGCTGTTGTGGATCGTTTAGGTGGTTTGTGTTATCATCGATCATTGACTGCTTCTGACCTAAAAGTCTTCACGATTTTTGGCTCAAGTCTGTAGCGTGATGGAGCTACGGGGTGAAGTTAGCAGTGAGCAATGTATTGTATCCGTGCGTTAACGCTGACCACGGGTAGGATATCTATTGGTTCGTGGGATAGTGTGGACGAGATGCCGCTATCAACAAGACACTAAATTTGACTGACGTGAAGACTTAAATCAAGCTCTTTCTACCTGAATGCGACGTCAGCTACAGTAATTTGGTGTCACAAACGACTCGTGACATCTCTGCATCTGCTACTTTTCTCTGCCGCGCGACCTACTTGAAACAGGCAAACGAACGATAAAAGATGTCGTCCATTCATCCATCTCTGTTCTTGTTTTATTCTTATCAGACGTTTTTCTTACGTCTGATCGATCAACTTACAATGCTGTCAAAGAAAAAAAGAGACGCTCTATGACGTTTTCCTCACAGGTTGTAAGAACAAAATGTTCCTGCATCTTCATGTTCATTTACACTCACGTTTAGACGTACGAACTCTGCATCGGAATGAGATCGTCCTTCTTCGAGTCTAAACACGGCACCGTGAGCCACGCATAGTAAAATGCAGCCCCTGCTAGCATGTGCATTAAACCTTCAGCAACCCCCCACGCCATATGGTCCTCATCTTGGTCAAAATAGATTGACGTAAACCACATACAAGCCGCTCCAACAAGACATAACATTGCATTCACACCATATTGTTTATTAAAAGGAGAGATATCATTGGCTCGTGTACATCCTCGACGGTAGAGAACTCCAAAAAGATAACAAACGACGAGCATTTCTTCACAAGCAATATAATTCCATCCATCCTTGGTTTTAAAGATCCAAGCACATGAAAATGCCACATAACGTAGTATAATATTGTGATTCTCATCTTTATATCCCATCAAATGGACACAAAGGAGTAAGAAATACGCCAAAGACACGACATCTGAGATAAAATGCCATTTAATCTCGGTAAGAAATAACTGAGTATTAAAAGCCTCAGCAGCATTAAAGAAGAAGGAAGTTACAAGCTGTAATATACCGACAAACAGTTCAAAATGACGTCGATTACGCTTCATAACGTTTAGAGCTGGTAACATTGCTGCATCTGTTAGTGCTAGAAGCACAAAACGTCCTACTGTTAGGAGCATTTCTCGTCTAAATGAAGTGCTCCCTTGGTGTATTAAAATGGAGAATTAGCCAATCAAGTTGAAAGGGAATACAAATAAAAACATGGAACGAGCAACAACCGCACCTAGGTGATAAGTGCGCATCTGATTCCTCGACAAGAAATACCGTTGTAAATTCGGTTTTATACCAGTATGGAACCCACGGCGCTCGTACTTGATGGTAAAGTCACAAGTGATGTGATCTGCTCACAGCAATTACAGCCACAATGCAGTGCTTTCTTCCAACGATACAAACGTTCTGTGGGCTTGGCAGTCATTATTGTAGGATCTCGCAATGACTCGATCACGTACGTTCGAATGAAGCAAAGAACGTGCACGATTGTAGGTATTACGTCATGGAAAATCCATATTGTATTGGAACAAGATGGGATTCTGAAGGCTCAAGATATGGTCATTCGGGAGCTCTTATTAACGATTCAAGAGCTTAATCAACGAGATGACGTGGATGGTATTATTCTACAGCTTCCATTGCCCTCTTACTGCAATGAAGATGCGATTGTAGCCACGATTGATCCTCAAAAGGACGTGGATGGACTGCATCCACAGAATCACGCAAACTTGTTCCAGCTTGCTACTAAAAAGGTCTCGTCTCACCATGAAGAAACATCATTTGCTCTACCTTGCACACCAGCTGGATGTCTGGAGCTATTGGATCAATATCATATCCCGTTGGAAGGCAAACATGTCGTAGTGCTTGGACGCAGTCGAATTGTTGGACTACCAGTGTCATTGCTTTGTCTACGTCGCAATGCAACCGTCACGATATGTCATTCACAGACACAAGACCTCCAATTGCGTGTGCGTGAGGCTGACATTGTCATTGCAGCCATTGGACGCGCACGCTTTGTACAAGGAGATTGGGTTAAACCAGGTGCAATTGTCCTTGATGTGGGTATAAATCACGTGGAGGACGCGTCTAAAAAAAGCGGATATCGTCTCGTGGGTGACGTGGATTTTGATGCGGTCGCGAAAGTCGCACATGCCATCACTCCTGTGCCTGGAGGTGTCGGGCCTATGACTGTAGCAATGCTAGCAAAGAACACTATCCAGTGTGCAATGCGACGATTGCAACAACAGTAAACAAAAGGATACAAGTTACACGTCGTCGGTGCGAAGAAAGATTACGCTGACATACGAGCGCTTACTTGATTATGGCAGATCACAACGTGGTTCATACGAGTGCGCAAAATATGTGGCAACTTGCGGTGACTCCAGTCAGCAGCTTCCATTTGCATAGGTGGAGTCTTTGCTCGTGCTATATTTGCCCTCTTTCGACAATCTTGCAGGTGTTGACAATCCGTTTCCAGTGCTTGATAAAACATTCAACAAAAATTGATACCCCACCAGTACACAGCTTACTAACACGCTGCTTTTCAGGCCAGTATGACGCTTCGTCTCAAATTGTTTCGCTTCGGCGTTAGCTTGATGCTCAAGTACACCACTCTTCCACAAGTACAAGTAACATGATGCGCATCTTGTTCAGCAGCTTTGCATAATTGCGGTACATTTGTCCACGTAAGATGCCTGATGCAAAAATAGCACGCCCACGGATTCGAGTGCCGCTTGGCTGAAAGTTGCAGTGTCTAGCGCTCGGAACGCGGCGTAGCTGTGGCGTCACATAGTTCTTGATTACGAGTGTCGTCACGACTTCATAACAGAATCTCGCCCATGCGTAGACCGTAAAAGCCGTTTCGCCGCGCATTCTGCCAGAAGAGCCATTTGAATTTCGACGTGCGTTTTGGTTGATCGACACTCAAACAGTGCCCTCATCATGACCAACAGCAACTTCTAGTAGAGCTCAAACGATGCGTCTGCCTGCCCCGTATGACTGCATTTTTTTCACTTAAACCAGCAACGAAACAATAGTATCAATGAGCAAGTGATACGATAGCTGGAAGGCTAGATTTGGCAGTACCACTTGACTGGTGTTTACTATCACTTGTAATTCCAAAATGTACCTAGATAAGCATATCCTCACCCTCACATTCGTCATCTTCACCATTGGTTACAGTAGTCAGACCCTGGGCTTTGTACAGGTCGGCAATCTGAATTGGAGTCACACAGACACGAAATACCATTAGTCATGCGATGTTCAGAGATTGTGGTACAATCTCCTCCGTACCTGAGACGAGTTGGTTGCCTGCGTTGTCATCTTGTCATCACGGATGCGAAGGAAGCGGGGAAACCGCAGTGAAATGCCCTTATCCTTGGCAACCAGACCGATGGCTGCCGTGTACTTTGGCGAGATGGATAGATCTGCGCCCAGAATTTCCCACACACAACTTGCCTCGAACCAAACATCAGGCTTGTTTCCTTCACCAATAGCATAGTCGCTTGGAGGCGTATCCACGACCTTTTCCTTTAGTTCATCATAAAACTTCTTCAGCACTTCATCAGACAAGCCAGTACCCAGCTTTGTAATAGGTTGGTACATTTCCGTGCCCGGGTCATAGCAAGCCAGCAGATATGCACCATACACACCAGTACGCTTGCCACGCCCATGAAACGCACCAATCGGAACCAGATCAACTGAGTCACCGATGCCATCAAGATAATCTTTCTTCAGCTTTAACCACTTATGAGAACGATTGGCAGGCTCGTATGTTGCTTCTTTCTTGAGAGTCTTCACCATCAGGCCTTCGCAGTTTTCGCGCACAGCCTCCGCCAAAAAGTTTCGGACCTTGTCCACAGCTTCTTCCATCGCCTCGGGGTTATCTTTTACATCAACACCATCCTCGACATCTAATGATGTCGCAAATTCAAAGTTGCCAGGATTCACCTCAAACATCTCACGAAGTTTTTCGCGGCGTTTCGCTAGTGGCGTACTGAGAAATGATTTGCCGTTGAGAAACAGCAAGTCAAATGCGTAGATGCACACAGGAACCTTGATATCTTCCACTTTGACATTCTGCAATCGTGATGAACATAAGATAAGAGAAAACACACAACCAAACAATAAGCAGCTAAAAGTGGCGCACCTTTCGAGAACGCGTACTGAGAATCTGAAAAGGCAGGCGCTTATTTGTAGCACGGTCAATGGCAACCACCTCTGCATCAACGATACAGCTCTCGACGACACCAACCTTAGCAGCTTTTGAGATTGCCAGCTTAACATCAGGGAACCGCTCTGTTGAGTTCTCAAAGTTGCGCGAGAAAATAGCCATTTCTCCGTTGGAAAGTATGTGGATCTGTGCGCGCTCCCCGTCATACTTGTACTCGCAAGTAAAAGGTTTGCCCTCAAAGCGATCAAATACCATCGCATACGCCTTGGTGGGACGAGCAAGCATGGGAGATACTGGCGTACCTGGTGTCAACACACACTTCTCAGCAACCTTTCTGAAGTCCTTCACGTGAAGAAAAGGAGCAGAAGAAACTTCCTTTTGAACATCACAAAACGCTGCAACCAGTGCGTTATAGCTAGGACATTCCGCAAAAGCCTTCTTGACGAATGTCAAAGCCTCCTGTTGTTTATCTTTATCTTTGTAATCCTCGTCCGTCATGAACGCGTATGTCAAGCCCATTAAAATCGACTTTTCTGCCAGTCCAATACGAAGCTTACCCTGCAGTCCACGAATAATGTACTTTGCTCCTTCAGCTGACTGTGCATCCTTGTCTCGGGACGTCTTTTCCTTCTCACATTTTACTAACAAGCCCTTGATAATCGAGCACTTTTGCTGTTGCGAGTTGTTACCAGCCATCTTGGAAATCTTGACGAACTGGTTGTACACATACTGAACAGTGAGTCCATTACCGTTGGAAGAAGTTGGAGTAAGAGATGTAAATGACAGCGTCTTTTGCTTTGAGCGCGCATTTTGCGCAACCTTGCCAAGATCGCCCTCTTTGTGGTACATTTCCTTAATAAACTTGAGGTTCACACCCGTTGCCTCACCAATAGCTTTTATGAGAATGGCATCACCAATACCAATCTTAAGATTTTCAAAAGGTGGTGCCAGGTCCACACAAACGCAGAGATAGATGCAAGCTATGAGATCGTCCGGCGACCGAAGAATGACATCGCGGAAGAACGCTGTCAGGAGATCCTGGATAACAAGGCGGCCAGAAACTTCTTCAATCTTTGCAAACAAGTGCGCAAGAGCGCAATACGGCGTCTTTCGAGGATTGTCGCTTCTTTCTTCTTGCTTTTGAACAGCACCGCTATTTTCGTTCTTGTTGTTGTTTGTTGCCTGTTTAGTTGGGGTCATCGTAGCCTTACTTGAGACAGGAGTAAAGAAAGCAGTCTTTACTGCTGTTGTCTCGTTCTTCTTTACGATACTTTTTGTCATTGGAGCGTCTTGAACCTCTTGTTCCTCGTCCTTTGCATCCTTCTTCTTTACACTTTTGTTGACTTCCACGGTCGTCTTCACTTTCTTCGCAACAATGTCTGTAGTTGATACTAATGACGTCATGTCAATCACCTTCTTCTGCTTGTTCTTGTCTTCTTTTGTGTTCATGGGCAGATCTCCGTCGCTATCTTCCTCCTCCTCTTCCTCCACGACACATTGTCGCAAACGATGACGACCAGCTACAATAATATCAACATCACTCGTCACTTGTTACAATCGACAATAGACTCATATCAGTCAATAGAAGAAAGAAATCACCTACGCTTTGTCGTGCTCTTTACAATCTTCTCTTCGTCTTCTTCTTCTATTTCTTCCGTATCTTGTACCTCAACGTCCTCCTTCTCTTCTTCTTCTTCTTCTTTCTTCTTTGCTTCTCTTTTCTCGTTCTTATCGGTAGGTTTGTCTTTCATTTTCTTTGTTCTTGTCGTAGATAATCTGGTAGAATTCCCTACCAACTCTTTCTCGTCATCTCTATATTTGCGCTTTTTCACTGACGTTGTCAATGCTCCAGTCGCACCAAAGAACGATGTGATAGAGCTCTGGGTCTTCGAGAAACTTGGCACGTTCTTTGCCATTTCATCCAGTGCTTTTTCACAAATGATACACCTTTTTTTGGCGCGTTGGAGGTTGTGTACCCAAAATAGGGACCTAATTGTGTATTTTTTTTAAACTAATACCCTTGTTATGGTAATCATACCCTGCGTACTATCCGATGCATATAACCTCTGTTCTTTCATACTCTTGTCAAACTACAAGCGGATAGTTTGACTTCTACCGATAGCAGTACCGGTATTGCAACTCAAAGTATTTTAGCGGGAACTTTCAATCTTCTGGCATTCAATGGGTCGCAAACTACTGACGCTAGTGCCGTCAGCTCTGCCGTCCGCTGTCAACTTAGAGCGCTTCCAGTCAAACGCAACAGATGCACCCTTCCTGTCTATTGTAGTCTGGACTTCTCACTCGGTTAATGGGTCCACACGTACGCGGCAATTGGCTCTGGACAAGGATAAGCGCCAGCTGCTGGAGCTGCAGCGTCTGCAGCCTGTAGAGGGCGCACGGAGCTGGTTCGTGGGTAATGCTGTGGTGCAGGACGGTGGAGTGACGGTGTTTTCCCCTTTTGATGCTCTTTTTGTACTGCTGGATGCTGCGTGGCCTCATCGTGTGAAGTTTTCATCCGTCTTTGACCTATTGACAACGGCTAACAATCCGTGGCTATTGCAGCTCTCAACGTTGTGTGAAGAAGAAATTACAAGCATTTGCGACGTGCAGACAGTGGATGGCGATGAAGGTCTTACGAATCTTTATGTTAAAGTGAATGAGAACAAGACAATGCATTGGCTGAGGACGAAGGTAGAGAGAGTGGCGAAAGTGCTACTCAAACAGGAACAGGACGCAGCCGCTAAAGCTGCAAATGCAACGGCATTTGATCAACACGTGAATATACCAGGACATAGAGAGGAAAACGAGAAGAAGCAGAAGGAGGAGGAGGAGAAGAAGAAGGAGGAGGAAGAGGATGTTGCTTGTTACTATCGACAAGCAATCGATGTGGTGGGAAATTATCTGATGGACGACTGGATTGATCTACTATGCAACGAGTTTAAGTACGTCATTGGTTTCTATCATTCTTGTCATAATGGTGTGCTAAGTTTTCTACCTGTTATAGAATCAAGAAGGAAGTCAAGATCAAGACAATTGCAAAAGCAATGGCCGGACCGATTGATACGTTCAAGCGATTTGACCGACGCGAGACCCCAGAAAACGGAGCCAAACGTCCGACACCTACCAGTGATGCTAGTGCCAAGAAAAAGAGTAAGTTGGCCAATGTGGATCGATCCGGAATGAAATCACTGATGTCCTTCTTCGGCAAAAAATAGTAGTTTGGGCTTCATTTGCTCGCAAAACAGATGAATTTGGCGGATACATAGAGCTGTTTATCATTCATGATCGAGATCGAACCTGATCCAATGCACTATCACAAAAGCTATTGCAGCCGGAAAGGATTGTAAGGTTGATGAATAGTGTATCGGCCTCTTCTGAACATTCGCACTCTCGCCATCGATTTCCTTCAGTTCCGACCAAGACATAAGGTATGGTCAATTCCTATATCTGGACGGTCAATCAGTTTCCTGGCATCATCGAAAAGCTTCTACACTTTTGTAATGTCAGACTGCCCAAGGATTCAGCGGACATTTCTGGTCACAGCTTGGCACGAACAACTGACTTCGTTGTAACAAGCTGGACCCCATTTTTGGGAGCAAATTTCTGTTGTTGGCCAGATCTATGCTTGTACAGCAACTAGCTCAGGCACCGATCAAATCACATTACCTACTTACCATCCGAAACATTAATTGGCGGAAAGCTATGATTGTATGAGGTCATAGCCACCACCTGAGTATCCTCTTCTTCCAAACCGAGCTCCATCACGACTACAACAATAAAATGCTTTCACATTTGTAGCTCAAAATCTTTCATCTCCTGAAGCTCCAAAACTATACGACTCACTTAGAATGATGTGGTACAATAAAGTTCGCATCCAAGTAATACCAGCGTATGCACTCATACTTATTAACTCCAATCACGATTTACTTGGACACCCTACGAGATACCAACGTCACATAAGGCATTCAAATCTATGATTCACGTGTAACGCGACTTAATACTCTCATCAAAACTCGGCATTCAGCATCCGTTTTGTGAAGTTAACGGTCGAGCAATGGATTCTTTGTACAAGCGCTCAAAGCCGTCTGACAAAATATCAGCTGCTCGTACTATACCCGATCCGTCATCATTAAAAAGCTTGCAATTTGACCACATAAGTCGAACATCGTTGGCAAAATGCGTTGAATCCAACTCATTGACACCATCCGCCACAGTGTTGCTGTCCACGATGTATGCACCCATCTTCAGCTTGTTCTCAATCTTTGATAAATCCATCGGTTGTTTCACTACCCGCGTATACATCGGGACATTTTCCACAGGTAAGAGGAATTGTTTTGCAAACGGATGCGATTTCAAGCACTGAACAATTTTCAGACACTTGTCCAGCAACGTTTTCTCTGACGCCACAGCAACGGAATATGCATCAAACCGCGACGGCTTTTTACACTCGTTACACTGCCAATCACCTTCAGGGAGATCATTCTCGGTCATATGCAAGCACTTTAAGTGGAAGGAACGCGGGCACTTATCGCAACAAACTAGATCGCCAGCGCCCTGGCAAACCTCGCAGTAGTCCAAGTTCGCGTCTAATTCGCTGACCAAGCCACCTTCCTCTTCATCTTCCTTTTCGTCGTCCCCTATACTTTTCTCATCCGCCATCTTTTCATCCTCATTTTGCGATCGCTTTGCGCGTTTAGGGGGTCGACCTCTTCCCCTTTTGGGTGGGGCAATAGTTTTACGTTCTTGTGTGCCTTTCCTTCCTGCTCGTGAAGCCGACGAAGCTGTTACAACCGTACCAACAGTAACTTTGCGGGAGCGCCCTGGTCGAGCCGGTGGCAAAGATGTCGGTGTCTGTGACGATTGGTTTTCGTTATTGGTATCAGCCTTGTGAGCGCACTCTTTACCACGGCCGTGCGTCTTTAAATTGAGCCTCATCGCAGTCTGGTGGTGACGCAGATCCCCATTCTGCTGTTCACTTGGAACACTTTCACCACAACGCGACGCCTCAGAATCATTCCGTGGCGCCATGGTATTCAAGTCACGTGGCCCTGAACTGGCCTCATCTTTGCCTTCATTTGATTTCCGCTTCAGTATATGACTGTCTTCAATAGACCGACCAGCAAAGTTCGAGCGTTCGCGGGGCGAGCTATCACTTGGGTCCATGGAACTCGTATATAAATGATCTTGGTGTGGGCTTTCCGCTTGACGGCGTCTGTCCGCAACTCCACGAACAGAGTACACCATGGTAGCTGCTTCCATTTCAGCGTCGTTACAGCCTTGACCGCTTCCACTCGATCCAATATCACTCTTATTGTAGCGTAGCTTGCTCTGGTCGTAAGTACTACCCTTGCTGATTTGGCCTCTGGCATCAGAAGTTACCAAGCTTCCGGGAGCTCCGCCTTGATTCAACGAGCTTACCAAGTGCACTAGAGACTTCTCCGACTCGGCACAATTCAAAACGGTCGCCGCGGAGGGTAATTTTGTGGAGCCGTGATGGACACGTGGGGACGTGGCTCGAGCAGCAGCCCGAGAACCAATGACTGGCGCACCATTACTCATTACAGGAAGAAAATCGGGAGGGGTGTCCTTTGCGGCTTGTTTCGGAACAGGGGGGTACTGAGATGACTGCTTCGATTGTGCCTGCATACTGGAAGCATGAGTGCTAGAAGTCAGCAGTTTAGAAGCCTCCGTACTGGAGGCTTGCATGCTATAAGTTGCACTGAAAGTCTGTATGCTGGAAATTTGCATACTGGAAGAATGCGTCCAAGGAATCTGCGCGCTGGAGCCGTAATCATTGCGACTGCTACCCGAGTACTGCTTGTACTCAGGTTGCTGAGTTTGCACTAGTCCGCGTCCTTCATGTGCTGCCACTGTCTCCGTGTCTCGAGCAAGGAATCCGTCGCTCTGAACAGGGGGGATGGCCATGCACAGGATGTGTCGGCGGACACCGTGCATACCGGCGACTTTCGCTACTGCTTTGAGCAGCACTATGCGCCAATTGTCCTCCTTCGGGCATGGATGAAGCAACCGCAGCTGTAGCACTGTCATCTCTCATCGCAATCGTTGGACCCTGTCCACTTCGGCGCAGAGTGTCAAGAAGATAACATTTGTACTTGCGAACATTCCTCTCTTTTTCGGCTCTACACAGTGTGCATGGACATGCAAGCGTGCAAACGATACAACGGAGCAAGTGCCTATTGGGTGCAGTTCCATTCCTGCCCACAAACAACGCTTCCATCCGCACCCTATATATGGTGCGCAGATGTTCTCGACACAGCGAGTGGTTCTCGTCTGCATGTGGACAAAAGCTCACCACAGGCACATAGTACTTTTCTTTTGCTCCACACAAATGGCATAAACCCTTTGCCACAAAGTTGGCTTCCTTTTCTAGAGTCAAGTCCTCCATCGCCACCGCAAACACATCGTGTAGCACAGTCTCATCTAGATTTACCTGCTCTCTCAACATTTCTTCTACTCTCGGAGGCAGTTTCCTGTTTCTTTTGTAGTCCTCGGCCATCGTTCCCAAATATCCCTCTACCTTTCTACCCTGATACAATTTGCTAGTAGCACCCTCTATCACCTTTCCTTGTGGACCCTGACCAAGTCTTCCCTGTTGATATCCTCCATTCACTATTTTTTCTTGATATGCTACAGCTCCGTCAATTATTTTCCTTTGATAGGCTGCATCTCTTTCCATCGCTCTTATTTGATCAACGGCGACTCCATCCATCATTTCGTCCTGAATTGTTTTCCTCTCATAGGTATTAGCACTATTCATCATTGTTTCTACTTGGTACTTTTGTTTTGCCACTTGGTGATTAGCTCTCGCCGTGTTTTCTGTAGCTACTGAGGCAGCAGTCATGATTCTTCCTTGATAAGTATATCTTCCGTGAACATCTTCACTAGAACTCTCTGATCCTTTTTTTCCATCGTATAAAGCACAGTGTTGAACGGATCTTTCCTCATAGTTTTTTGTAGTATATGGCTGATACTGTATTGATCCCTGTTGATTCATTGTTGACGTTGGAGCCATTGGCTGTCTTCCTTGCCACTCGCCAGCTGCTGACGTCGTAATGGTTGTCATCTCATTTGATGAAATGATAGAGGCAGGAATGTATCCATCTAATGTCTTGCCTTTATTTAAAATAGCTTTCATCCATACTTCATTCGATGGAGGTGTTAAACGCTGTCGCTTCTAGTCATTGATTTTCATTTATCATAGAAAAAATAATATAAAGTTAAAGAGACACAAAGGACGATAAGAAGACCAGGAAAGATCGTGAAGTTGCATGCCGTACCTTATCTTCATGGTCTCGTGGTGTTTTATGGTTCATATTCTTAACCACAGTATGTTGTTAATTTCTTCGATTTCAATGTTATTCTAAAGCGTCTGAAGCTTTTAGCGTCGCGGTGGTCTAAGCGGACTGGTGACTGATTTGAAAACCGATATGTCGTACAAAGAAATAGGAAAAATAGTGTGCAATATAGCGTAATAGAGGTAGCCCACCCATCTTTCTTGAATCTGACGGGCGTGTCACTTGCTCCAACGGTGGTAGTCAGTCAGTCAATCCCTTTTACGACTTGCTGCTCTATAGCAATTGCTAGATATGAAAAATAACTCAACAACACACTGAGGAAACATAATACCATGAATACCAAGATTGATTCATCTTCTTGACGTGTTGGTCATGTTTAGTTGCGAATCTAGTCACTATAGTCTATCAACCAGGTCAAGTCTATGAAGCCATATAGCGAGCGTCATGACGAAAGAATTGAGATCCAACAATCCTTTGTGAGGAAGAATGGATTGCTAACCATATCATGGTTTTCGACTTTGTCTTATTTTATATTATGGAAACGAAGACGCTGAAATATCCATTGCTACGTGACTTCCGTCACCACTTGTTCCTTCTCCAACCATCTTGCACCTTGCTTGTCATTATTCCCTATCGTCAGTTCAGCACTAGTAATGAATAGACTCTTTATCTTTAGAAATGACGTTACTACCGATGCTCATGAGCCATTCACGGACAATATTCATTGGCTAGTGAGAAGAAATGTGGATTTCATCAGACAACTCACACAATTGCGAGTGATGTCTATAAGTGAAGCAGTTCACTTGCGCGAAAGAAATTTTTGTTGCGGTCACTGTTCTTACCATTGTTTATGGCATCGTCTACCGAGCATTGAATGATGTTGAACCTTGCGCGGGAAGATGAATGAGAGTGAAACGCTTCTATCGGACGACCTTGTGCACAAATAGTGCGTGTACTTGAGCTAACACCCTTACACAATGCCTGGTAGTAGATAGGAATGCTACTACAGTCATGTCTACTTTGTCATCCATAGGAAGTAATCCATGTAGTCAATAGATAAACAACTATCTATCTAGTCATGTGCTACACTTTCTGCAAGAGCATCGCCAGCAAATCACGTCGATACAACGAAGCTTTTATGACACAAGTATCCCCAATGAATTTATTCCGCGACTTTTCACGTCATAGTCGACGGATGTAGAGGTATGACGTGTTCAGTGCGTGACACTTCCAATGGCAGAGACTTATATGTATTCGATGCAAATGTCTCGTCTCCGAAATCTTGCTGGATACTTTGCTAATAGCACACTAATCATCCTTATTCGCGTCAGGTAAACGAGTGTTCACGGCATGAACAAGGTCTCACGAGAGATAAATTACTTAGATATCCTATCTTAACTACTGTCTTTCACACAACTCGTGGACGCTTGATAGAATTGCCAAACGAGAAGCTCGTCGTGCAGCAGTCCGTTTCTGCAGTCAAGTTCTTCGTCCACAAGCGAGCAGCCATCGCTTCTTCCTGTTTCCTACGAATGTAGCTGCTGTGTACCGGTAGGTCGACGACTGCAAAGCGCTTCGATACCTTCGTAGTCGGCTCGGACTCGAGAAATAAACTAGGGTCGAGCTCATTCAAGTACTCGTCAATAAACACGTGCTCTGAGTACTGCGTCATTCTCTGCTGTTTCTTTTGCTGTGTCAACTGGTGCTTGCGCTCCAGGAATTCCTGAATCTCTTCGTATGAACTGCGTGTGCGGCTATCATGTACACCAAGTAGTTGAATAGAGGCGTCATCGAGTCCGCCAAGCTGAGCACAAATGTATTGTTGTACGTGGTCGATTTCGGTGCGATATTGTTGTTCCTTGGTTGGTGAAGCAAACTGTAAGGGACGGCACACAATACGGCAAGTCGGCGGCAACTTGTCACTCATAACTTTTCTCTCTCTTTCTCAGATATCAAATACTAATACGCGTTGTCTACTTACTTGATCGCGAATAATAAAATGGTAGATCAACTCGGTGACTGAGCTATTCCTAGTCCTACGGCCGTTACGACGAGGCGACATCAAGCATGACAGTTTAGGTCTCAAATAGTGGATTCTTTTGAGAAAAGAGGTACAAACGACCCGTCCTCTTGACACAAAGTGTTTCAAAGGGGAATCGTATTATATAAAGGGGTATGACCATGAAATGCATCGACAAGTCATCTATCTGGCTCTGCAAAGAAATGACCAAGTTCTGGACCATTTATGCTGTCAGAAGTTTGTTGTAGTCCCGGTCTTTCAAACGTCGTAACGCTCGATTAGTATCAGATGGAAGAAGATTCTACCTTCCAAACCATCATATTGATCTCTTTTGTTTGACAGAAATAAATCATAGCAAACAATCGGAAGAATCACAACAACAAGTTCCCAGTTCGCTCCTACCGATCAAATCGAAATGTATTGTTTCTACTTCACACGCCCGCACTGCATTTATGAGAAAAATCCTGCAACCAGATGTTGTTTAGTTCGTACTGCGCTCTCGACGTCGCGCTCGTTTGCATCTTCTGATTGGCTACTACGATCCATAATAAAACAGCTTTCGATTGGCTAAAAGTCACAGCACAATACTCTTCGACTTTTGATCAAGCTATCAATGTTCACGGTAGCTGCTGATAGTCGCGCCCAGCGTGCGCTATTGACGGGCAGTTTTCTGCTCTTTTCTTCAACTGTAGCGTTTCTATTTTTAAAGCGAAAGCACCACCGTCAGTTTCTATGGCGTCAGCGTTTGACCTACAAGAAACTGTCGAAATCGTAGGAATATCTTGGATAATATCGTAAACAATCGTTTGTTTTTTACCGTATGGTATGTCTATCATTGCAGATCCGATCTTGGAGCGTCATTCGGCTTGGATATTGGTCTGCAATATGAAAAGAATGCTCTGTGATCATATTGTGATATTATTCAGTATTGGACGGGTTCTAAAAGCTTATGCTGATGATGACGACTCAGGTGGAACGCTGGCCAAAATTGTGTATTTTGAACGTCATGAGACTGGAAATGACAAGCGCAAACGGCCACGTTCACCATCGCTGGATGTAGCAGCTGGAGAAATGAATAATTTCTTACGTGAGCATCAGTCATTTGGTAGTACGGGAGTGCAGGACGTGCGACTGAGAACTTACTCGAAGACGCTGAATGGGGTGCAGTACTCGATGTATTTTATGATGGTAGAAACAAGAGCTGAGACTAATTGAAAAGGCTACAGGTTTTTTACTTTGTACGCTTTGACAGCAACAGAACACGAGAAGCAGTTGAGTTTATTGCAAAAAATGGGATCAATCAATCACTGAGGATTTTACCTTGTACGGGTGGTGGTGCTCATAAGGTATAAAGTGTAAATTGAATTGACACTTTTGTTTATGTAAGATAGATGTCGCTGCTGACACGTTTGGTTTGGTTCTAGTATGGACCTGCTTTTAATGAGATTGCTGGGATTGAACTGGAGAAATATGATGAGATCAATTGCACCATTTTAGGGCTGCATCTTTTACTCACAACATTATCGGATGAGATGTATACTTTTGAGGTATGGGTGTGAGTTTATTGTGAGAACTGCTGCAATGGTATGAGGCTAAGCTGCTACGTTTATCGCCACGCAGGTTGTTGATTTCGACTTGCTAGCGGCTTCACGACCGAAAACAATCCCATTGGATGCAAATGAAAGTGTTTATCCGTATCTGGTACGTGAATAAGTACGATCATGTTGTGGTAAGTCGTTAACGCTGCTTGCTACTACAGCTTGTTAGTATTGGCTCCGGTGTTAGTGTTCTGTATGTAAAGGGTTCTGAAGATTATGAACGTGTAAGCGGAAGCAGTATTGGTGGGGGCACCTATTGGGGTCTTTGTCGTCTGCTAACTCATTGCGAGTCGTATGATGAAGCGTTGGATTTGTGTGTTCACGGCTCTAGCGAATCAGTTGACATGAGTGTGGGAGATATCTATGGTGGAGCGTATGACAAGTTTAAGTTGCCGGCGTCGACAGTTGCCAGCAGCTTTGGCAAAATGATCTCGGTATGTCGAGAAAGTGTGAGTGATGCTGATCTTGCTCGATCACTGTTAGTTATGGTCACCCAAAATATTGGTCAGGTAGCCTTCCTGAACGCCACCTTGTACAAGACGAAAAACATTTTCTTTGTTGGCAACTTCCTTCGGCACAACAAAATTTCAGCAAGGACACTGGCGTATGCAATTAATTTCTGGTCTAACGGGGCAATGGAAGCGCGTTTTTGCAAGCACGAAGGTTACCTTGGGGCTCTTGGGGCATTTCTACGGCACGCTGAAGTAACTAACGCTCACGGTGAAGAGTTTGTGTCAGCGTCACGAGGGTCACGTCCGTTGTCCTAAACTCAAATGTGGATGAAAGTAAAAAGCTTTTTTGTATCAGGTTGCGTATACCTCGTCGCAAGAAGAGCGAGCGGACAATGAACAGCTTTGGTTGGTGTTTGCATGAGTTGCTAGCTTCGGAAAAGCCACATCTGAAGGCGGATAAACACTATGCACGTTCGCAATTGCCATGAGAGCTAGGGCTTGTGCCAAGCTTTAAGCAAACTGCGGCATTATGTGCATTTGACACGCAGCCATGTTGTTGAGTGTTGCATTGGTTGGATGGTGCTCAGATTGCAAATTATGGTACCCCATCTAACTCTGAATCATGTTTTCTACATTTACCCTGCTGCAACTGGCAACTCTTGTCATCACAAAAAGCGAACTCGATAGATATAACTGAAGAGCTTGATTCCACGAAGGCAAGAAACCACTTGTCCAGGCTTCTGCTTTCGGCATCATTGGCCGCTATTCCATCCAGCAATCTTTCCATACAAGCGTTAGGACCACTCTGTCTGTGGAGCAATGAAGGAAAACGTAACAAGAAATATGGTCCAGCAGAAAAGTTCAATAGCAGACAACCATTTTTCATTCGTCCATAAATCATCAGCTCGCGTGATCTTGCAAAGCACAAAATGTATATGAGACGTAAACATACGGCGTCTTGAGCTACCGTGGCGTCGACGGACGCTTCCATTGTATTATAGCTTCTGAAGCGTGACGAATTAAATCCTCTAGCCCACTAAGGTTCTTTCCAACGCATTCGTCACACGTTCTCAATATGCTTGAAACTCACAGAAGCGGTATCTAGATCAGCGCTCAGCCCTGCAGCCTCTGCGATACCGTTTGCACTTGATCCCGAACGAAACCACTCTAGTGCATACTCTTTGTTTTTCTGAAAGCACAGAAAAGCCTCTACCAGGGTCGGATTGTCAGCTAGTGAAGCCTCGCGCCCAGGCCCTTCTGTGCGTAAAAGCACACTGTACACGTTGTGTTGGACAGTCTCGCCACTTGAAGAAGCTGCCGGTAGCGAGAGAACTATTTCAGCATAAGGTGCAATCAACGGAAAGCGCAGCTGATTGGTTTTCCACCATGCCAATGGATCCACGTTGCGTTCCGACACCGGAAGACTCAAGAATGCACTCAGCTCCTTTTCCCACGTCGCAATCATCTCACTATCGCCATGAACAGATGACGTTGACGATTCAGACGGCAAGTGCGAGAGCAGGTCATCATCTTCATCTTCACCGAGTTCAACATTGTTGCCCGCTGGGCTAGCCGGCTCCTTCGTCATTTCTACGTAAGTAGATGCTGCAGTCGTAGCAACGGCGTCTGCGCCAGAGTATGATAGTCCAGTGGAGCTAGAAGCATTTGATGACTGCATTAAGGCACTTTCACGCGTAAACATTTGGCGGAGGAACTCCTTGCCAGCACCGCAATCAATCTTGGGAGAAAAATAGCAATACTCACGATTTTTATATCGTGGATCAAAAAGCGTTGCTGCGTAGCAGACTGGCGGTAGCATTGCAAATTGATCACGCAACTTCCTTGCAAGTGCCTCGAAAAAACTTTTCCACATTGCTGGCCACAAGTGGGCAGGCACACTCTCAGCTACCGACAGCGCTTGTTTCTCTGCATACGTCACCAAAGCTGCGGCAATAGTTGAAATGCTTGAAATGCCGCTCTTATTCACTTCCTTGTCGCTGCCTGTTTTTTTGCTTTTTTCTCCCTCAAGCGCCTCTGAGTACCGGGAAAATGGACGCAACTTCTTTACAAGCAAGCTGATGAATTCCACAGTTGATACCGGGAGATACTTCACCAGGTTTGCATTTGCTATCTGCTCCAGCGTCGAAAGGTGCTCGAAAAAGATGCGAAGGAATTCGTAGTAGGACATTGCTTCATATCCTTCCAAGAAAAGTTTAACGTCAAATAGTGGGCATTTACGGCTTAGAGATAGCATCGCCCTCTCATTCTTTGCTAAGCGAGCTACAAACTCCTCAATTTGACCCACCACATCCGGGAATGCCCTAGCAAATATATCTTGGGTCAAGCAGACACGCAGGTGCTGCACCGCAGAAGTTAGAAGGAGCGTGCGTTGCGCTGCATCAGGCAAAACCAATCGACCGTCGAAGTTAATAGGCAAGAAGTGCGATGGAAGGTCAGATGCCGTCAGCTCGACCTTTGCCGGGAGTTCATCCTTAATACATGCGATAATCTTATCCTTGATGCCAAGTCGTACCATGTAAGATTCAAGAACATCCTTGATAGTCTCTAATGTAGCCGGTTCCTCCAGTGGCACAGCTCCAATTGCAATATTGAACAGCCGAAAGTTGACGCTAAAGTGAATTTTTACAGCAAGATACTGTGTTTTTGGCTTATCTGTCGTCGACGCCGGGTGCTTCCAGAGCTCCATCGACACAGAAACACTCTTGGCTCTGGCTAGCACCATCTTTGTAGTGAGAAAGACACTATCCTGCAACAACAATATACTTTTAGCCAGCACTTCTTCACTTGGCATCGGCAATTTCTTCTCCCCCAACAACTGGTTCATCACATAGTGAATTCCTGACTTGGTTGCAAACCCCAATGGCAAATTATCCATCAAGGCCATAAGAGCCAAGTCTTGAGTAAACTGTTCAGTATTCACCGGTAACGGTTGAATACCGTAGATTGAGCTCTGTTCCTTGTTCATCGCTAATCCTGGTGTGTACGTGTAGAAAGCTGCAGCTGGATCTCTTTTCAGCACAGCTCCAAGAATCCCCGATGAACCACCAGCAGCAGCTACAGCAGCGACTAGAGCTTGTGATGTAGTGGGCGACGAATACATGGCTCCAGCTCCAAACTCGGTGCCCGATTGGCCACTTTGTAGCCCAATCTTCTGACGCTTAAGATGGCGTTTAGCCTCACGATTCTCCTCACACACATTATTCGCCTGTTGATGTGTAGCATCTGTACGTCCAGCAGTACGAAGATGTGATAATAGATTGGACGAGTGGTGGCCCTTGATCACACGTTCACAGAATTTACAAATCGAGTTACCAGACTGATCCTTCTCAAAATACGACCATACTGCTGATATACTTGCGGGTCCATTTGTTTCAAGAATTGATGGTACGGACGTAGAGAGAGATGTGGACGAAGCTTGCAGGAATTCCGCACTGGTTGCGGGGACGCGCTTTACCATTGACACCTAGAAAAACCGGTACGCGCGGTACTAAGGAAATGACCTATTGAGCTGGGAGGGGGTGCCCAGTACTAACTATGATCAGTCATGAGTGTGCTATTTAGAAGGATTAAGGTACCGGTACCACCTTAGTAAGTTAGACTGAGGATTATGTATATATTTTGTAAGTATCGTGACGATTTACTAAAACTGAGGCTTTATTTCCATGTCATATATGACAAATATATACTATGATGGTCTCTAAATACTATCACGACACAGTCATCAAAAGACGTAAACGACGCTTGCATGCACTTAATTATTGACGATCGCAAGTCTTATGTCAGCGCTTACATAGTAAAATGATCCGTTGTTCAAATAGCACACAACGACAAGGTCTTGCTTGAGTTTGACTTGACGCTTGCCATAACTTTCCTGCGTACTTTGTGTCAAGCTTTGTGCAACAATACCGAATGAGCTCAAAATACGTTAGCCATACTTCATAGATTCATTGCAAAACACTACAACTTTGTTAATGTTAACAGTTAAGAGGTCTGAAGAATGCTGAACAGAACAACGTCAACAAGCAGTCGTCGGCGTCGTGTCCACTCCTTTGCACAACGACAGAGAGAGATACTCTCGTTACTCGATTGCCATCGTCTTGCTCATGCTCTGCCGCCCTTTCTCAAAAGCTTGCACGATGGGGTCCTCCTGCATGTCCGACGTTGGCAAGAACACAAATTCCGCGTCGCACAAGGCAAGAGCGTGGCATGCTTCGCTCGGGCTGTTGCCATCGCGCATTAGCGATAACAGATCATCAAACTTCGAGCTAAGAACATCGCAGCGCGCAAGCGGTGGCAATACAGTGCACATTGTTTCGAGCGTCGCCTTCGCCTCGCGCAAAACCTTTTCACTGTCCTTAGCATGCTCCAAGACGTCAGCAGTGAGCTCGCAGAACAAACAGCTGACGGGCATTGACTTCTCTTCCTGCACTTCCTCATCGGCGGGGACGCACTCGCCAATTCGCGTGCAAATAGTCTCCGCATCTTCCTTTTTCTTCAGCAAATCAATGATCACATCGTAATGCTTCATCAGCAGCTCGCACTAGTTACATTGTACACAAAACTGTGAGGCACGACTCAGTTCCACGCAGCAATTATAACAAAAACTTACCTCGCTGGATTCCGGGATCAAGCGGCATACCGAACTGATTTCGTCCTCGAAAGTGACCAAACTGTCCGGGCGCGTAATCACCGATGCGAGCAACAACGTATTTTGCTGGCAAGTCGTGCACCTCTTAGGTAGAAAATCTCCACCGGTGAAATCAAGCAAACCTGACAACAAATCGCTGCGAGCGCCGGCTGATGCGCAGAGGCTTAGCCTCTGGCAGATCGCTGCAGGTTCCTTACGAGACAGCAGATCAGACACTACTTCGTCAAACGTAGTAAGATCATTGTGACACTATCATGATTACATTCATATGCAACAATTTTAGTTAGCTTGAAATCAGTGAAAACAAAAAAAATAGCAGATTCACTCACCGCATCATCAGTAGGAAGAAGCTCACAGAAGGTACCAACAGCTTCACGCATTGCCTTGACTTGGTCTGACTCTTGGTCTAGTGCATAGTGAAGCACCGTAACAATGCCATTGCAATAAGCGCATGTGCCGCTTCCCTTGTCATGGTTCTGGACAGCAATCATGTCAGGTACCACAACCGTAGCCATGGCATCCGCCGTACAGTACTGCAAGTCGTGGCAAATAGCCTTTATCTGCTTCCCCTTCCGTAGAGAATCGATCACAGTATCGAACTTCTCCATAAATGATTGGCACTGGAAAACATGTAAGCATACAACATCAGCGCAAATATAGCATCAAATATCAATTCGATCACTAGCCCTACCTGGCTCTCACTCGGGAGCATTATGCAAACGACGTCGGCAATTTGTCGAATCTGTGCAATCTTGCTGGAATCTGCAGCCACAGCTACCTCAATTACAGATGCCGCTTGGGTGCAAAAGAAACAACCGTCAATCGACGCTTTCATCGCATCATTTACTTGTCGCAACAGGATCGCATCATGAGCTGTGCGATCGCTGATCGGCGATGTAAATGATAAACCCGATGACGCAGTATTCCCTTTATCATTGGCATTAGTCGCAATGCAGAACTTTAATCCCACACAAATTGCCTTCGAGCTCATGCCCTTAGTGATTGAATCAATCACAAAATCAAACTGCTTCACGTAAATGTGGCAGGGGTTGTCTTTACTCAGCATATCACAAATCATATCAGCATATGCGCGGACTTCACGGATATCTGCGCCATACTGCTCAACTGCAATTTTGGCCACAGTTGTAGCAAATTGGCAGTACGTGCACTCAGTCTCATTTCCCGGACGCCAATCGGAACCCACAGTGATATCCTTTACATCAGCAGTGACAAAAGGCACATGTTCCTCCCCGTCGTGCATCTTGTCACAAAGTCCAAGCAATTTACAGATCTCGTGCGGATGCTTGCCTTCCTTCTCCATTTCCACAATCTTGTCGAAATTCTTGTCTACCACATCGCATTTAAACTTGGAAGGCACCAGCTGACACACGTTTGATAAAATCGTCTTTACAATCGACAGTTTTTCTGGAGACTTCTGGTTCACCTGGTGGATCACAGTTGCTACTCGCGAACAAAAGCCACAGCTACCATGGTGAGGGTGAACAGGATGTGCTGGGCGCTCGTCAGCTTGCATCACAGCCGTCTCGTCTTGCATACCGTTACCAACGCGCCCATGACGACCACCTTGTCCATTCATACTCCCACGAGGATGATTTCCAACATGACCATTCCGCATCATACCGACGCGAGATCTTTCAGTTAGCTGAGATGAAGGATCGTCCTCACGCTCGGCCGAGCAGTACTTCAGCATCTTACAGATGTCGCGAGGGTGAGATCCTTTATTCAAGGAGTCAATAACCGTGTCCATTTGATTTACATACTCATGACACGGACTATCTTCTCCCAGTATATTGCAGATCATGTCAGCGTACTCACGAATCTGATTAATCTCCTCCGGAGCTTCTTGCAAAATGACCTCCACGACAGTAGTGGCTGCGTCGCAATACACGCACGCCTTGTCGTTGCCATGCATGTGAGTTATATCAAGCGCAGCTACCTTTGAGCAAAAATCAGCGTTCACACAGACTTCACGAGGTTGCTGGCCTAATTGGACCAAATCCACAATGCGGTCAAAGTTAGCCTTCGCTTCTTGACACTTGGACACTGCTGCAGTCATCTCGCACACACTTGCAAATAGAGACGTGAGCATCGGAAGCTGATCAGGGAAAAGGATGTTCACTTCATAAATCACTCCGGTCACATGGGTGCAAAAGAAGCACGATTGTTCCTGCTTGTTCAAGTCAGCTGTAGCTAGAGCTCCATCTTCCGCTGCTAGGGGCTCTTCAGAATCCAAGCCTGGAATCTTACTGCCATCGTCGCTATCCGCGGAGCATATGGCGAGACGTGAGCAAACTACGAGCGAATCTGTGCCGTGCTTCACCCAATCCACAATTGCATCGTAGTTCTTAAGAACTGTGTGACACATCGAGTCAGCCGGCATGGCATCACACACGTCTCCAATAATCTCTCGGACTTGCTCCACCTGTTGCATGTCTTGTGAAACTGCATGGTCGACCATCTGCACAAATCTCTGACACAAATGGCAGGGAAAATCGTCCGTAGCATCCAAGTCTGTAACGGTGGAAATGATGTCGCACACTTGGCCGTCTGTCTTGCCTTCAAGCAGGTACTTCTGTACCACATCTTTTGACTTCAGCACAAGGTTACACTATCATTCCATCATCAACACAACATTTAGTATCCCGTCCCTAATATCTCAGTTATAAGTCCTATGATGAGTTTGTCTTACCTGTTCCACCAGCTCAGGACGATCGAGGTCTTCGCATGACGCTCCACCCCATACCTGGAGTGACATCTTATCAAATGTCGAGCGAATGTACGTCATAAACGTCATCGTCTCTTGCTCCAGCTCCTCGTCCTCGTGGATCTTCTCCACTGCCTTTAAACACGCCATCTTCCTATCCCGTGCTGGATCCTGCTCCTTCTGTTCAATCACCACGATACGGACGGCATCATCCACATCGTTCAAGTGGAAAAAGCTCTGCAACATCTCACTCGAGCGCTGAAATTGCTCGCTCAGCGCCGTCATGAGACTGACGATTTCATCATTCTCCTTCTCATTTTCTTCAATCCCACCGATCATCTGATCATCCGTCATGTCCGGACTGTGACGCATCTCAAGCTCAGCACTCGAGACGGTCGAAGCAGCCACTAGACTCAGTAGCAATGCATGGACAGACCGCATTGTCCAATTCTTCTTTCTCTCTATTCTCTCTGTTGTAAGTATTAGGTAAATCTGATTCTGAAGATTTGGCGAAGAAATGATAAATGGATAAGATTTCGTATATTGGGTGACAGTTGTCCTTAAATAAGTAAATTAAGGTAGTTAGGGCGGAATTGCCCTATTGAGCTTTAAATTAGACAATAGTTGATACTCACTTTGTGTGGAAAGAAATGTTGATGCTTACTTACGTTAGTTAACATAATAGGGTTGTCAGGTAAGATGCTTCTTGAGCGACTAAATGCTCTAAATACTTGATCCTTACGCCAGCCACAAGTCTTTGCGCCTTGCGCTTGACAAACGATGTTGGTTGCTTTCTGAGACTTGGATGGTACATTAAAAACAAAATGTATGTGAGCCTAAGAACCTAGTTATCTCTGTGTCCGTTAAAATGGTCGCTACCTTTATCACCAGTCGCACCCTTTCACATCATGAATCGCGCTCCTTCAACATCACGCTCCTTCAGCATCAGAAGTGGTCCTTTTCAACTCTCCTTCCCGAGTGGTCATACTTATACTGAAAGCACCACAAGCCCGCGAAGCTGGCTAAGCCGTGGCGCTAGGAGGGTCCTGGTCAGTATGTCCGCACGCATAATCTTGGATTCGCAGTACTGCACCTTAAGCATCTTCTTTGTTTCCGAATCTTATGCGAATTGAATCGCACATCAATGTGCTTTGCTCGCCCAGACGCGTCCTCTCCCTTGATCTGAGCGATGGCTGCCCGATTGTCGACATGCAGTATTGAACCAGGATGAACCGATACGCCTATCTTCTTTAGCAGCTAGCTCAATGATACCCATCATGTCAGCAGCGGTTTGTACAGCCGCCACAAACTCGGCTTCAATAGTTGATAAGGCGACAGCCTTCTGCTTCTTGCACAGCCATCCCACCACAATTTCGGCCACCACCGCTGACTGACTTCCGCTTAGTTTTGTCTGCAGCGTCTACGGCGTCACTTTAAGCTTCGACCAGCACACTGTTGTCTTTGATTGCGTCCTTTCCTTCGTGCATTATGAGCTTAAGTCCCTTGGTGAGCTTCACATACTTGGCTATCATCTTGTCAGACGCCAATCGCCTTCTTTTTGGCGCGTGCAAACGCCGCGTCACTCGGTGTACCGTAAACGCAATGTCTGGGCGTATACACCGGGCGATGCAGAGCAGACTGCCCACCAGCGACTGAAAAGCCTGCAGTCGGTTTTTGTGGCAAGCCACTTCTACCAGAAGGTAGCAGAATACTTTCTTCATCTACGTCCTCTCCACGTATCGGCACTCTAACCACCGCCAAATTTTTAAGTCCAAACTTGTCGAGCATATTGTCGATGGTGATTTCTTGATCTAGTGCCCATCCGGTCTCGGCGCTGTATTGAACGCGATGGAAAGCAACTTACCACGCAGAGATCCTTCAACTCAACAACTTGCATGTCGACAAACAAGTCGTTGACCTTATTTACATCCGTTCCAGTCGCCAGCACATCGTCTACGTAGATTCCTAGAAGTATCTTTCCGTCGGTCTCAGCCTTTATGTAGAAACAGCTTTCTATATAGCACTGACTGAGACCCAGCGACATTAAGATGTCGTGAAGCATCAGTTTCACAGCCGGCCTGACTGATTAAGGCCATACCGGTCCTACTTAAGTCTCAATGCAAGCTGCCTCTTGCCCCGCACACCTTTTTTCATAGCAACTAAACATCTATGTGAAATATTAAGCATAATTCCTAGTCATCTTCTTTCTCTGCTTCGACATAAGCGCTCGGCACATCGTCGTGTCGCGCATTAACACCCCATAGCCTTGACACAGAAGTATCACCTTGCCAGAGATCATCTCTATCACAGCCGAAAAATTGTAGGTATAATCAACACCATATACCCGTTCGTCGCCGCGCGCCACTAAACTTGCATCTCGTCGTTCGCTAGAACCGTCTGCATGTATCATAACCTTGTACACCCATGTTGTAACGGGGTTACACGAAGGTGATTATTTTACAAACACACCTGCCACACCAATATGGTGTGGCTTGTACCTTGGGTACAAAAGTACGTGGTCACTATACTTATTTAAAGTATAGTGACTATGCATATTTGCATAATAATAAAAGGCTAGAGCCAGTAATAGTGACTAGCACAAAGTATAGGATAGATGCTTCTATACTTAGTGTTAGAAGATAAACATAAATATAAATCAGTTTCAAACCTGCTCTATAAGCATCACTGCTTGAGCTTTCTATTCCCCCTGAGGAATCGTATCATTGATACTAGTCTTTTGAGACACGGTTACAACAACCGATAGGCACAAGCTTACGAGCTAGCCTAGGAGGGTTAAGCACCCCAAGACGTAGAAGCTCTGAGCTTGTCTTTCTCTGCACATAGTGCATACGTAGCTTGTCTGACTGCTTCTTCTGCACATAGTGCATCTGCACATGGTGCATAAGTAGCGTAGCTACAGTAGCTCGGCTACACATGTACTGTGCAATAACTTGAGTCGCATGGCTTCTGAATAACCTCTCAGGTATCGTTATGCTTCAACGCTGCATTTTCTGTGCACGTAGCCTCCTCCCACTGCTTGACTCGACCACAAGGAAGATCTGAGCCTTTCAGGACCAAGCCACGCCTGGCAACCAATATCAGGAACCAAAGTACAAGGCAAGGACAGAGTAAAGGAGTTTAGACATAGGACGATATTAAGTACTACTTAGTTTGAAATCAACGTGGCACGACTTCGTCGTGCTTATAACGAACTTGCCAAGTCCACCCATCTGTCCCGGAAAGGGATACGTTTGCCCCTTCTTCGAAGACAGTCGCGTGATAAGACCCAAGAGCAAATAGAACCATAGGATAGATTTGCCTGGTTCTTCGGGGTAGCATCCCCCGATCGACCCGCTATCGAAGCTGTCTCCCTACACTTGTGTTTCGGGAGCAAGTAAAGGCCAGGCGGTAATACTCCTGAGTATTCAGGAAAAAGGCCAGGGTCGATGAGCTCACCTGAAGAATTTGGCTATAAGTCCCTCCTCGACCAAGTAGCCACTTAGTAGTCTACCAATTGAAGCATATCAACTCGAGGCACCACAAGTTTGACCTCTTCCAAGGTCGACATCGCATCTTCTTCAAGTCTTCTGAAGAATGCAAAACGCCGTCCAACGGGTAAACAAGGTGAGAAAAGGTCCATACGCAGCATCGGGGTACCCCCTCCGACACTCGGCAGTCCGGCATAGTGAGTGGCTTGGGGCCTCATCACGCAGTTCTGAAAACCCACTCTACCACAATGGTGCGCGCGTCCGATTTTCGGAAAACGCGGGATATCACCGCGAGTCCCAAAAGATGAAGATGTCCAAGCAAATATTAACAAAAGATTCAAGATTTACTGGATGACCAATCTCCAGTGACTAAGAAGGAAACAACAAAGGATCGAAGGACCAACCGGACCTTTAGAGGGGTCTGGTTAACATGGTTAAGGTTGAACTTATTGAGGAGAAAACTGAAATACCTTCCCTATGTCCTCGTAGAGGACACCTTGAGTCATTACATCGATCATGCCCCAGAGATCCATCCGCCGACGGTTAAAAACGAGAGTCTAAGGTTTCCTAAACAACAAAAACTTGAGATCGTTGTGTCCAATTCGCGCATATTTAAGATGAAGGCGACAGTTAACACCAGTCCGTAGACCCCGCGACTTCAGGACAGTCGACCTGGTCGAATACTGAAGTGACCATGGCTTACCATCGACGCAAAGTCGATGTATTATTGTAAAGCAATTCTGTCACAAAGACCTTTAAGATCCGATTGCTTGGACAGCTTGGTGGACCGGTGTCGACATTTCAAAAGGTGCGGACGGTAACAGAAGCGATCACCACGCTAGTCACCCTCATCAATAGGCAGGAATGGTCGCAGGAAGGTTTGAGGCTAAAAATATGTTTGCTTTGGGGCTCTTCAGCATCACGACAAGGTTAGAGAAACCTCACAGACGTTTGGGGATTGCCTCGTCGACATAACCACGGCACTGTGTGAAATACCGCTCGCGACTACCTCGACTGCACCGTCTGAAGACAGCCAGATGATGCTTCAAGACATCGAGGTCCACCCTCAAACGCAATGAGCGTCTGAAGAATCACGGTTAATGCAAGGTCTACCACAGAACACCCTGCCTCATTGTCACCAGGTCATGGCGGGGCAGTCATCGCAAGAGTCATCTGCTACTAGGAATGTAAGCAGGGTGTCACTGAGATCGACTGTTACGGCGCTACTAAAGCCGCAAATATGATTGCTGCTTGTTTGTGTGCCGAGGCTGTAGGTTGGGAAGGTGAAAGCACGGTGGGTCACGACCTTGAGCCAAGGGGTAGGACGTCGACAATTTCTGAAGGTGACCATCGTTAACTCTCACCCTCTAATATTGCACGGGACGATACCAAGATAGGTACAAGAGCGCAGGGATTCAACTCGGTGGGATCTCGAAGATACGCTAAGTGGCTGAATCTAGCGTATGAATCAGCCACCTACCAGATCGACCATCAGGTGGACTTGAGGAAGGAGGATGAAGGGCCATTGGTGTAGACACCACAGTGCGGATCCCATTAGGCATAGCAAAGCTGCCAAGGGTATCTACTCCAGTAATAAATACTTACCCCGACCGATGACCGACCAGGTCGATATCCTTGGTGGATCCGGCTGGCGTTTCCATGTATTCCGACGAAGAGCTGTATTCGACTGCTCCAGACGCTCCAATCGACTTGCCAGACCAACATAGCTCGCCTAAAGCCTGCTTCATTCGTGGGTCAGCGATTCTGCAAGCTATAGTATCCAATAAAATCGACGCGCTGCTGAAACTCTCGAAGTTCCGTTGCAAAACACTCGTCAACGTCGAGCGCCGGATAGGCATTTGTCGGTATCACGTAAGCGTTTCCATAGTGTATGGTCCCACCCTCTGATCGACAGCGCTGGAACCCACGTTAAACCGCAAACGAATTGTAAAGCACCGAGACCCGCCTACCGTGAATGGGAGCGGCTTCCGTCATGACGTTACTGAGGTGATTCTGGATGAGCGACGGTATCACGTCCGCTGGATCGGCTTCCTATCATCAAGCGACTCGTGAGACCCCCGCGAAATTCTTCAAGCTGACTTAGCTGCCGTGGTAGAGGCGTACGATGCCGGCTAAGCGTTGCAATGCACGCAAATGATACCTCGGTAGTATTGATAGCCTGTGTGAATCATGTGGTGACCTAATCTGTCAGCAAAGACCACAATTCTAGTGGTTTTGCCGCAACACGCGGTAGGCCATACTAATAAATTGTCACAAATTCATAGGGAACAGGCATATTTACCAAAGACAAGGCATGCGCGGTGAGAACTTACGCAGTATAGTTTCCTGGAACCAAGTCAATCTCATGACGTACACTTCTATCCGGAGACATCCTCGTAGGAGGGTGTCAAGATAGGACATCTTTGTACTCCTTTCGCAATCAAAGGTATGATGGGCTTGATGGGTTCTTCAGAATTTGTGATCCTTTTCGCGCATTCAGCGCCTTCTTGGTATCCTCAAGAACTGCTTTATCCAAAAGCAATGAGAAGTTCAACTCCTCCTCAGGTCGTATAACGACCATTTCGGCGATGTCGCCTGCCTGTAAGGCACTGCCAAACTTGTCCAAGGACAGCTCGACCAGCTCTAACAAAAGCACTTACTGCGGGTATACCTGAAAGAGCCACCGGCTCTTCGACATCCTCAGTCAAACCATTGACGAGTGTATATGACCGTTCGGTATAACCGTCACTCACGATGTACTATTGCTACTCATGATGCTCTTAGCATCCGATGCAGCCACGTCACAGGTGTCCACACCTCAAGGTCAAAGACCACTCCATCTACGGACTGAATCCTACCTTCATGCGTCAATGTCTCGTCATGAGGTGCTTGTACCTCGTTGTCCTCAAAGACAACCGTCATTATTGACTTCATCCTATCATCTTGGTCCAATAGATGCTATCACCTCCTTTCCCTCGACAACAACATCCATTTGTGACTTCTACCAACCCCCTTCGTCGTTACGTGCTTGCGACTCGCTATACATAAAGACAACATCCATTGGTGACTTCACCCGACCCTTCAGGTCCAGTAACTCTTCTTTAGAAGCATGCACCTTGTTGTCCTCAAAGACAACATCCATCGGTGACTTTACCCGACCCTTCAGGGTTAGTACCTCGTCACCTACGTCGCTCGGACTCTTGTCCTGACATCTTGGACTTGCAGCCACTCACACCACTGATGTTGTATAATGATGTAATATCACTCTGATGACACATGTCATATGTTTCATCTAGTGGTTTTTCAACCACCTTACTTACAGCCCTTACGCCTCGCCCAGGACTATTGTTCTGACACCTACAGTATCTACAAAGTCGGATAATCCAACATCTAGCATACTGACCGATTTGGTCCAGGTGGCTTTTCTTTCCCGGTCAGTCGCTTCCAACATCCCAAGTCTCCATGATTCCTAGACCCATGGGCACTTTTTGCGTCTAGCGTTAAGGGGTCCGAGGTCCCTGGTCGGGGGGTCAAGGCTGGTCAACCTTCCTGATGGGTTGGTCCCTCGGGGTCCTCGACCCTAGGTCCTTCTCCGCTTCTTTTACCATTCGATAGACCTTCCTTAGGTCACCCTCGTCTTCTAAACTTTCCAGGATAAGGTCTCTAGAGTTTGATTCCTCCGGGGTCGCCCGAACTGCATGCGCAGAGCGGCGGTCCATCTCTCTCGTTTGCTCAAGGGAATAGGACCTTTCTGGCAAAAATTGCTTGGCCCAAACAACATAGCTGGAGCAGATTAAGAGCATGAAGAGTCGAATTGAGGAACTCAAGAGAGAAATCACATTGCATTAGCAAAGGTGCTGGTGAGTATGCCGCGAAAAAAAAGATTCTGAGTGAGGCTGACTCAACGGCGTCTACTGCATCAATATCGTCGAAAAATATGCCATGCCCGCGATTATATGTTACAATGACGTCATGATTGAGTGGATTTAGCTAAGCTGTTCGTATCTATTGAGCTGCATACATTACAAACATTTCTACATTACATATATACACATTTACAGTTTTATACACTTTCCCACATGAATCGAATTGTGTACATTTCTGATTGTGTTGTCGAATATTCTACCACGTTTGTGTGATTCACATGTATGTGCATGTATCTGGAGTAATCAAGTAACCTTAATGAAGTGAACAATAGATGTCAAAAAACAAAGTCATAGTAGCGTGAAGCGCCAAGTTAGTGCTCAAGTAACGTTTGGTGCTGGTAATACATGTATTGTACGCTTTAAAGGAGATACATAATTTGCAAGTGGTGCATGAGGTAGGTAATAAATCAGCAAAACCCGAAGGAAAGAATAATGGAGGGCTTAATGGTCGTGGTTACTTTACATGTGAGCCGATTTGCGGTCTCTTTGTAAATTAAATTAACGGTTTGCTTGGTCTTATAATCGTCCTTTACTTTATCTAAGACTCCTCGGAGCCATCAATTGTCTGGAACTAGTACGCAAGCGTCGAACATTAATAAAACGTCAATTTTAGCGCCTGGTTTGGGCTTCAGTAGCTCCCGACTTGCGGCTCCTAAGTCACGAACGTCTTTAACTACTACAACTAGTCAGAGGGGACCTGGCAAGTGAGAACAATCAACTTCGGGCTGCTGCAAAGATGTTGCACAAGCGTGGGTCTGAGGAAAGACTGAACTTAGCAAGAAGATACATCAGGATCAACGTAAAAATGCTGAGCTCGTAACGATAAGGGAGGAGATAGAAGAATTGGTACGCGACAGTGGCTGTGATTGCAATGATACCAAGCTGTACTGACATGTATATAATGCTCTTGCTGTATGCAAAAGACGGCAAAGAAAAACAAGCTATAAAGCGAAGCAGAGGAACTGAAAGAAAGTTGGACATTGCAAATGCATACGAGACAATGGTAGAAAATCTTACAGAACAAAGTTTAACACGCGGTGAGAAACTTGCAGTTAAAGACCACGTGAGCTTTGCTGCCATAATTTTTCGGTCGCTATTGCACTTTTAAGAAATAAATGTATAATGACGAGCCAGATCAGAATTGCGGATGTTACCCCAACATGCTGTAATTACAATGTTATTGTGAGTCCCAGGACTGATCATGTTTTTTGAAAAAACAATAAAAAAACAGAGAAAACTTTTACATCAAATAACCTCATTTTAAAGAAATAAATTTGCTGTGTGTCTGTTTCTTCTGTCTAACTCTTCCGTCTGCCTTGTGATTAATCGAATCATTCAATGAAGATTGGCGCCAATATGCTTCGAAAAACAAGAGACAAGCGCGTCATTACATCCATTGACGCTATCATCCAAAAACATTTCGAAGGAACGACACTCATTTTGAAAAAGCTCTCGTCACTTATGTCTGAGGTATAATTTTCATCAAGCTTATCAAGCTCATTTCATTCTCTCTGTCAAATTCAAGGATGAACGTACACAGTCTTGTTAAGATGTTCGAAACTTTGGCCGTTTCGGCAGGAGTGGATACATCAAAAGGACATTCTTCAGGTGAGCTCATCGACCCTGGCCTTTTCCTGAATACTCAGGAGTATTACCGCCTGGCCTTTACTTGCTCCCGAAACACAAGTGTAGGGAGACCGCTTCGATAGCGGGTCGATCGGGGGATGCTACCCCGAAGAACCAGGCAAATCTATCCTATGGTTCTATTTGCTCTTGGGTCTTATCACGCGACTGTCTTCGAAGAAGGGGCAAACGTATCCCTTTCCGGGACAGATGGGTGGACTTGGCAAGTTCGTTATAAGCACGACGAAGTCGTGCCACGTTGATTTCAAACTAAGTAGTACTTAATATCGTCCTATGTCTATACTCCTTTACTCTGTCCTTGCCTTGTACTTTGGTTCCTGATATTGGTTGCCAGGCGTGGCTTGGTCCTGAGAGGCCAAGGTTGGAGGTGGGGGTGTTGAAGGACTCCGCGTATCCAACACAATCGGAGCGGACGATACAATTGCGGGTGGAATACGGAGTCGGAGCGGGGTCTATGCCGCGACGATGAACGCAATACAGACAAGACAGCAAGTGCTGGTTCATCCAATACGTCGATAGGAACCAATGTCTTTCGATCGGGAGGAGGGTGATGTACCGCTCGTGGTTTGTTTTTACCACCCGATCGGGTCTGGTTCGAGCTGAAGATGAAGTCTAAGATCCTGATTGGATGGATGAAGATCACGTAGATCGTGCCTTTTTGCTCGATCGGCCTTGATGACTCGATTTTCGGACGATTGCTGGAAGCTAGAAAAGGTGGATCGCTGGCTTGGGGATACCAGAGGTTTGGGACCGGACTCGGCAAGAGGGTGCTGCAGTGAGTGTAGACGGATCGCGAGCACGATTATGTGCACGAGAAGCCGATCGGAAAGGAGGCTAGGGACGAGTCGACACCAGATTCGCCAGCTGATCAAGAAGTACTGTGATCGTGGATTGCATCATCCCGCTCTGCATCTCTACGAATAACCCGGACCTGCCATCGGCTGATGCTAGCGTCTTAATTTGCGACGTCGTGAAGCAGCTGATCACATCTGGCCTTCAAATTGATTATTTCGGCCTGCAACTTCTCGATCTTGCGCTTGAAATGGAGAAATCTTTTCTTGGAGAAATCTTTTCTTGTTATCGGATAATTTTGACACGCGATCTTTGAGATTAGCCAGCTGGCGTTGAAACATTTCACGATCCACGCGACGGGCAGTGTTGGCTATATCTAGTGTGGATCTCAAAAAGATAATTTATAATATTTTGTTCGATTTTTTTGTATATAAATATATACATTTATATTATTTAACGTTTTTATTATATTAATTTCTATTAGTTTTAAATTTTTATAATTGAAAATATTATTAAAGTATTGTTTAATATCTAAATCAAAATGCAATAAATTAGAATATTCATTATTCAAATTTATCTTTGGACTTAATGGGATTGATACAATCGATCACCAAATTCCTAGGAAAACCCGATCGACTCTTGGGTTGCTTGTGCAGCTATCACTGAGATAAATCATATCTCCGTTTACATATTGCACAAACGGAGACGCCAATCGTAGCCTCATCTGCCACGTTCAATCGATGCAAATACTCGAATGGTCGTTTCCGCACTTATTTCTTCTGGCAGATACACCATATCCTCTTTACCAAGTTATGAATTTTTAAAAGTAATTTAAAGTGTTTTGCGTTGATCGGCCTAACTCAGCATACCAGTTTTGCGCCAGTTCCGTAAGTAAATTGCTGAAAACCAAACACTTTTCCACATCTGGTGCCTAATCGCGTAGGAACGCAGACTTGACGTTGCTAACCCAACTTCTTGCTCGGTCTTTGTTCTGATCTTTTCCGGAAAACTCTTTCAGATCTGCTATTGCTGACGCTCGAATACGTTTAGTGGCAAACTCTCCACTCGAAATAGCCTCTGCAACGTCACTATCAACGGTCGTCGAGGATCATCCAGTCCAAGATCGTCCGGATCGTACTCGTGCGATCGACTACCACGTGATCCCACAGATTCCATCTCAATATCGGAAATGTACGATCATCGATCCGGGGGCATTCTTGAGCGATCATCTTGAGCGATCATCTTGAGCGATCATTCCCTGTATGTTCTGTTGTCCGCGAACGAATTTCTCCATAGCAGCATCAAAATACGATCGTAACTGGTTCGATCTGATCGGATCCATACTTTTAAGCGTGACATCAATCTACCAGTGTACCTAAAGTACAGCCTCACCACGATGGTGCATGTACAATACAAACCCCGTTACAAGCTCCTCCTTTCAGCGTTTCGACCCCTTTTTAACATCGCCATGTCCTATCGCGGCCGACCATGCCTGTAGTTTCAGCTTGACCTTATGTCGGTAATGGTGTCTCCAATACGGCTTAAATCTGTTGGTCACTGTGTTAGCGTTTTAGAGCTCGGTGACAGTTTGACAAGTAACTTTAGGTCAGCTGCACACTACTACTTGTCTTACAAGCCACACGCGTTGCGCCAAATTTACGAGTGGACGGTCAAACCGAACCGCATTCACAATCAACATACTACAATAACTATCGTCTTCACCTCTACAAAACGGGTATCGTATGCAAATTTACAGAGGTGACTGACTATCAGTTCGTTTTGCTTCCAGCATTTTGTCTGTGTAATGGCTTTGTCCAAATCGAATAATTTCTGACCAATCACAGGGTGACGACTACAGCCCACCAGTTTTGACACAGTAAGACATTTGAACAATGGCAGTGCAGGTCTCAAAGAGGTTAAAAATGGAGCACGAGCCCATAGGACTTAACACAGACGCCAATGCGGTCACAGAAACAGAAGAAAGGAATACTAGCAATAAGGGTGATGACGACATAGAGGAAAAGACTGGAACATCTGCCATTGCCCAATTTCAAAACGAAGATGTAAGCGCCAGTTGTTACATTTTATGGACGTCAGACGCCTTATTCTCTCTATTTCTCTTTTTGTATGCATGATTGCAGGGTACCAACGTGCATCCACAACTGGAGATACCTATTGATTCAAATGTCAAGCAGATGGAAGAGTTGGTCAATGAACTGTTGCAGAACGGCAAGAATCGCGTGCCCTATTCACTCTATATTGGCGAAACAGAGGTGACGACGACGCTTAAGGCAATAGTGGAGGAGATGGTGCGTAATTGCAGCTGCTATGTGATGATGGTGCGAAGAAGGAGGCAGTTGCTAAGTGTTTTTGTGTTCTTTTGATGGCAGAAATTGTCAACGGAGACAGCGTTAACGATTACATTCCAACCGCTAGCTGCCTTCCGCGTGCGTCCCGTTACCCGTTGCAGTGACACGTTGCAAGGACACTCGGAAGCAATTTTGCATGTGAGCTTTAGTCCGGATGGGAAGAGATTGGCAAGTGGAGGAGGTGACGCGACAGTGCGCTTTTGGGATACCAACACATGCATGCCAAAGCACACAGGTCGTGGGCATAAAAATCATGTGCTGTGTACGGCATGGTCACCGGATGGAGTGCGTTTTGCATCGGCAGACCGCAACGGTGAGATTCGTCTTTGGGATCCACTAACGGGTAAGCAGATTGGCCAGCCCATGAAAGGACACACACAGTGGGTCAATTCGTTGACCTGGGAGCCAATGCATCGCAACGACACTTGTGAGCGTTTTGCAAGCTGTTCGAAGGATGGGTCGATCAAGGTGTGGAACGCACGCACAGGCCGTTCCATTGCTTCGTTGTCGGGCCACACAGACTCGGTGGAGTGCATAAAGTGGGGAGGTGAAGGCTTGTTGTACAGTGCATCCCGTGACCGTACAATTAAGGTTTGGGCCATGGAAGGTGAACACGTGGGCAAGCTTGTGCGTACGTTGATCGGACACGGTCACCGTATAAACACGTTGGCTCTGAATGTTGACTACGTTTGCCGTTCGGGGCCGTTCGTTCACAATACTAAGAACTTTACATCACGCAAGGAGATGCAAGAGGCAGCGCTAAAGAGATACGAGGAGGTTCGTAAGGGACAACCAGAGCGTTTGGTCTCTGGCTCGGATGACTTTACTTTGTTCTTTTGGGAGCCTTCAGAGAGTAAAAAGCCTTTGGTTCGCCTTACCGGTCACCAGCAGCCAGTAAATCATTTGAGCTTTTCTCCAGACGGACGATACTTTGCAAGCGCCAGTTTCGATAAGAAAGTTAAGATTTGGAATGGTCAGACGGGTAAGTTTGTAGCAACACTTACTGGCCACGTCGGTGCAGTGTATCAGGTATGTTGGTCCAGTGATGCACGACTGATCGTAACAGCAAGTAAGGACTCGACCGTGAAAGTCTGGGAGCTTCGTGAGCCAAAGAATGCCAAGACGACGCTATCAGGTCATGCTGACGAGGTGTACGCTTTGGATTGGAGTCCCAACGGTGACATGGTGGCGTCGGGTAGCAAGGATCGCACTATCAAGATGTGCGTGAAGCTGTTTGTGCTGTTAAATGTATCTGCCGTCACTAACTTCCCTTGTTTGTGTGCCGTTTTTCCAGCTGGAAGCATTAGATTTACATGTAAATATACCGTGTTTTGCAATTTGCGAGAAAGATTCAATTCGTACTTTACCGAAAATTCGTAATATTTCCCCTCTTCATTTTGGCTTAAGCACGCCACCAGTCGTCATAAGGTTCTTTGTATCGTTGCATACTTGTACCCTTATATACGAGCATGAAGCGTTTACGAAATGAGTTCATGACGATGAGTGATTGTAATGTGAGTATGACGCCTCCATCGTCATCTATTTGGGCCTCGATGTCGCCCTGGAAGCCGTCGAACGCGTCCGTCAAACGCTGTCGAGACCGCTCTGTGCCCATCGGTGCGTGTGTTTATATCGCTATAAACGTGATTTGCTTCCTAGAACTCACGTAATTTTACTCAAATATTAGACGCGATGAGTCGCATGATGTCGGCAGCCATCACTAACGCGCGCATCAAGAAGCAAGTCAATTGTTTGGCGGCAACAGCAAGACGACTCTAGCTTGCTGCGCCGTGTGCGAGAGCGCTGCAAAGCCCGTTAAGTGCCCGGTGCAGGCTACGAGCGCGCAGTATTGCTCGCATTGCGAGCGAAGGATGGGTGATTGCTGCCGCCGCGAGTGCGTCGCGTGCTGCCACGTTTTTTGTCCGCTATGCTCGACGCTCAACTGCGATGAACAGTTTGATCGTTTATTTTGTCTCTCATGCAATCAAGAGCTGTGTAGAAGTTAGAGAGAGAAGGCGGTCTGCTTGATAACTTTCTAAATGCATGTTTGTAGATTGGTGGACGTGTAGCTTAGTTGATTGGGGCCCATGGCTTTTGCTTCGAATGACCCAAGTATCATACTGTGAGTACTTGTATCGTGTGCTGCAGCAGCAGTGTTCACGAATATCTCGATATCAAGAAAGCAGTATGGCTAACAAGGTCGTGTCGAGATGTCACTTTTGACGTATATCATAAATGTTGCAAGGAGCTGAAATCTGCGTTGCGTTGTATAGCTTGTCAAATTAAAAGTATATCGATTCCATGATTGTAACGAGAGGGTCGTAGGTTGGGATGAAATCTTCCTGCTGAGAAAGATAGTCATAGCCAAAGTTTCTTGGTTGCACTTCCTTCGTTGACTGAGAACAGACGGGCTGGATCAAGCTGCTGCACGATGCTTGAGTTTGAGCCAATGCTGCTTGCGTCTTAGCCGAATGTCGCTTGACTTCCTACATGAAATAAAACGTCAAGCTGATATGGTTGTTGCTGTGCCAATTATTGTGATACATTCCAAGCCAAACCTGAACAGGACGCCGTTCCCTGTCCGTGCTTATGGTGCTGAACCCAGTGCTCGCAGCTTGTGGCTGTTGTTGTCTCTCAACTGGTTGGACATACTTGTTTCCAGTAGGATCATGATGTATCCTGTTGCTTGAATATTCTTCGTCAACACTTGTCTTGGACTTATGTGACCAGGCCCCGTGAAGTCTGAATCGATCCAGTGATTCACTTGCTGTAATGTGCTGTGCTTGTTTTGACTTAAGCTGTCGATATTCTTGACTTTTACCATGTGGACGTTTTGATCGAGACCTTGTGGTCGTAGCCACATGTGCTCGGTCGTTCTTCCAACCTTTAGTAGTGCGTCTAGACTTGACTTTTGACTGTAATTTCTTGTCCATTGGTTGATGCTGCATTCCACTTGTTGATGGATATTGAAGAGGCTTCGAAAGTCTTGTTACAGAAAAGTCTTTTACAGGCTTCGTGTGCTTGACTTGTTGAAGATATCGATCCATCCGTTGCTGCTTTGCGTTCATATGGTGGTGTGTCAATGTCTTAATGTACTGAAGAATCCTGCTATCACCCGTCATTTCGTTTCGAGAATCTGTAGTTTTATCATCTTGGTCGTCACAAGTGACCGGGACTACCGCCTTCTGCTGCCAACTCATTGCAATGTGACAGAAGTGCACAAAATGAAGAGTGATGGTTGCAACTTCAACTTGCTTTCAAATCGTCCCCTTTTCTGTAAACAAAATAAGAGCTAAAAATGTCTAGAGATGAAACCATCGCTTTTTACCTTTTGACTTGTGTCGGCTGTAGACTGCAGCAGCTCGACGTCCTCGTCGGGAAATTGTGAGCGATGTGAGAGACGAGATTGGTGCTGCTGAGCTTGGCGGTTTCCACGAGTCTAGAAGTGAATAACGTCGATCGGAAGTAATGCCACTCGGTCGACTCAAACTCGTCGTCGCTTCGGACGGGACTTCACTTGCCTCTTGCGATCGTCGTCGGTCAATCGGTATTTGAGAATCATAGTTGCTCACGTTGATGCTGCTCATAGGGATACCACGTCCTGCACCAGCAGCGTAAGTCAATCCATTGACCCTCTTTGCTTTCACATCGTCTGGCTGTGACGGGACGCTCCCGCGACGCGGTCGGCTAGCAAAAATATCCTCATCGTCCTCATGTTCATCATACTCAGCTGCCTTTTTTGAGTGATACTGGGAGTCAACCGGTTCGTAGTGAGCTCCGAGAGTCGAGTAACGAACGGACCTTGAAGATGGCAAGGGTGAATTGCGCACGATTTTTTCACCCTTGTATTGAAAGCTGAGAGGTGCAACCGCGTCTCCTACCTCGACCGTACCGTTAGTGAAGTTGATGCTCTTCGGAGGTGTTTGGATAAAAGTACCGTCAATGTCAATTTCGCGGTCATCGGGCATCCCTTTGATATCGACACGGATGGAAGGCTCTCTTTTCTCATCCACGTCAAAGCTTTCAGTGCTTGCAATCTCTGATGGTCGTTCTCTTGCCCCATCCACGTCAAAACTTTGTGCGCTGAACGTGTTCGTATTAGCCGTTTCAAGATCCATTGCCATCGTGTTCGCTGGCAGCTTCGTTTCAGTTTGCAAGGTCTTCGTCGAGTTACGGAGTATCGATGTTTTGCTTTCCAACGTAAAATTGTGCCAGCGTCCCATGAAGCTACGAGATGTCTGCTTCAAATTGGTCTCCTTTGGCTCTTCAGCGTGGATTATGCGCAGCACGCGATTTACGTTGGATATCAAAGAAACGTCGTTCTGCTCTTTGTTCTCTACCAGCCCTTCCAAGAACGCCAGCATCTGGGGATAGTATTTGAGGTCTTTCAACCAATACTCAGGATCATCCTTCGTTCCATTTTCCGTCAGTGCCGTGTTGCGCGCTTCCAATACACGACGAAGAATCTTCAGCAGATTTGGAATATCTGGGTGCTGCATAGTAATACGGCAAATTAGCAGCTCAACAAATTCTTTTGCGGTAATCTCAGGAAACTGCACCAAGCGTCGAGCGATATGTAAGATACAACGGTACGGGAAACTTGTAATTAAGCGTTGATTACAGTAGCGGACAAGCTTCACGATTTGTTCTGGTATACAGTTGTTAGCGATACTTTCGTCAATATCAAGTGATGCCCGTAAAATATGTGTTATCGCCATAGTGTACTTGTCAATCTCATCAGCGACTGTCTTGAGGTTCTCGGGTGGGTTTTGTAGGTCAAAGCTCATCAGTTTCTCCAGTTGAGTCCTCCATATCTGGAAAAGAAGCTCCAAATTGTATGCTGGATTTGTCAGTTTCTCAGGGTCCGGTCGAGACAAGAAGCGATCAATGTAGAGACCCGCTACAAAATTATGGGGAAGCGGAATGAAATCTGTCTCATTGTCAAGCAAAACAGAATCTCGTTTTGCTCTAGACCGTTCTAATCGATTGCGGCAAATAATTTGGTCGAGCTTCTTGCGCACTTCAGTTCGTCTGTGTGAGTTCCATATCAAGTCACTCTTTTCGTGGTTGTCATCAAAAAATCGAGTTGCCTTGTTTGGGTCCAAATGAATTTGGTATACGATAGGGTAAGGAAGAAACCGACAAAGGCCGCTGTACATCTTTTCTCGCAAAGCTATGTCTTTCATCAACAGTGCATACAAAACTTCAAATGCGGGTTCTCGTAAAGCTTCAGCTCGAAGAAAATGCTCATGGAGAACGTGCTGTCTCGATTGAAGTGCGATGCCCAAAATTTCGACCCACAGCCCACTCATCTGAATATATTCGGCAATTACAAGGCAAGTGTCGCACAGCTCGGCTAAACAGGACAGTGCGTAAAATGCTTGTTCATAATCGAGATGATCCGTGATCACCTGAAGACACCACGTAAATTGGCAAAAAGGTGATAGCATTCGCTCCAGATTGTACTCGAATCCACATATTTTGTTCAAAATCAGCAGCGCAAGTTCTTGGCGGGCCAAATAATCAACATTTCCAAAATCGGGTTCCATCGTAGCGGGTGCATCGTCAGCCCAAATCTTGGCCTTAAAGCCGTAAGTTGACAGCGACCGACGAGATGAAATTGATACTGCTTTTGTTTTGTCATCACTATTATTAAACGGCAGTAAGTACCTACCCAATGTGGCCACCGAAATCGAAGCGCTTACTGGATCCACATCATCAACGTGTTGCTCTAAGCACTCCACGATAACAGGCCGGAAGTCAGGCAAGTCACATAGAAGACTTAAACAATCCAATGCAGGTAGTGTGTCAGAATAAATTCCAAGCTTGGGATCTCTATTCTCATTCAAAAACAAGAAAAGAGATTCCACAAAGTCGACGGCTGTGGTCGGATACAGCATATCTTCCGTAATCGCTTTAGGATTCTCTTCTGACTTTTCCAGCAGAATCAGTAAATATATTCCTCCAACAAAAGGCTCAGCACCAAGACAATCATACATGTGGTTCGAGGCGTTCTCCAAAAATAATAAGCCATCACCATTAGGATCAGTGCAGTACTCTTCCGTAAGCTGAGACAATTCGGCCCGCGTATTTTCGTTCCAGATACAGGACGGCTCACGAATATTCGACAGCAATGTGGTGCAAAAATCATATCCACTAGGCTTTTCGAGACAAGCCAAGAAGTCCATCGGAAGGAGATTTGCTAAAGCATCAAGCCCCGCAGATCGGCTGTTACCGTCAGGACCCAAAGCTAGCGATCGAAGTGCTCCAAAAGCGCTCTCCAGCATCTTACGTTCCTGCTTCTCCAACGCGGTTATACTTTCCTGAGCTGCATTAGGTCCTGATGTGCTCTCGGCTGATGCAAGAATCAAATAAAGACCCTTCCAAAATACTCGAGTAGAATTTAGGATTTGTTCTTGTAGTACGTGGCTACGACAAAGTGATGACGCAATATCGAACGACATTTTTTGGATATGCCACGGCTGAATATTCTCAAATGATAAAATAACGTCATCTAGCAACGAATATACGCTTTGGGCGTGCTTCGATTTAGTTGCTCCGTTTTGAGACGTGTACTTCGTCGCAGTAAAAAATGACGTATTGTCATCGTCTCCAAATGTGTTGAAGTCAAATGTCTTCGACGGCACCACATTGCTAGCAGCAACTTTATCCCCTCTCGAAAGCGATTGAACTCCTTCTTCAGAAAGGAGAAGCAACTGAAGAATCGAAAACATATTCTCTTTTGCTACCACATCGTGTCCGGTTGCACAGCTTCCCACCAAATCGAGAACTACGTTCCACATACCATCGATTTTTACTAAAAGCGGACCATTTTGCGGCGCAAAGGATAGTAGTTGCCGCAGCAAACTCATCGCAAGGGCGCGCGATTTAGACACTCCCGCTGATTGAGATGACAATGCACTGATTAACAAATCCAGCGTCGACGACTCGTACGAGAAAAACTGGAAGCCATATTTGTCCAGTAGCTGAATTTGGGACATCAGAATACGCTCAATAACTTCGTCCGATGTCCGGCCACCGTCGGCTTCGTTTTTGCGCTCAAGCACAGCACACAGTACGTCAAACGCACGACGAACCGTGTTCATCTCAAGTTCATTCTGGCATAGCTCCCGGTAACGCGTGCGCAAGTCAGATAAAGAGTACTTTGCGTCTTCGCTTAAGCCAAATATTTTGTAAGCGGTCGTGTGATCTGTATTCTCTTCCAGCCCATCAGCTTGACGCCGAGCAAAGTGGCGCCACTTTTCCTCAATGCTCTTCATTAAAAACACAGGATTCTCGATTTCTTCGGCTTCAGAATCAGATTGATTCATAGTTGCAAGATAGAAGCCACTGCAGTAGATGTCTCCAGATAACTCTAGGTAGGAAATGGGAGGGATTGGAGTGTAGCTATACCGTGCTGCAACATTGCCCTTCAAATGTGCTTTGAACTCTTGCAAGTGTTCATCCATCATTGCTTGCAAATGAACCCTCATCGTTGAGGACCACAAAACGCGCTTGTCGTGTATGCGACCACAGTACACGTCAGCAAAATGTTCAGGAGTCTCCGAGTCCAACACCGCAATGAGAGATTCTGGCAGCATGTCCGTTAAGTAGCTCTGCCCTACGTGTCGTTCAGATGATCGCTGAAATCGATGAATTCGTTTCAGTAGTGTTGCCTCGGGAACAAAAGTAGGTACTTTGTCAGATCCGTTAAGATTCGCAGCCGTTGACAAAATGAAGTAGAAAGCTCCATATTTATATACATCTTGCAGTTCTTCGTCGGTCAAAGACATTAGCATCTCGCAGACATACCTCCGTTCAATGGAGTTATTTACCAGTAGCAGCTGAAATATAAAGGCTAATGAAGAAGTATTAGCCACAACCGTATTTACCAAAGGAGGCGGCCACAACGTTTTGTTACCAAATGGCATGGTACCTTGGGTTGTGACCATAAAGTTTCGCAACGTTTTCAACGCGAAAGCTGCACAACTTGCGTCAATAGGCTCGTCGGTTAACTCCATCCATCGTAGTTCTGGATACTCAAACATCGGCTTCCATACGTGTTCAATGCTACTAGAATTTCCACATCCATGAGCAGAGCAGCAACACACACAGAGAGAATAAATCTGCCGGCGACGAATGAGAGAGTTTGCGTCTAGGAATTCTTTCAGCGCGTTCGCTGAAAACGGGCCTTCAATCACACTGTCTTCTCCAGCCTCTACCATACCTTTGAGCTTTATGCTCCATTTCAAAGCAAACCTTGATTCATTGTAGAAAGAAAGTTCTGCTATCGGAACAGACGAGGTTTCGTCTGCTTTTGATATGTCTGATGAGTCCATTATTGGAATATCGCAATAATCGCTCGTCCTATCTCTTTCTGCTGATGCTGGCTGGCGCCTATGCGACAGCAACGATATATACAAAAGCACTTGGATGTAATTCTTTGTACACAACTCAGCGCAGGTCTCGTTTGATAGACTTAAGCATGACATCAACTCCAGAATGTCTTGTATGTCACTTGCAAGGTAAGAATTATATAGCAGCTCAGTAAGAAATTGTGCTCTGTGTGACGTCATAGACCGAGCTTCAGGGAATACACCAGCTAACTCGATCAAAATTTTCAGCATAGAATGTCCATGCTGTTCGCTACCCATTGCTCCGGTAAACTGCGGGACACCATTGCTTTCGCTCGCGGACCAATCATTTCTTCCAGACAAAGGAATGTCGTTTAAATGAAGATGTTCCAACCAGCACTGATATATCTCGTTAAAAAGCTTTGCAGGGTCTTTCGCAATATCCATACTGGCAAAGAATAGGCTACTTGAACCTTTCAGCTTACCACGATGCGTTCCAGATTCCATCGCGCGGACAGTTTTAGCAACCTCAGCCAGCTGCAAGGATCCATCGTTTATTCTTTCCATGATGACACGGAGATAAAATCGGTCAACTTGAAGCTCATGCGCAATGCTTTTGTATCTCACAGAGAATTGGGCGTGGTTCCATTTGATCTCGTTGCCACTATTTTGGGAAACAACTACTGATAGTGTAGCAGCGTGATTGTCTCTAAAATGATCAAATTCCTTAATCGCCGAATCAAGAGCACCTTTCAGTTCACCTCGCGTAAGTTCATTCCAAATCAAGTCAGGCAGCAAGAAATCTCTGCATACCATACTCGAGATTAAGGCCATATCTGTAGATGATTCGCCGGGGTAATTCGTGCGTGACGATTTTTCCTTGACTTGGACATCTTTTGCCGAATTACTTGCAAAAAGTGTTCCAATCTGAAGCTGCATGCGACTAATGAACCATTCTGATCCGTCAACTTGACCCTGAAGTTGATGCTTACTATTCTGTCGCACAGAATCAGTTTGTCGAGCTCGCTGCTTTTTTAGCAATTTACGTACCATTGGGCTCGAAATCATTCGTATAAATCCATGCGGGAGCACTCGCACAAGCATTTCATGAGACGCTTTATGGTGAGTTACCCAGATACTTGAAATGTACTGGTACGTCTCCTTTGCATTATCTGAAGGGTGAAAAAACGCCTCGTACAAATGCTTTATGGTAAGCCCTGATTCCAGGGCAACATCACAAATACGTCGTCGTACCTTATGATCTCCATTGCCAATGTCAACTATCACCTTCAAGACACAAATAACAGCTGCAGCCAACCCTGCATTCGCGTTTTGAGACGCTAGTTCCATCAATAGCAAATATTTTGCCCCGAGCGCTTTGACGATGGCATCGAAGTGAATCGGATCAGTACTGGGGCGAGTAACAACAAGCACATCCAGAAACAGTTGAAGCATGGCCAGCGTACAGCTTGGGTTGCGCTTTTCCAGCAGATCAGCCAACAACAAAATTAGCTTCTTATGCTCAAACACCTGGTACCGAATGACCTTTTCAGCTGCTTGATGTGCGTTTGATCGCGATTTGTCTGTCACAAGCGAATGAAGCGCATTGACTGCCCATACAGATGCAATTGGATCACCTGAAACTAGTATTTGAGCCAGCGTTGGAACGACTGCCATCGCCCCACCGTCTGACTGCTCCATTGCAATCCGATAGCAGCCATCATTGACGCGGCAAAACGCTTCCAGAATCACACATATTTCGTTTGCCCGAATTGGTGGCTTACAAGAATGCTCAAGCTATCCCACAGGAACAAGAAGCAGTCCACAACGACAATTAGTCTATCAATACCATAAAAAGGTCAAGCTTCACTTACCATATTAGCAATTCCATGGAGCAAGTAACTAAATGATAACTTTTCCAACCGTCCACGCATGATTTTGCCAGCAAAATCTTCCATTTCAACATTCATATTCAAACTTTCAAGTGCAAAAATGACCTTGTTTGTCACGGACGTAATGCTAACACCTTCCGTTTTCATCATATCAAGCTCTTTCTCCAAAACTGCGTGTGCTGGAATGTATAATCCTTCGTGGTTGAAATAGAGGGAATGTTCATGCTCGTCCTTTAACAATGCTCTCAAAGACATTCTCGGGTTCAAGTTAGGAAACTCTCGACTAAATGATACATCATAGTTGTCTATATAGCGATAACCATCGTACAGTGCCGCCAGAAACTTTTCCAATTCATACGGCACGTAAACCACACGACTGCAATCCGCAAATTCCAACGCAACAACAGCCTGCGTCTCGCCACTTCCCAACCCAGGAACCACTACACGCCGCAATTTTTTCAAATCGTATACTTTTTTGGAAAAGTTGGTGATCTCTTCAATGGTTCCATCAACAAAGCATAGCTTTTTCTTTCGCAAGTGCGTCGATCCATGTCGGCCTGTTCGCCTCTGGACATCAAATAAATCATTTGATTGAAAAGTGGAATGATTAAGTTTCTTTTCCACTGGCTGCTTTGGAAGCTTATCCCGTATTTCGCAGCAAACATGGATCCCAATCACACCAGCTAGTATCTTCATTTTTTCGACAATCACGTTGCTCTGAACGGAGTAAATAAACTTCAGCTTATTTTTTATTGTAAAAATGAACGCATCTGGAATTGCCGCTGCTTGAGTAAGCTTTTCGATTGATCGATACTCAAATTCATGAGTATGCCTAGTCACAACTCGCACAGCAATCAAAGCTCGGGGCGTCAAATAAAAACTTGCCTTTTCTCGCTGCCCATCTGATGTGCCAATAAAGCCGCTGAATTGGCAGCAATCAACACGGTATATGCGCTTGAACTCCTCAAAACTACCCACCAAGTGGCTCATTAGCTCCTGCAAAAAAACGTTGCGACATCGGTATCGAAGACGTAAAAATACAGGGTCGTCGTATTGATCGATCCCCATCTTCAGGGAGCCGCATGCTGCTTCAAGAAACTGTCGATATTGCCGCAATAGCACTTCAGGGTTTTGAACGATTACCATATTAGCCGGGGTGCCAGACAACCCACTCGATGAAGACTCGGACGATGAAAACGTATTGTTTCGACTTGCCACGTAGATATTTCTTCGAGACGAATACGTTGGGGGACGAGAGGACGGCGGGGCTACAGCTCCACGTTGGCTGCCTATACCGAAACTCAATGTTTCACCAAAGCTAAGCGTTTGGCGAGGAATCTTTCCGTCATTGGATCGCAACGGCGAGCCCATATTACCAAAGTGTAAAAACGCCGGGTTCTTCGTCATTCTACTCAAGATACCCACGCAGGCCTCCACAGTTCCCAGACCAGGAAAGCTAAAAAGAATACGTTGCAGCATGCGATATTTTGTTGCTAGTTGCTGATAAAGAGTTGCTGAAAGGTCCCGCTGCTTCTCTGCATTTTCCTTCACTAGTAACAGAATGAATTGGCACAACTTCATCGTTGGTACATCCGACAAAAACGAACTCGTCTAACAACACGAATGAAGAAATACGTTAAAACATCAAAGTACTGCTACCAAGTACTAGCAACAACCCAGACTTACGTGAACATCCTCGTCTAGCAACGAAAGAAGCGTCACCATAAAAACGCTATTGGACAACAGAAGCTGTCGACACTGCAGCTTGTGAACTTTTGACTCCATCAACCGACTTAGCACCATAAACATCCAGTAGGTAGCGACTGGTCTTTTGCTTTCCAGAATTTTAGCAATGGTACTAATATACTCTTCTGCACGCTAGCAGAGTAAACAAATATGCACAAAAAATGAGCCTAACGTTTAGCATATAGTAAGCTAGTAAACACAACGTACCTCTGTCAGAATTTTCATGAATTCGTTCATGGCAGCTGGCGCAAGAATCAAACGATAGAGAGATTGCATATACGTGCACACGAAGTCGTGTGTCGCGCCATGCCGACTGTGAATGTCATAGAGCTCCCTCGCTATCATGTACAACGCCTTTTCGAAAGGTTTGCTAGGCTGTGCAATCGCGCCAGATGCTGATGTATTCGCATTAAGCTCTACTGCCAACGAGTGCATTTCTTCGTCCAGGCCTCGAGGCAGCTGTCGTTGCGTGCGAGCTGTCTTCCGATTGCCATGTCCGGCTAACAGCTGCAAGATGTTCGCTTGCGCTACACGGAGCTCTCGATCCATCACGTTCGCATTCGGCACAATATTCGCAACCTTATTGCCTTCTTTAAAAATGATGTTACGGGGTATCATGCGTATGGAATCCGATATTTCTGTCGTCTCTAAACCCACCTGAAAGTTGCCCAGCGCGAAACAAGACGCTAACAGTTCACACACAATCTTCTCACAATAAGCAGAATGATACGTGCGCTTGACTCCATCCACATACACGACTCCAAACTCTTGCACGGTGCCTTGGTACATGATGAGACTGTAAATTCGTGACAAAGGACGACTACAAATCACAGTCTTCTCATCTGCGTACTCTGTAATGTAGCTTTCCGATACGGAAAGTGTCCTTAGAGTAGCTCTGGACTCATTGAACGGTGAAGCTTTCGACACTTGATACTCAAATGATATGGCACTCGTCTTTGAGACTTTGCCATTATTTCTTAGCGCCATTTCCAGTGTTTTCTCATGATATTCATTAATGTGCATCCCATAAGCTTTCATAACTTTCCCAATAGCTTGTGCAAGTTCAGTACGTCTTGGGACTATAAAGAGACTCGAATTGTCCGAGTGATTTAACGAAATTGCTTCATCGTTGTCATAAATTAAATCAATAGAGACCAAACTAGTGTAGGAAATGTGACTCATTACGTCGCCATCCATGTCTTTCTGATAAATGCCGTCTGGTCGAATCTCCAAGACGCAAGTAATTTGCATCCTACTCTTAAGATATTTCAGGCCTTGAAACGTGTGCATCTGTAGTTCCGTAGGTGTTACATGAGTCGGCATCTTGGCATAATGCTGACTACGTAGACGCAGAAGACACACAAGTACATCCATACGAAAAGAACAACGGTAGACCGTCTTCTTGACACGATGACGTGGTGTATAAATCACAAAATCAGTCTCTCCTTCCAGTACATTCGCACTCTCCACGTCTTCATATGGCCACGTATTCGTCACCTGTTGATTCTCCCGGTCCAGCGTTGAGAATGAATATTCACCAAAGCAAAGCACACGCTCTTTTACTACAAAACTGCCAACTTTGTGCACCATAAACCGCACTTCAACACGCTTCTTCGTCTCCATGCTAGACGAATTTCCCTTTGTTTTCTTTACTCTTTTCCGCCTTGAAATGTGAATTCAAGAGTGATGGTCATTTGGCTTCAAGGTGGCATAGGGAAGATACAAAAGGTCGTAGTGATATGAATACGCAATCATTCCATGCATTTGTTGCAACAAATGCAAACTGATTCGTGCAAACTACTCGTTTCTTTTTGACCAATGAAATACTGTATATCTTGTGAGGCTCTAAGCGCCTCCCCTCATCATTTATAGCAGAAACGCGCTCAAGAGGTTGTTTGTGCCGCTGCTTATTACCTACCACCTTGTTCAATAATGCTCTTGTCGTCGTCGTCCTCATCATCATCGTTTAAGCTCGTAAAACGTGCATCGCGCTCGCTATTTTCCAAGGCAAGTGCTATGCCAAGTGTGGCGTTGAGTGAAGAGTTTCCAGCTGTACCCAAGTTGCAGCCAATGCCCGTAGCCGCTCCGAAACTTACGTCATCGACGGTCTCGTCGGGTCTGGTACTGGGCTCGGACGACCACGCCGCATCTGTAGCCACCATTGGCGTGCAGCTTAACACGGGTGCGCGTGATGAGACCGAGGAGACGGCTGGCGTGTCACAGCTGTTTGCCAAGATGGCGTTTCGTGCCACGCAAAGCCGTTCGGACCTGCGTTTGTACAGGGACATTGAGGCTATTGGCGGTGTGGTATACGCTCAAGCTGGCCGTGAATTTGTGCGCTATAGTATCAGCGTCTTGCCTGATCAGCTGGAGGCAGCTGCCGAGATTTTGGCCGAGACAACTCTGGCTCCTAAGTTTGCGCTTTACGACGTGGACGAGCAGAAGAAGATTGTACAGGCTGAGTTTGATAAAATTGCAGAGGACCACCATGCGTCGCTGCTGGAAAGCGTGCACGCCGCTGCGTTCTATGATGACGTATCCTTGGGTCGTCCGCTCGCATCCGTAGACAACCTCAACGCCTTCAGTCCCGAAACGCTGTGGACATACTACGATACGTATGTGAATACGTCTAATGCAGCTCTAGTGGGTGCCGGCTTGCGTCATAATACACTCACGGACTTGGCTAACCAGTACTTTGGCTCGTTTGTTAACGGCAATAAGGCTGCAAGGTCTACGGCCAAATATGTGGGTGGAGAGAATCGCATTAAGAAGACGGCTAAGTTTACACACGTTGCTCTAGCACTGCCCACGGTAGGCCGTGACTCTGCCGATTACGGCGCGTCGCAGGTGCTGCGCGCGTTGCTGAGTGTGCGGCTCAACAACAAGAAGGCCTCGGCCTTCCTGTCGAGCTACAGTGACGCGGGTATGGTGGGTCTATCAGGTTATTCCGTCCCCTCGGAGGCTGGCGCGCTTGTGGATTCGTTTGCTGCTGAGCTAAAAAAAGCCGCTTCGGCCCCGGCTACTAAGGAAGAGCTGGCTGCCGCTACGACTACAGCGGCCCTTGAGGCCCTAGAACACTACAGCACGCAAGCAGGTGCTCTGGGCCGCGTTGGCTTGATTGCCACCACTGGCTTCGTGTCCAAGTCGCCGTCAGCGCTCGTTGAGGGCGTCACCGCTGCTAAGTTGCAGGAGCTAGCTCAGAAGGCACTGAAGGCGACGCCTTCTATTGCTGCCATTGGCAAGTTGTCAGCCGTTCCCCACGTTGACGTGATTGCCAGCAAGCTGCAGTAGATGCTACCGATGATTGATCAGAGTGAGGTACTTACATCAGTTTAACAGCCGACGCTTTTTTGGTGAGACACGTTGAAGTGACCTAGGAGTGAGTACGGATGAACATGAGCATTGATGCAACGGAGTACGCGGTAGAATCCTCGGTTCAGGAAGGGGAAAGAAATACAGCGTGAGTGAGATGAAGAAATCTGCCGCTATACTACGCAGTCAACCTAACGCCAACGCATGCGAAAAGCGCATTAAATACAAGGAAAAAGAACCAACTTGAACGACAATGCTGGTGAGTCAAAGCTGTTTGGTTGAATTGCTTCAGTCCTTTATGATTCGGCAAAGGCTGCAGCACAATTTGAGCATCGAAGCAAAGCGACCTTGCTATGTGGGGTGGATGGGTGGTATCTTACTTGAAATGATGTTAGTGGACAAGCAAGATGTCCAAATTCACATGGTATGCCTTCTTCCAGCCATGGAATGACAACAGCACAGTCAGCTTGACATCTGCCTGTTACGGTGTCCAAAGTCGCCAAAAAGCACATCCTGAAACAGCTTTACAATGGCCTTTGCTCAACGTCAATGCATTCAGCCTTCCTTCTGTATACGATGTCCATACCATCAACGCGTGCTCGGCGAGAGTGGGGGTCATTTTATTGGTTGGCAAAACATCTAGATAGCTCCGTTGACACGTAACTGAACCCGCATACTGCAAAACAACGCGAAAAGCAGCGTCATCCTCAGTATGATGTTGTCATCAGAGGATGTAGATCATGTTGCAGCATCGTCGTTAGTGTAGTCACCGCCAGCATTCCTTGCTATCGTTGCAAATTAGCCTCCCCAGGTCTAGCAAATGAGCGCTTAGGACGATGATTGCAACATTTTTAAACACTGTAATACCGGGGCAAAGCAATGAAGCACTTGCGCTGTCAGACATCATCGTGCAATCCGTCGTTCCACGAAGCCAAAGACAATGATCGTGATGAGGTACTTCTCTGCGCTAGGAGCCATTACGTTTCCATGTCCGTCCTCTGAGCTTACAATCGTCGGCATCTATTAGCCTCGGTGGGAAAATAACGCTTATTCTTCTAATCCTTTAGGTAACTCGTTTCGTCAGCTGGCCACAGCGCCCCCCAGTGCGCCTTACGCGATGCACGATACACCTCACGAACAGCCTTACCCTTTGTAACACTGCGACGCTCCAGTTTTCCCTACAAAATTAAAAGACAGACGTGTGAGTAAAAAGTTCGGTTCACATGTACAATAAGAGTTGGCAAACATCCTACATCCGGAGTGCACAAGTCAAGATGCACGTGGCGTGTAGCAAGCAGAGGAGCTCGGACCATGCGCGCAATCGGCTTCTTCTTCTTAGCAGCTGCTTCTTCATCGCTTCCCTTAAAGGTTTTCTGCATAATCACATAGGAGAACTTCGAGCCTTTTTGGCCGTGCCAACGCTTTGTTGTGGCATCCCGAGGTCGGTTCACTACAGGCGAGCGTTGCACAAAGTGGCACCACATGCTTCCTGCTACTGGACACTGTAAGGATCATACAAAATCATTAGTTTTGGGCAATACAGCAACAATGCATGATGTTTCAAACGACATTGCCTCGAAGTGATGCGGACACGGTGCAATAATGCGGACGCCTTCGCCTCCGTCCTTGTCCTCCGCCACCGAATCAAGCACGAACTGACGAGCCGATCGCACTTGATGTGATCCCCATGGGCTGCCACGATCCACGATAATCAAACATCCATTCTCACTTAATAGTTCCCACAACGCTGAGATTATCGCCACACGCTCAAAGTCATTAGTAATATCAGAAAATGCATAGCTCACAACAACCAGGTCGTACTTGATCCCAGCATCGATATCTCTCGACATGTCGGCGATACTGCGACGCATACTAAGACCAGGAAAGTCTTCCAACAGCACTTCCGCCGCGTCAATCATAGACTGACTGGGCTCTACGACGCGATATTTGTCCAGTGATTTTTCATAAAATTCCTTGGCCACCCACGATGCTGTACCAGGGCCAGCACCAAAGTCCAGCACCGATTTTGGCTGAAAGTTCGGTAGCCGTTTTTGCAGCTCCGTGAACACAGCGTGACTGCAGGCATACATTGCCTCCATCTCAAAAGACAGATAAGCCAATGTTTCGGAAGGTCCGTACGCAAAGGGTGGAATCTGTTGCGTGCGGTCCATAGACCATCCTATCGGTATTTTACTCATGTCAAGAGGCAACTGACGTGTGTTCTTACGGTCGCCCACGTGTTTCTGACGTAGCGTCTCCAGCTGCGAGTGCGTGCGGTCACGCAAAACACGCGTCAAACGATCCAGCATCCCCTTTGGCATCTCCACGCGTTGTGCCAGTCCATTGCGTGAGAGCTGTTCGATGTCCGCGACGAGTAACGGCGCGCGTGGGTCTATAGTAGAAGACTTGTCAATGGCGGCAGTTTTACGCAAACGCCGAGCGCGACGATTGGCAGCAGGGGAAGAGAAGGTAGCATAAACTACTTTAGTACTGGTGACAAGTGATAGACGAGTAGCTGACGTGGCAAACAAGCCACGTGCAGTTAATAGCCGCAGCATGGATGTGAGATTGGTGGTCGTGACTATGGTTTGCTCTTTTGTAATTTTTGATTTGACAAGTTATTTCACAATATTACATTTCAGCTAAGTACGATCTAGTTTTGCGTTAGAGATGTTGCTTGAACGTTGCGTGCCATTATTGACTGATAAAAAATTGACACTTGGCGGTCTTGGCAAACGTATCGTAGCTACTCATATCATCGGTTCAACTATTGTTAAAGCCTGTTTATAACATCTTTTGGAGTGAGACGAGGGTGGCAGTAGCTACGGAGTTTGCGTTTCGTTTGCACTTGGCGTTTCATCCCTGAGGAGCTTATTCTTATGCCACCTACCTCCATGGGTTCAAATTCTTGACGAGATGGACGCATTATGTAAATGTACTAAAAAAAACGACACCTGGTAATGCGAGCGAGCAGACGTGAAGTATCATGTCCTGCCATTCGTGTAAACCAAGCGTAATCAATCACAAACTAGATGCAGAATCACATACATTTTTTAACAAAACCTTCCAAGCAAAATAGAGTGTGTATGACGAGCAGAACTTGCAGTAGTAATTGATACGTGCAACACAGTAAGCATTGCGTTTACTCATTAATATTCACAAAATAGCGGCGCAGCCCTTTCGTCCTTGGAAATAACGAGCAGGCTGTCGCTCCAGCATGTAGCTTGGTTTTTGATAACAAAATTCATATATCTTCATCACACGTGCCTGCTTGAGATGATACGTTACTTATAAGTATTACTGAAATCACCTTTTTTGCCATTGTGTAAACTACTGCCGAGAACAAGCTGACGTCCTACTGTTTGTGAAGATGGAAAGATTTATCTGGCGCCTACCCCCCCCCCCCCTGAATGAGGTATGCGTCCGGCGTGACACGAGTCTTACGTGGCGTGACACATAAGTCTTCCTTGGGCGTAACGATCCCAATGACCCTCCAGCAAAAAAAAGGTGCCCAGTGTTTGAAGGCCCCGTGTGCACAGGCGCGGCGGCAGCAGCACTTAGCATTAGCTGCATACAGTGTCTCAGAACAAGAGCGCGGCCACGTGGTGTTGTAATAATTCGCGTAATTTCTACTAACTGATACATGTGCGTACACTCGTAAGCCATGGTGGGCACACCATACTACGGTCCACCCAATAACGCTTTCTGCACACCAATGCCCTTCTCTTGCATTGGGGAGACCGGACGGTATGAGCTGAGTTCGTCATCACCAAGATTGCTGAGGTCACAACAGACATGACAAGAGCTAAATGAACATGCCACACGTTGCACAACGGACGGCTATGCCACCGCTGACGGCAATAGGTTACACTAACCATCATGCTTGGTGTGTGCCAACGATACGGACCTGCGGATCCCGTCGCAGATCCTACGAGTTGGCGCACCTCCATCCTGGTTGCTGCTTTGCAGTTTACACTGATCGTTCACGAAAACAGCTGATGTACAAAGTCCTAACGCTATGCGATACACTAGCGGGACTCTTCGACCATCTCATCGCGTCAGCATCAAGCCGGCGAGCTATTGCTGCTGGCTGTTTCTGATTACCGTGCTCACGAGGCCCTGATGACACGTTGAGTGCAAGTCGCGCAGTGTATTAGCAAGCGGAATGCAAGTACGCTTGAAGAACGCGCACGAATTTTTTACGTCTTGAATAAGGATTTTGAGACAAGGAGTCCTATCGTGCAGGAGCATCGCTGCTGTTATCCAGCAAGCCGTTCACATCGTCGATGAGCAGATCCGGTTTGCAATTTTACAAGGGTGCATGTAAAGTGCGTAATCTGCAAGATTCTATTCAAACTTACACACTGCTAAAAAATCCTGTGAAACCCTACGGTCCTGTGAGAACAATTAGAAGAGAAAGTTTGGCATGTGCTAACCACAGCGTAAAGGTTCGCGATTGGTTCATCGCTGTCTGCTCTCTTGTCATGCATCAGCAGACCAGAAAACGTTCTGTAGATGGGCTTGCGACACGCAAAGGGGTCCGCGTCGACTGTGCACAAAGAAGTCGTGACTTTGCGACTGCATCGTCACCGCGTGATTGGACGAGCGACCCACGAGGCTGCAGCGGATTGCTCCGGTAATATAGGTGGCAATGCAACTGGTATATATAGAACAAATATAGGCTTGTAATTATGTATTTGTAGCTGACTTGGTTAAAGATACTATGATAATCACTATATCCGTGAGACTTGTCTCAAGAAGCAGCCAGTGCTTTCTTCCAGAGTGCTTACACAATTGGACACAATGCAGGTGCTCCCCTAGCCACCGCGGCTGCCCTTTTTTTCCCATCTGTGCATAGCTGATGCGTCTTGTCTGCAGGAGCGAGGGGGGGAGAGGAGGGGTGCTTGTGTTGGAGCGAGTGGTCGTCCTGCGCTTACCATTGCTTACCATTGTGTTTCCTACCAGCCCGTTGGTACTCCTCGCTCCGTCTTTGGTGCCCGTCTCCGTTTCAAGTATTTTTTCTACTGAAGTTTGGTACTTCATTTTATGGCCTTTGTGTCCTCAACATCCCACTCAACACCAAGCACAGCCACCATGCAACCGCAAGATTCAAGCACTTCATTTGGCACCTCGCAGGCTTTTAACTACGATACGGGTGCCTATCAGCAATATACGCAAGAACGTGCGCTGCATGACCAAGCTCTACACAACTCTATGATTACGAGCGGCTCATCAGCCTCCAAGTGTGTGACTTCATCGGCTCCGCCCACGCAAACTAAAGAGCTCGTTGCTTCCACCAGTACACGACCCAAGATTGAGGCCTTGTCCGCTGGCACGTCTCCTACCAGCGTTACCAAGGTGCAGGGCTCACTGTCCTCTTCTACAGCAGTTAAGATGTCGTCTTCCCCTTGTCGCAATGAGACGCTCAAGTCCAATCGACTCTGTACCATGCCTGGCTGTACCAAGCGCGTACGCTCTAAGGGTCTTTGTAAAGCTCATGGCGGTGGCCGCCGCTGCATGGTTGACGGCTGTGAACGCAGCAGCCAGGGTCAGGGTCTCTGTATCCGCCACGGCGGTGGCAAGCGCTGCACACAGGCTGGCTGTACGAAGGCGTCCCAGTCTAACGGACTATGCAAGGCGCATGGCGGTGGCCTGCGCTGTCAGAGTCCTGGCTGTACAAAGAGCAGTCAAGGTGGAGGTTTTTGTCGTGCGCACGGCGGTGGTCAGCGCTGTGAAAAAGAAGGATGTAATAAAGGTGCTCAACGTGGCGGCTTTTGTGCTGGTCATGGCGGCAGTCGTTTCTGCCAGCATCCAGACTGTACTAAGAACGACCGCGGAGGAGGTTTCTGCGCCGAACATGGCGGAGGCAAGCGCTGTGATCATGCTGGATGCAACAAACCTGCGCGGAAGAAAGGCAAGTGCTCGTACCATGCGAATGCTGCAAAGGGCAAATTGCCGAAGGATCAGCTAGCTACGGCTGGAGTGGGTGGGGCTTCCTTGCCACAGCACATGATGGACATGCGACAGATCACGACGCCGACGTTTGCGATGGGTGTGAAGGATTTGCATGATGCGCACGTAGTTGGCCAGGCTGACGCGCAGCGTGCCGCTTATGTACAGCAGCAGCGTCTTGAAATGGATATGCGCTACAAGGGCTACGACGGTGCCAATGCCGGTCAGTACTTGCAGATCCATGCCGACCAGAGGTCCTACGAACCCATTAGCCTGCAGGCTGGCGGCGCCGGTCGTCACTACATGTCTGGAGACAACAGCGCGCTGCCGCCTGTGTCTGGCAGCATGTACAAGCCCTCTGCCGGGATGGACCGTCAAGCATACGCACCGCGCGGTGTGCAGGAGCAAGTGAAGAACCCGTACTCGCAGCACTGGGCGACAAAGCCACAAATGCCGCAACATCATTCGGACGCGAGGGTTGATTATTTTGATGTGAAGGAGCAGCAACAACAGCCACAGCAACCTGGCCATCACCACGTGTACTCTGCACCGTCATCACAGTACCACCACCACCTTAGCGCAGCAGACTCAGCCGCCGCTGCTGCAGCTTATGGTCAGCAACATCAGCACCCGCGCGCATACTACAGCCAGCAGCCACCAGCAGCCGCTAGCAGCTCTGGTGACCAGTCAGCCTCCCAGCAACAGAATATGATGTATTATTCAGCGAATGGATACTCGCAGCATCGGATGCACAGCATGCAGCAGCAACAGCAGATGCAGATGTTATGAGTGTAGCAATGTCACCGTGTAGTTGCTGAACGAGTCTGCCCCTTGTACGTCGCACATTATGAGATGATGCAGACAAAGCTAGTGCAAGCTCGCTGCTTGTTTTGCTGTAATAGAGATAGAAACAATCTGTAATGGACTGGAGTGTCCTTGTGCTCGAGGAAGCGTCAGAGAAGTGTCTTATGCCGTCGGATGGGAAACATATTCTATTTACCGAACCAGTTTCAATCCAGCTCAAGGCAGATCTAGCATTCGCATAATCTACATCAATCAACACGTTTGTTTTGAAACACATGTGCGTTTGTCCTTGCACCTTGCGTGCCTGACACAACTGACATCTTGGTGTCTTACAGGTGTAAAAGCCTGCAAGCAGTTATACTCCCCTTCTCTTGCTTGTACAAGCTCAGACACTTTCGGTGAGAGGCAAGTGTTTTGACGGGACAGCCGTCAACGTGTTACGTACAGAGGGAGCAAAGCTACCACATTGTTCTAATAATGGTCACGCGTAAACATCCTCCGAGTTATTCCGACTGAACTTGTCGGCGTGGAAACTGGTCGCGTCGAGTCGGCTCGTCTTCGCTCCAAGCATTAGCTTCATGAGGCGTCTTCTACTAGGCCTGTCAGCAGCAGTGGGTCCTCGCACATCTTCTCACTTGGTGTCGCGTGTGGCGCCGCTCCGTCTGGACTCCAGCTTGGCCTGCAAATAGGTACCAATGACCGACAGCTGCAGCGATCCGGGAGACAAAGCTCGCGGTAACACGGATTCGTTGTTGTCATACAAGGCTACACAAAAGCTGCCCTTGCCTGCAAAAAAACGATAGCACACGACGAGTTCGTGTTCTATGCCCGCATATATCTCTAGCAATTGCGCATCCTTTCGCTTCATATCCGGCTCATAATTGTGCAAGATTTGCTCCACTTTCATCCTGTAGCTCCTCCTTGTGTCTTGCCGGTTGTCGTCGGTTACGAGGCTATAGGCATCTGGGCATGTGGGCACATACTGACGGTTTTGCATGGAGAAATCGTTGATGCCTCTTAACATGTTTGTTTATTCGTAAGTATATTGATTGGTTCACGCTATAAATTAACTTAAGAGGTGTCGTGCGTACTGCTAGAAACAATGGGGTTTTCAATTTGGGCGTCAATCTTCCTCTAGATTTCTCAATCTTGAAGCGATGTAGTGGAAGACCCATTTGTTGAAGATCTGAGGAGATTGATCACATGCTTGTTATTGCAAACATCGTATTGAAGATAGTAGCGTAGTTGTCAGCAAGAACCTGATCGCGATAACGAACAACGATGCGTTTTGACCTAGAGTATCTCTTTAAGCATCTCGTACGTCTTTGTCTACCATCTTGACGCTTATCGTCCAATTTGTGTTTCTAGCTGCTATAAACTCGGCAAAAAACCTGCCACTTGTTTCTCTTCTTGCGTTTACGTATCTGCAAGATTTCTCAGCAATCGGAACTTTCTTCTACTGCTCGATGTTTTGTGACAACGGAGTGACTGCAACGAATATGCTTTCTCAAGCTATCAGTCGCGGCGCTAGCTTAAAAGCTGTCGCTGACGAAGCACGACACCTGTGCTTCTTATTAAATGACTGAATGAAAGTAAAGTGCCGGCGTAATCTACTAGATATTATCACTGGCTTGGGTGGCACGAAGTAACGTCAAGTGTTTCCAGACGAAGTAACGTTCGGAAGCACTCGGTCAATGTAGTGATACCGGTTTGCATACCTTCGTCATGCTTAGGTAAAGATGGATGCGTCACGTGGGCAAAGTCGATGAGACGAATGTCAGCTTTGTACGCTTCTGAGGTGAGCTTAGCTTCTTCCACAGACTCCACGCCGTCATAGAGGAAGAGGAAAGAGCTGGCGATGAACATCGTCCCCTGCTGGTCGTCAAACCACGTCTTCAGCTGGTCGAGACGCCGCAAAAACTACTTGCACAGAAAAAACATAAGACAAGAATCTTCAGTGCAAAGCAAAATTCTACTTCCGGTAGACACATCAGCAAGCTTACCGCTTCCAATAGCTTGATGGTTTTTATCGTGTCTTGAACGGGAAAGTAGCGTCGGAACGCTAAAGCAAGTTCGTCCACAGATGTAATAGCACGGCCAAAAACCTTGTCAAATTCAACGTAGCTTTGCCGCTGTGGGTCAAACACTTTGATGCCTTGAATACGTAGCCCAACCGTCTCTTGCAACGGAAATTTCGACTTCTCGAACGCGATCTTCTCGGCTGACGCATCCTCTTCGTACGAGCGCGTGCCCATCTTGACGTCCATAATACATGGCCATTGTCTGCCCCACGTCAAGTCTTCTAATACTAAACATTCTGCACGCAAAGAACAAATTGTAATAAGACTGTCAAGTAACGTAACAGCGCCCAGCAGTTTCAATTCGCACCTCCATTGACAAACGTCATTTCCTCCTCCTTATCTTCAGCTTGTGGGGCAACTATCGTGCCATAATACGTCGGTAGAAACCTCATGAGAGCTGCAAACTCGGTCGATTCTTTCTCTGATACAAACACACGTTCGTAGAAATCGCGCTCTCGTTCACCTCGCTGTTTGTTCTGAAAAGGTTTTAAAATGCGGCCATTGAGAGCTTTTAAACCTGAAACATACAACACCAAGAAAGTGCTTAGTATCGATACAAAGACCTAACAACAATCAAATGCTTCAAGCTGTAAAGAGATTCAAATGTACTTGTCTTAGCTGTTGAGTGGCCACCAACTTGATGCACAAAGCCCTGTATCTCTGTCATTTTTGCGTTTTTATGCATAATGAATGTAGATGAATTAGTGAGACGACGAATCAGATTATTGACTAACAAAATTCTAAGACTGCTACTGTCACAAAACAGAATAAGAAAAGTCGGTGCATGTATAAATAAATACCTGTCAGTGACAAGTATTCATACGCATTCATTCGCGAGAAAGTGTTTCATATATAGTTGAATTTACTGCCTCCTTAAGACATAATCTAAGCTGAGAATTTGACTCAAAAATAGATGGAATGACGGTCCTGAATAGGACAATAGCATAATGAAAAGATAACGGTGTGTTGTGTGGTGGACTGCCGTTTATTTGGCCAGAAATTAGTCCGAGAAAAATACCTCATGAAATAATCTGATGGAAAGCTATTGATCGTCGTCATAATATAAGTCAATTCTCACTATAACGTCGGTATAAAAAGTATCGTTCTGTACTAAAATATGTGATTTATGTCGACAACTTCTTCCATAATGGTGACAATCCGTCGTTTGTCCAATCTCGTCACAGTCGTAACCCCAACCAACTAGTACTTGCGTTTTGTTTTGACCCACAACCCTTCTCTATTATTCTCGATGTCATGCCATCCGTCCTCTCGTCTGACTTATCATTGTCACATTTCCTCTCACTTACGAACAGTTGAAGACGAAGAAGAATCAGAAGAATCAGAAATAAACAATGCGGTCTGTCCATGCATTGCTACTGAGTCTAGTGGCTGCTTCGACCGTCTCGAGTGCTGAGCTTGAGATGCGTCACAGTCCGGACATGACGGATGATCAGATGATCGGTGGGATTGAAGAAAATGAGAAGGAGAATGATGAAATCGTCAGTCTCATGACGGCGCTGAGCGAGCAATTTCAGCGCTCGAGTGAGATGTTGCAGAGCTTTTTCCACTTGAACGATGTGGATGATGCCGTCCGTATCGTGGTGATTGAACAGAAGGAGCAGGATCCAGCACGGGATAGGAAGATGGCGTGTTTAAAGGCAGTGGAGAAGATTCACGAGGACGAGGAGCTGGAGCAAGAGACGATGACGTTTATGACGTACATTCGCTCGACATTTGATAAGATGTCACTCCAGGTATGGGGTGGAGCGTCATGCGAAGACCTCGATCGTCCTGAGCTGGTGGAACAGGTAAGACAAACTTATTATTGGACTAATAACTGAGATATTAGGGACGGGATACTAAATGTTGTGTTGATGATGGAATGATAGTGTAACCTTGTGCTGAAGTCAGAAGATGTGGTGCAAAAGTACCTGCTTGAAGGCAAGACAGACGACCAAGTGTGCGACATCATTTCCACCGTTACAGACTTGGATGCTACGGACGATTTTCCCTGCCATTTGTGTCAGAGATTTGTGCAGATGGTCGACCGTGCAGATTTCACAAGACATGCAACAGGTGGAGCAAGTCCGAGAGATTATTGGAGACGTGTGTGATGCCATGCCGGCTGACTCGATGTGTCACACAGTTCTTAAGAACTACGATGCAATTGTGGATTGGGTGAAGCACGGCACAGATTCGCTCGTAGTTTGCTCACGTCTCGCCATATGCTCCGCGGATAGCGACGATGGCAGTAAGATTCCAGGCTTGGATTCTGAAGAGCCCCTAGCAGCGGAAGATGGAGCTCTAGCTACAGCTGACTTGAACAAGCAGGAACAATCGTGCTTCTTTTGCACCCATGTGACCGGAGTGATTTATGAAGTGAACATCCTTTTCCCTGATCAGCTTCCGATTCTCACGTCTCTATTTGCAAGTGTGTGCGAGATGACTGCAGCAGTGTCCAAGTGTCAAGAAGCGAAGGCTAACTTTGACCGCATCGTGGATTTGGTCCAATTAGGCCAGCAACCTCGTGAAGTCTGTGTGAACGCCGATTTTTGCTCAAAGGTAGCTTCGCTTGATATAACTCACATGCATGGCAACGACAAGGCGTGCGTGTATTGCGACGCAGCCACTACTGTCGTGGAGGTCATTTTGCAAGAAGCTCCGGAGGAGATTAATCAGATTCGTGAGTACGCTGACATGATCTGCAATATACTGGGAGAAGATAGTCCGTGTCATGAGTATGTAAGTCAAATGGACACGGTTATTGACTCCCTGAATAAAGGATCTCACCCTCGCGACATCTGTAAGATGCTGAAGTACTGCTCGGCCGAGCGTGAGGACGATCCTTCATCTCAGCTAACTGAAAGATCTCGCGTCGGTATGATGCGGAATGGTCGTGTTGGAAATCATCCTCGTGGGAGTATGAATGAACAAGGTGGTCGTCATGGGCGCGTTGGTAACGGTATGCAAGACGAGACGGCTGTGATGCAAGCTGACGAGCGCCCAGCACATCCTGTTCACCCTCACCATGGTAGCTGTGGCTTTTGTTCGCGAGTAGCAACTGTGATCCACCAGGTGAACCAGAAGTCTCCAGAAAAACTGTCGATTGTAAAGACGATTTTATCAAACGTGTGTCAGCTGGTGCCTTCCAAGTTTAAATGCGATGTGGTAGACAAGAATTTCGACAAGATTGTGGAAATGGAGAAGGAAGGCAAGCATCCGCACGAGATCTGTAAATTGCTTGGACTTTGTGACAACATGCACGACGGGGAGGAACATGTGCCTTTTGTCACTGCTGATGTAAAGGATATCACTGTGGGTTCCGATTGGCGTCCGGAAAATGAGACTGAGTGCACGTACTGCCAATTTGCTACAACTGTGGCCAAAATTGCAGTTGAGCAGTATGGCGCAGATATCCGTGAAGTCCGCGCATATGCTGATATGATTTGTGATATGCTGAGTAAAGACAACCCCTGCCACATTTACGTGAAGCAGTTTGATTTTGTGATTGATTCAATCACTAAGGGCATGAGCTCGAAGGCAATTTGTGTGGGATTAAAGTTCTGCATTGCGACTAATGCCAATGATAAAGGGAATACTGCGTCATCGGGTTTATCATTTACATCGCCGATCAGCGATCGCACAGCTCATGATGCGATCCTGTTGCGACAGGTAAATGATGCGATGAAAGCGTCGATTGACGGTTGTTTCTTTTGCACCCAAGCGGCATCTGTAATTGAGGTAGCTGTGGCTGCAGATTCCAGCAAGATTGCACAGATTCGACAAATTGCCGACGTCGTTTGCATAATGCTCCCGAGTGAGAGCCAGGTAGGGCTAGTGATCGAATTGATATTTGATGCTATAGTTGCGCTGATGTTGTGTGCTTACATGTTTTCCAGTGCCAATCATTTATGGAGAAGTTCGATACTGTGATCGATTCTCTACGGAAGGGGAAGCAGATAAAGGCTATTTGCCACGACTTGCAGTACTGTACGGCGGATGCCATGGCTACGGTTGTGGTACCTGACATGATTGCTGTCCAGAACCATGACAAGGGAAGCGGCACATGCGCTTATTGCAATGGCATTGTTACGGTGCTTCACTATGCACTAGACCAAGAGTCAGACCAAGTCAAGGCAATGCGTGAAGCTGTTGGTACCTTCTGTGAGCTTCTTCCTACTGATGATGCGGTGAGTGAATCTGCTATTTTTTTGTTTTCACTGATTTCAATCTAACTAAAATTGTTGCGTATGAATGTAATCATGATAGTGTCACAATGGTCTTACTACGTTTGACGAAGTAGTGTCTGATCTGCTGTCTCGTAAGGAACCTGCAGCGATCTGCCAGAGGCTAAGCCTCTGCGCATCAGCCGGCGCTCGCAGCGATTTGTTGTCAGGTTTGCTTGATTTCACCGGTGGAGATTTTCTACCTAAGAGGTGCACGACTTGCCAGCAAAATACGTTGTTGCTCGCATCGGTGATTACGCGCCCGGACAGTTTGGTCACTTTCGAGGACGAAATCAGTTCGGTATGCCGCTTGATCCCGGAATCCAGCGAGGTAAGTTTTTGTTATAATTGCTGCGTGGAACTGAGTCGTGCCTCACAGTTTTGTGTACAATGTAACTAGTGCGAGCTGCTGATGAAGCATTACGATGTGATCATTGATTTGCTGAAGAAAAAGGAAGATGCGGAGACTATTTGCACGCGAATTGGCGAGTGCGTCCCCGCCGATGAGGAAGTGCAGGAAGAGAAGTCAATGCCCGTCAGCTGTTTGTTCTGCGAGCTCACTGCTGACGTCTTGGAGCATGCTAAGGACAGTGAAAAGGTTTTGCGCGAGGCGAAGGCGACGCTCGAAACAATGTGCACTGTATTGCCACCGCTTGCGCGCTGCGATGTTCTTAGCTCGAAGTTTGATGATCTGTTATCGCTAATGCGCGATGGCAACAGCCCGAGCGAAGCATGCCACGCTCTTGCCTTGTGCGACGCGGAATTTGTGTTCTTGCCAACGTCGGACATGCAGGAGGACCCCATCGTGCAAGCTTTTGAGAAAGGGCGGCAGAGCATGAGCAAGACGATGGCAATCGAGTAACGAGAGTATCTCTTTCTGTCGTTGTGCAAAGGAGTGGACACGAAGCCGACGACTGCTTGTTGACGTTGTTCTGTTCAGCATTCTTCAGACCTCTCAACTGTTAACATTAACAAAGTTGTAGTGTTTTGCAATGAATCTATGAAGTAACATGCTCATTTTTATGATGTCTAGGTTTGCATGTTTACCAGACGTTTATGGTGAAGTAAAAAGTGGTCAAAAGTGTCACTACTATTGATGACACTACTGTAGAGCTTTTGTCGTAGCTTTTGCTCCTACTACTACCAAAAGAGACTCATTCCGTAATACACTTTTGATGACCCCATGTTCGGAAGACGTATCCTTAATTGTCTTCAGCGTTGTTGCATTATACAATATGTACAGTTATGGAATTGCCATCAACAATATAACAATGCCGTAAGAATATTAGACTGCTACGACTGCTATCGTCGTAACAAGTAATCTTTTATTCCATCGACCTCTCATGAGAGGATTAGCATCTTACTATTATGAATCGATACAACGCTGTCTACGTTCCATATGTAGATAAGAATTTTTACCAACTAAAGTCGAAGAGGATGGTTTCGTAAGCCCATATTTCACTTCCAGAGATGCGACAGGTCGAGATTGTGCATTGATGTCACGTAATCCAGTTCTCTCACGTAAATCTATCCGATATATATGTTGGGTCATGGTTGGCTTGCAACTCGATCACGGGCTATCCGCTGAGCACATGGTGAGACGCGAGCATACATCAAGGGGCTCAACACCGATTAGTACCCATCTCAAAATGGCATCGAAATTGTCAGGAAACGCGCGGCACAACGAGTCGGCAGGCTTGCACAAATCGCCGACAATCTCTTGGACATGCTCCACCTGCTGCACGTCCTGTGAAATCGCACGGTCGACCATCTGCACAAATCTCTGACACAAATGGCAGGGAAAATCGTCCGTAGCATCCAAGTCTGTAACGGTGGAAATGATGTCGCACACTTGGTCGTCTGTCTTGCCTTCAAGCAGGTACTTCTGCACCACATCTTCTGACTTCAGCACAAGGTTACACTATCATTCCATCATCAACACAACATTTAGTATCCCGTCCCTAATATCTCAGTTATTAGTCCAATAATAAGTTTGTCTTACCTGTTCCACCAGCTCAGGACGATCGAGGTCTTCGCATGACGCTCCACCCCATACCTGGAGCGAGACTTTGTCAAAAGTCGAACGAATATACAACATAAGCGTCATCGTCTCTTGCTCCAGTTCCTCCTTCTCGTGGATCCTCTCCACGGCTTTTAAACACGCCGTCTTCCTATCCAGTGCTTCATCATTCGCCTGTTGCTCCATCGCCACGACACGGACAGCATCATCCATCGCGTTAAATCGAGCAGATTCTTTGTTAAGCGGAGCGGACTCATCGTTAACGGGAGCATATTCTTTGCTCAACGGAGTGGACTCTTTATTGAAAGGAGCAGACTCTTTGTTGAACGGAGTGAACTCGTCATTGAATCGTCCAGACTCTTCATTGTATCGTCCAGACTCGTCATTGTATCGTCCAGACTCTTCATTGTATCGTCCGGATTCTTCATTCAGTGGAGTGTAACGATCCAACTCATTATGGCCAGTGGTTGCAGCCAATTGTTTTAGGCGATATTGAAGCTGCAATTGCGTTTGCAACTCCACCAAGAGGCTAGCAAGTTCGGCGTTCTTATTCGTGGTATCTTGGGAAGAAGGCATCTCGCCATCCGTGGTACCCGCTGGACTGTAGCGTATGTTACTCTCACCACTTACCACGGCTGAAACGGCCGTCAGACTCAGTAGTAGTGCTTGTACAGATTTCATCGTTTGTCTTCTTCCTGTTGTTGGTCTTGTTGTTGCTCTCTTCTTCTCTTTGGCGTAGTAAACTCAATTATGACAAGAGAGACGTACGGCTTGCTCAAAGAGAAGGACGGATGGCATGAACCCAAAAGCTGATTTTTACAGTCAATTGATAAGTCTTTTCTCTGATGACTCGGCCGGAGAAAATGGAACAGCATTACGTGTGCGACGGAGTGACACCCCTATGGATCTCGTCCTAAGAAGGGAACCTGTAAAAATCACTGCTATATAGACAGAGACTCAAAATACCGTCGTCTATTGACGTAAGTATAATGACGTGAGTACAACGACGTCAAATGACGACAGTACTTTCCATGGAATGACAACATACAACAGACCAAAAACATTAAGACGGGTGAGACCACAAACGAGCGACGCTGTGAGCTAATTTGATTTGGAAACAGTTACATACGACGTGAAGCAAATCAGACAGGAATATAAGCGTAAAGCCAAATCCTTCTTTAACGTCTTGACCGTTGAAGATTGCATTACTATAATACAATCATCTAAGACGAACGTATGAAGCTGTTGAATAGTCTGTTTGTATTACTTATGCGAAAGTAAGGTTACCAACGTTGGTATTATCCCAGGGCTTTCGGTGACACGTTGCATGAAACACTTTTGGTAGGAGTGTGTATATACCATGAAATTAGTATCTGATGAATAGTACCCGGCATGCGGTTTAGTTGAAGCAAGTAGTGGTCATCGTGTATTGTAGTGGTCTGGACCGAATGTCCAATTTGAGTTGACTTTCTTGGACAGTGTGGCCCTGCTTTCCTTCAAATATCAAGTTCCCAGAGCACAAGTTTGTTGGAAAAATAGTTACCGTATAATGAGGGCAGCCTAGCCTTGGTGCTTGAATTCCTATGTCGCACTTTTCCAACAAACTTGTGCTCTGGGAACTTGATATTTGAAGTCAAGCTTGGATAAGACGCACGACTTGACTACGAAATGGCGATTCTGCTTTGTTAAAGCCAGAGGAGTTCCATGAAGGCGCGAATGGAGCTCTTTGGTTATGCACGTGATGTGGTGCAGGCACCATCGATATGTGTCGCGAGAAGCAGAGGGTGTCCACATAGAAGAGGAAGATAATGTCCGTCGCGTTGGAAGCGTACCACCCCGAAAAACAAAAAGGATGCAGCGATAGTAGTTTTTGTGGTGTTTTTAGATTACTCGAATGGCATGCACTTGCTGCCACAAGTGCTCATTGTAAGCTTTGTCGTATGCTAATCAGTATGTAGATCGTTAGAATCATTGTGCCTTATTCACAAAGCTTCCGATGCATTTCCATCACGTATGATGGTGGGAACCTTCGACATACTTCAAGCGCGTCAATGATTGCCTTGAAGTAGTGTCTAAGGTTCCCGTTATTATACTTGGTAGTCATGAAAGCAGATTTTTGGGGTAAAAGCAGCATTGGGTCCAGCAAAAAAATGATGGTGATACTTTGGTGAACCCGTTGGTTGCGTCGTTGGGTTCATGACCCGCAATCCACGGCGCGTCAATGGTTGCGCTTGAAGTAGTGTCTAAGGCTCCCGTCATCATACTTGGTATTCTATTTCAAAGAACATGAAAGCAGATTTTTGGGGTTAAAAGCAACATTGGGTCCAGCAAAAGGACGATGATGATGCTTTGATGCACACGTTGGTTGCTGCGTTGGGTTCATGACCCACAACCCACTGGCATTATCTACACTAACCTTCGGATATTTCTGGATCGTCTACAAAAGACTGATAAAATTGTGACGCGGTGCGACTGGGAATATTTTCATGAGCTTGACCAAGACTGGAGACTGACAATAGTGCTCGAAGCGTAAGACTACGACAAACGAAATCTAGCGGCAACAAGGTCAATGGAATGAATGACGCAGTTCGGTGGACCTGGAATGTAAAGTTTTCGGACGTAACAGGGGAATTGTATCGATGGCAAAATGAATATTCTAGTATCAAGGATGAATGCAAAAGCATTCCTTATGCAAAGAGATAATCGAATATCTCATCGGAATGTTACCACTTTGGAAGCCTTGCTTACGTACGATGAGGCTCTGAGGCGGGTCGATAATTAACGGCTGCGACAGAATAGTTGCGTTATCGAAATTGTGTTTCAGTTGATCAACAAACGGTGTTTCACAGAGTGCTTTACAAGAAACACACACTGCTTGGAAAACAAAAAGTTGAAATAATTTGTGGACGGATGTTTAGACCAAGCGCGTGCCCGGCGACGTACTACAGAAAAATGCGCGCTCGTTCCATTATCAAACGTAATTGTTTTGTGCTTTACAGCTCACAACTCAGTAATGCTGAATTTAACAAGCATACATTCCCGTAAACTAGACGTCTCGGGATGCTTGACAAGTGTGCACAAATAACATTTGCCTCCATTCTACAAGAAGAAAAAAGGGATAGATAATGCAGTAAATGATGTAAGAGCTTTTTTGTCGCAGGCGCTGCGATCAAAAGTCGATACTCAAGCCACTGTCACAGTTAAAAATCGATTTTATGACTGCATTCTAGCAACGCAGGTCTAAAACAGCATTACGAGCGCGAGAAACGCTTTGCATATAACACTGGCTCGTTTCTTTCACCAATCACTACTTGATCGTTTCACAGGTTTGCTGTTGGTGCACAAAGATGGTGTAAAAGACATAAATAAAACCAATCTTCGAAAACGTCACCTTCAGTCAACTTTTTCCGTTTTACCATGAAGCTGCTTAAGAAGCAGATCAATGAGAAGGATGGCGCCGGCTCAGTCGTGTTGCGTGCGGAGGAGCCCGAAGATATGTGGCATATTTATAATCTAGTTCATGTGAATGACTCAGTCAAAACTACGACAATTCGCAAGGCACGGGACATATTTGCATGACATATATGAAGATATTAGTTACACTCTTTTAATTTCGTATTTAAGGAAAAAGTGGCTTATAATGATGTGTGCAGGTGGTAAAAGAAGGTGTAACGGGATCTACGAGTAGCCAACGCGTGCGTATGACGCTGCAGATTGAAGTACGTTGCGTCTGCATCATTGCTTAATTGTTTACTTTATTATTGCAAATACTAAGAATTAAGTACTATGCAGGTAGAGCACTTGAACTTTGATCCAGTGCTTTGTGTTCTACGAATCAAGGGCAAAAATGTCATGGAAAGTCAATACGTTCGGGTACTAAATTGATACTTACATTACAAGCATGTGGAGCAAAGGTGACGGATTTGCCGTTTGTGTTAGATGGGAGCTTATCACACGTTGGATCTCGAAATGAACCGTGATTTCACATTGACAAAGAACTGCTGGGATGTCATGTCACTGGAACGTATTGATATGGCATGTGATATTGCCAAGAAAGCTGAGCTTGCAGCTGTGGTCATGCAAGTCGGTCTTGCACACTTGTGCTTAATAAAAGGTGATATGACTGTCATTCGAGCCAAGGTTGAGACAAGTGTACCGAAAAAACGCCCGGGGAGTTCGGCTCATGCGAAGGGCAGTGAGAAGTTTTACGAAAACATTGTGCGTTCTGTTCGACAGCATATTGACTTCAAGCTCGTAAAGTGCGTGCTGCTTGCTAGTCCAGGTTTCGTCAAAGACGACTTTTTCAAGTACATGATTGAGCAGGCCGTTCGACAGGATGATAAGCTCATTCTTGAAAACAAGTTCAAGTTTATACTGTGTCATTCCTCCTCTGGCCACAAGCACGCGCTTGACGAGGTTCTCAATGATCCAGCAATCCAGTCACAGGTTGCGGATACCAAAGCTGTGGAAGATGTTAAGTGCCTGGAGCGCTTTTTCAATACGCTGCACACCGACCAGGATCGCGCGTACTATGGTTACAACCACGTTGTGCGTGCCAATGCAAACATGGCTATTGAGACACTTATGATCACAGACACTCTTTTTCGGTCGCAGGATGTTGCCACACGTCGAAAATATGTTGACCTCGTGGAAAGCGTACGCGATAATGGTGGCACAGTGCGTCTATTCAGTAGTTTACACGTGTCAGGAGAGAAGTTAAGTCAAGTGAGTGGTCTTGCTGCCATTCTGCGTTTTCCGATGCCTGAAATTGATGAAGAGGATCCAGTCGACGATTCCGATTGTGAGGCTGAAGACGAAAACAAAGGCGACAATGGGGTGGGTGATCTTTCAGTTGAAGCTTTGGAGATGTAGCGGAACCACATTTGTTAGGGAACATATAAAGCAAGGGTTACATGAAACCAAGATAAAGTTTGCTCTAGCTGCTTGTGTTGTATTGTACGACAAGGTTGGACACGCGCTTGTCGAATGTCTGCGACGTGAGACGCTCTCCCAATGGCGCAAAAGGATTTGACATGGCGTTTACGTACAAACGGTGCACCTCAACGAAAAACTAAAATCAACAACAATAGCCAAAGCACAGAGAGAGAAAGATGAATCACACCCACATACACACACAACTTGATTCTAATGTGTGGCACAGCTCTCACCTGTTTAAGCTCCGATCCACGCACAGGCGCGTCTTGCAGTACCACCACAAACTTTGTCGATGTGTTGGTGACATAACCATATACTCGATAGTCCTCAATGGGCCCTAGAAATCCAAGGTACAAATTATCTTTTGAGCTCGTGATGCTTGTTGAGCTCTGGAGTTTCTCCTCAATGACGTCCAATGACACGTGCGCAATGTAGTGGAAACCCAAGTCTTCACTTTCTTGGCCAAATGTACGGATGTATAGGGGACTATTCTAAAATAAATACAGTCATCATGTATAAGTGTATATGTATTCAGTAATGTTGAAATAGAGTAGAGTCATTCAAGGCAAAATGAAGGAGAAAGAAGACTTACTGCCGCGCCAATGACAGCAATACAGGCGATCATGTTTATCATGTGACAACTGGAAGGTAAAGTATGTGGTACGAATGTAAAGGGTTATTGTGTTACATTTGTTACTAAAGCTCTAGTAAATCTTAATATTATTCATACTTGCTTCAGTGTTATTGCAATATTGTCAATAGATTTGCATAATTGTAGCATTGTAACAACACTTGCTTTATCAATAACATCCACGTCGATCTACAATACCGATGACAGTGTAGAAAAAATAACGATATTGCACTTCTGCAAAGTAAAGCATATTCAGTGTTAGCTTCTTTCGTTTACACTTACACACCATGTGGTTCTCCTGCACGGCGACTTGACCAGATCAAGTTGCAGATGGCGTGCGTCCAGTCCGCACGTCGCCATATGCTGGTCCCACATGTCAACCATCTCTCCCAGTCCCATCTACCTTGACATCTTTGTTGACTATGTAGCGCCCGTCTGTCTTCGTCCCATCACATATTTAAGCAATCAGGTGAAGTTGAAACTTACCTATAGCAGGTCTTGAAGTTGACATTTGAACGCTTGGCAACCTGTGTGAAGTGGTAACTTCTTACAGATAACTTGCAATATAATTGGTATATATGCTTTTGTCATAATCCTGCAATCCCTTACAGCTACGTTGTTAAAGACATCAGTTTTTCTAAACAGCATAGCACCTGGTAAAAGTCTGTAGCCCACTCCTGTAAAAAAATTACTTGTGTGTGCTTTTTTTGTTGCCGTGATGGTCGCATACTGCCGTGCACCGTGCTTGATGAATGATGTAGCAGAGCTACCGTAGCAAAGCTACTTATGCACTAAGTGCTGAGGAAGACTAGCTCCAAGAGCTGTGTGTCTTAGGGCTCTTAACCCTCCCAAGGCTAGCTTCACAAGCTTGTGCTTTTTTGGTTGCAACAACCACGTCTCCAAAAGACCAGCATCCAAGATAAAACTTTCTTTCTCAAGTACTAACGCTCTAGCACGTATGCTATTCAGAGCAGGTTTAGAACTTATTTATTTCGTGTTTATCTTCTAGCACTAAATGAAGCAACTACTCTATACTTAGTACTAGTCACTATTTATCTGGCTCTGTAGCTAATCAATATGTTGACATGTATAGTCACTTTACTAAAACTAAGTATAATGACCACGTGGCTCTCTGCTACGTTGCAACCCTTTGTACCTTAGATACGGTCACATTAGATACGGTCACATCAACCTACCACTGTACTTAAAGTACAGCCACACCCCAATGTTGTGGCAAGTGTGTACGCTAAATACACACCTTTGTGTAACCCCGCTACAAATACTATGATAGACGTCAGAGAAGTGATTTTCTCTCTTGACCAACAACATGATACGCCAAACTCCATCACAACAGTCTCCACTTTCCATAAAACACCTCCTATCTCATGACATCTTTCCAACTCTCGTCAAAACATGTCACGATGAGCCAGAGCTGAGTAGCATGATGAAGGACAAGCCTCAAGTGGATATCACACTTTTTTCTACTTTCACTACTTTTTTAAAATCAGCTGCTGATCAATTTACTCGAGTACACACCACGCGAATATTGATGGTTTTGGCAATTGCTGAGTTCGGAGACGTCTTATTGCTGTTATAACTATTCACTGACCCTACACATTAACAATTTTGATGAAGCGTTGAGACCTGGAGCTACCTGTATCGATACAGAAAGTCTACAGCGTGCTGTAGAGTAATGTAACGGGTTATCACGAAGGTGTGTTTTTTACATACACGCCTGCCACACCAATGTGGTGTGGCTGTACCTTGGGTACAAAAGTAGGTGATGTGACCGTCCGTACCTGAAGTACGAAGGGTCGCATCGTGGCAGAGAGCCACGTGGTCACTATACTTATTTAAAGTATAGTGTCTATGCATTTTTGCATAATATTACCAAGTTAAAGAGCCAGTAAATAGTGACTAGCACAAAGTATAGAGTAGGTGCTTCTATCTAGTGTTAGAAAATAAACATAGATATAAATCAGTTTCAAACTTTACAGCTTAAGCGTTCGATTCCTTATGAAGGAATCTTTGATACTAGTCTCTCTGGGACTCAGTTGCAACAACCGATAGGCACAAGCTTACGAGCTAGCCTAGGAGGGTTAAGCACCCTAGACGTAGAAGCTCTCTGAGCTTGTCTTCCTCTGCACATAGTGCATAAGTAGCTTTGCTACAGTAGTTTGACTACTTCTTCTGCACATAGTGCATAAGTAGCGTAGCTACAGTAGCTCGGCTACACCTTGTATCACTCGTAGTCAATCCCGCACCTGGGTCTGCGACTACTTCTCTGTGTGCTAATAGACATCGAAGAGATGTCGCGGCCGTTCTGTCACAAGCACAACAGGAAGGGTTGCAGAAGCTGCTCTCTATCCTTGGCCCTAAGGGCGTGGAGTACCTCATCGCCCAGAATGAAGAAGAGGTTAATAAGCGTATACATATGCTTGGTGACTATAATAAGCTCTAGTCGAGCATGTAAAGGCACAAATGCCTTCTTCTGCGCCTTCTCCCATGGCGATGATGGCGCAAGAAGTGGTCTGCAGACCAAAACCCATACAGATGGAAGTCGATGAGCTAGATGGCAAAAAAGGTGACAACATTATGCTTTGGTTCCGACAGGTCGAGTCGGCTATCTTTATAGCCGATATCACCTATAAACCGTACCGTGTGGGCTTTGTCACGGGCAAGTTAGGTGGCTTAGCCAAACTGTGGGCGCTCACATGCGGTGCATCACTGCAAGATGCTTTTCCCACATGAGCAGATCTGAAAGTTCAGATTACCCGGCAGTATACACCGCCAAACCAATCGCACCGTAACCGGACGAGGTTTTGGGTGTGTCATTAAGGCAAGGGTGAGCTTGCGGCATATGTACAAGAGTTGAGAACTGTCATTGCTGCCATGGCATCGACCCTATGCCTGAGGCAGTGACTGTCACGATCTTCATGGAGGGCTTCCGAGTTGGCGCTGTCAGAACGGAAGCCTTCCGGGTAAACCCGTCCTCATTCGAGGAAGCTGTTGGAGTGGCATGAAATGCCGAGAACAACTTTAAGGCCGCTAGGCCTGCCTCTCATAACTACTCGTCTGATGGGTATGTACCTATGGACTGTAGTCAAGTGGAGAACGAAGAAGCGAAGCTTCAAGCTACGGAGCAGCAAATTGTGCGCAGATGTTATATCTGCAAGAGCACAGGCCATTCGATGGCAAATGTCCTACAAGAAAGGCATAATTGGCCTTTAAGGGCCGATGCTTCATGGGCAAACCTTCTGGTTTGCCGCGGTGAAACGGCGGCGGGCGCCTTACTGAGGAAGAACTGAGTTCTGTTAAGCCTCTAGGAGGTAGAAGTAAACAGGGCCCAGCCCCAAAGAGATCCAAAATCTCAAAAACAGAACGAGAATTCAAGCCAGGCTTGCTACTAGTCGAAGGGACGATTAAGAGCTATGATAAGCCATGGATCATTTTGGTCGATTCGGGGGCATCGGGCGATTATGCGCACCGTACCACCGTGGAAGGCAGTCAGCAGTATGCTGAAGCGCTTGTAGCGCGTGAAAGTGACACAGCCACAGTTCGCTTAGCGACGGGTACGCGTGTTACGGTACCCAAAGTTCCGATGGATCTAAATGTTAAGTTCTTGGACTTTAACAGCATGGAACGCTGTTTGGTCTTAGACCTGGATGCGAGGTATGACCTCATCCTAGGCATGGCATGGCTAGAACGTCATGAGCCATGGATTGATTAAAGGTCAAAAACCTTAGCCGCAACGCGCAATGCTTCTGGTGGGGCTCAGGTGAGTTATGAGCCCACCTCTGCTAAGAAGCAAAAGCGTTTTTGGCGCGGATATTGGACCGAGTCGGTCAATATGTTGAATGTCGGAATATTCGACTTTGTAGACGCTGTAAGTGTCGAGGACAACAGTCCTGGGCGAGGCCCAATGACTGTCGATAGTGTGGTTGAGAACCCACTAGATGGCACATATGACATGTGTCATGAGAATGATGTTACATCATTAAACACCGTGAGTGGTGTTGGTGGCTGCAAGCCAAGATGTCAGGACATGAGTCCAAGTGACATGAGTGACGAGGAACTGACCCTGAAGGGTCGGGTGAAGTCAAAAATGACGGTTGTGTTTGAGTACAACGAGATGCGAGCAACTCATGACGAGACATTGAACCAGGAGGGTGGGGTGCAGTCGGTAAACAAAGTGATCTTTGACCTTGAGATGTGTACAGTGAGGACGCGTTTGCGTCAGATGCTGAGAGCATCATGAGTAGCGATGATGATATCGTGAGTGACGGTGATAGCAAACAGCTATATACACTCGTCAATGGTTCGAGTGGGGAAGTTGAAGAGCCGGTGGCTCTTTCAGCTTTACCCGCAGTAAGTGCTCTGTTAGAGCTGGACGTGCCGAGCTTGGCATTGCCTTACAGGCAGGCAACATTGCCGAAGTGGTCGTTATACGACTTGAGGAGGAGTTCAACTCCTCGTCATCGCTTTTGGATAAAGCAGTTCTTGAGGATACCAAGAAGGCGCTGAATGCGCGTGGTGGATCACAGATCCTGAAGGACCCTTCAAATCCTTATTTTCCTTTGTTGAAGAAATATGGAGATGTTGTCTCCAGAGAACCTCCGACGAGGTTACCTCCGGATAGAGGTGTACGTCATGAGATTGACTTGGTTCCAGGAATCAAATACTGTGTGAAGTGACAGTGGCCGCTGCCACGAGAACAATGTGACGTTATTGAAGAGTTCTTTTGTGCAAAGCACGCGGCTGGCATGGTGCGTGAGAGTAAGTCTCCTCACTCTACGCCCACGTTTTGTGTGAGAACTTAATGGGAAGTGGCGAATAATGCACGCTTACAATAAGCTGAATGCAGCCAATATCTCGGCTCAAACACCGATTCCTCGCAAGGATGTTCTTTAGAACAATATGGTGGGATGTACGATGTACAGTGCCTCGACTTAGTCGATGGATATTGCCAACTGCTCATGCGAGCTAGTGATATC